TGATTCTTCAGGAATCTCACTCGCAGATCCGTCCTCCCGAAAGAAGAGCGTTGAGGTCTGACGAATAGCAGCGCACCATTGCAGCCCACCGCGCCAGGGTTCGGTCGTAAGCTTGTAGGTGCCCCTGGGGAGGCCCGCTCTCCCGCCGCTGGTAACTGCAGGGGGGAAAAATGCGGACAAGCATACGCAGTCAGATCCTACTGCCCAGGCCCATAATGAGGCCATGACGGACGGTGCTGAGAAGGCTGGAAGGGTTGATTCGGTGCCGATTCCGCTGACGGCATCTTTTGCGAAAAGAAAGCATTGGACAAGCGAATTCTGCGTACTCTGTCTTTGCCGTCCTTTGTAGTGTGAACACACCTGTCCTTTTGTGACAGTATCGCGAATGATCTGCGTAGACAGCCTCCATTGACCTTGACTCCGATCTTGCCTTGATGACTGACCGGACAGTGAGCTCGTTGTTTCCACTGGACTGGGTCCCTAGGTCCCTGGTCTGCGTGGGGCCGCATGGCCAATGGCCTGCAGAGCCTCCCCGTGTCCAGAGATGATCGAGTAAAGTAATATCCAACGGGTCTACATTTCCCAAGCCAGACACGCATCTCATCCAAGCCCCCACGCTCCGAGGCTGAAGCAATTCGTGCGACACCCACAGCAGCGCTCGCAACGAAGAAATCTTCATCGATACGCGTGTGGCTCAATACCAGTCCGGGTGGACGTCTCTGTAGTCTCACGTCAACGCGGCCTAGGGATTTAGCTGCATTGACCTGCAGATGCGCACATTGATTTAGTTCAGGTCCCATAGCATGGGTCCAGTCGGGCCAGGGAAGGGGTGCCTTCCGGGTGGAACTCTTCCCAACGTTTGCTTCTGCGCCGTTTCTGCGGCATTCCAGCGTTTGAGGAGGCGGCGGGCTCGCGGTGGTGTTGACTGATTTAGCCCAAGACCACTCCTTCGGGACGCTCGTAGTCCAGAGCACTGCGAGTCAGATGTAACCATTCGACCGCAAAGGGTCCAGCCTAGCAGTCAAGCCAGTGTCTTATGGACCCTTATGGAATGTATCATATTAGAACTGGTCACTCTCCACAGGTGCCAGAGGCCACTGACCCTCAGGTGGCATTGCTGCTTCGCGCTATCACGGCCGGGAATGGTGCAGCAATTGGCGCAGTTTGGCTGCGGGAGGAGCTGCGGAATCCCGCGGTACATGTTCGACGACTTCCGTTCAATTCGAAATACGTGGCCCCGGCATGTACAGCACCAGGAACACCACAGCATGGCATGGCAGCATGGGTCCATGACATTTTGAAAAGCAAAAAGATGGACAGAGGGGGCAGGATTCCCGAGTGCCTGGATATCGCGCATTCGAGGTTGACCCTGGGAGAGCTCCCGCACTATCATTGGTCAATAGCGTGATCCGTGCCTGGGAGCTCGAGACCCACATCATGAGGTGGGCCCGCAGTGCTTGGCAAATGTGGAAGTCGAGATTACTATGATTGGCCAATGCGTTGCACTTTCCGTCCCAAACGTTGGCAACACAGTGCGGTTCAATCTTTCCAGCTCCTTTCTCTCTCTTTCTCCCAAAAGTACGTTACTTCTTGAATCTACTTGAACCATTATCTGCTAATCCCAGCAATGGGCTCATAGGGCGCGCTTTCGCTATTTTTGCACGTACCACACGGGCTCTCCCCTCTGCAGGTGTCAAGATAGAGTTCGTCCCACTCCTGTTACGACCTAGGAAAATTTTGAGGTGGCAGTGGCAGCGGTGCCCAACTTGCCGCGACGACGTGCCGCCCGGATTTCAGTACTAAGGTACAGACTCTGACTGCCAGACGCACAGCAGGCATGTAGAAACTGAGAACCTCGTATGCAACACCTCCTGGCACAGGCAGACCATCACACAGGACGTAGATATACACCTGCGCGACTCCCAGTTGAGAGCCAATCATGTACTGACGGGTCTTCTTCTGGGGGGGGCAACACCATTTGAGACAGACTGCGGGACAACCATGCTTGATTGGCTCAGCACCATGGGTTTCCGTGGCTGGTTGCATATGCCGAAGACACAACGACCCTGGGGACCGCCTCTCCTACACTACCTCGGTATTGTATCGAACCCTACCAAAGTACACGTTGTAGCATACTGGTCGATTCATTGTGGCCCGTCGAAGTTGCCTGGCTTTGCAAGTTGTTGAACTTTCCAACCGTGATCGTGTTGTGCAGTTGCTGTGTTGTGTGCTGTTTATGTAGTCTAAACATTCTGGCACTTCCGTGATCCGATAAACCTGTACAGTACGAAGAAATGGCAGCCCAACTGCCGGATCGTCAGCTCTCTAGCACTAAGGGTACTCCTCGAGCTTGCAAGACGCGACAAGACTATCGCAGGGGACCAAAGCAATCCACTATGCGATTTGCGCTGAGATTATACAGGTTCAACCCTGGAGCCGAACAACACGGCACCATCACAAACCCCCTGTAGCCCTGCACATAGTAGCTCTAGTGCTGGGGGCCCACGACTTGCGCAGCCCCCGAACGGATGCCACCATTCCACTCCAGTCAACCGTTGTTGCATGGTGACCACGATCGCTCTCCTGTAGTGGGTTCCTCGAGACTGCCAATGTTTTGTTATAATTTGCACCTTGCCAAATGCACTCTCTAGCTGCAAAGGGAGTTTAATTGGCGTCTCTACCGCCAACTTGCCCGGGTTATTACTGACAATCGTGCCCATCATCCCCTTGACCATCTCGACATACCTACCACCCTCGTTGCCGATCCAGGGACGGTTCAACCACGATCTTTTCGCTGCATCCTGAACCTGCATGAGGCAATTGGCTGGGGGCCGTCGAATCGAAACGATATAAGCTTGCAGCGACAACATACCGGCGCCTTCAATCCGACCGCGTACAAAGTCTCGTGCACTCCCGGAGAGTCGACAGCCTCGTACCCTCAGCGCGAGAACTCATTCGGCCCGTCGAAACATCACATTGGAGAAACCAACACTGTCTTGGAGAAGCAGGCGACCTACATCCGGCACGAAGCCTTGTTACAGTGTAGACCCCCCGAACAGAGGCCGCATCGCCGCATTCATCAGTCGGTATAGAGGGGATCAACTAGCCACCATTTCGATTACTCTTTCGTTTCGTATAACGCCACGGCTCTGGCAGCTGTTTTCATTGCTACTGCAGTCAGGCTGGTTCCGAATCAAGGTGAGTTTGGCAATCAAATGCGTTTCAGCCTTCCTGCAAAACACAGCCCGGCCTCTGGGGTTGTGAATAATACCCTTGGCTGTCTCAACTCTACGCCGGTGCATATCCATACCTAGCGTGGGAGGAAGAGACGAGGGCAGCGTTCATGTCGTGTAACCCTTTCACACGTTCTCGCCTACTCGAGCAGCCGCAGCAGCCGGGACCCGGTCAAGATGGCGGCCTATCGCATTTCAGTATGCTGGGGATGGCAGGATGGCGTGAGAACAATTCCCTTCCCGATTTGGTCGATTGCCAGCAGAGTGCACAAGCGGGCGTACTCGTTTGAAAGGAACATGTTTCCGGGTCCTGGCGTGGGGAAGCGGGGGTGAAATGCTCTCCTCGGCGCTCACCAGACTGACGGCTGATACTGGCATATGAATTTCTCTACGTTTTGCTCGGCTTCCCATGGGCCCGAATGAAGCACATGATCGGTCCCGAGGCTAATCCACATGTGCTTTCCAGTATACGCCGTTGCGACCGTTGATTAGCTTACGGGAGCTGAACACTAAGACGGGAACTCTGAACTTTATACTATCTGCATTCCCTTGCATGGCAAACCGCCACTCGTGATTGGAGCTTCATCTCATTCTTTCAAAAGCGAGCGCCGAACGCACGACTCTGGGTATCAACTCTCACCGGCTCATGCAAGGGTCAGATCTGACTCTGACGCGACCGGCATCGGGTCAGCCTTGATCGCGAATTATAGCGTTCGCTGCTACTCAGTCATTCGCAACAGCCGATATTCCCCATCCTAAGTTACTACTTTTCAGTCGTCAATATCGAAAACAGACTGCAAGCCATTATCGATAATCGACGCGCGTTCGAGAAGTGGAGGTGTGCATTTTTAGAACACACTGCAAAGACGAAAGCTGCACAGGTCAGGAATATCTGGTGCCAAGGTCTGCATCCAATAGTCCGGCGGGCCGTCGTCTGGTTGGAGACAAAGTCGTCCACTGAGAACCGGTGATTGATCCGGTCGTGCTGCCATCTTCAGCCGCCTCGCATACGGCAACAGCTATAGCGACAGACACAGCGTAGCAGTATCACGACCTGCACCACAGCCGGAAGTCGACGTCTGTTGGCTGTACTGCTGTGTTCGCAATATTAAGCAATTCCCAGCAAACTGTCACCACGCGGTTGGGCAATCTCGGCACGCATCAATTTTCCAGGCTGACACGTCTTGTCACCAGGCTTCGTCTTCGCTTCCTGATTAAAATTCCAGAAGCGAGAGAGCTAGCTGCATGACAAGATTAACACATCGCCTCTTCTCTCTATTCACCCATTGAGCCGGGACTGGCTGCAGCCAGCGAGGATTTGCCAGGGAGGGCTGATCGGAGCAACCCTCAGAGTTGCACCAATCTTCCGGCAGGGCACACCCCTACCCCGGTTCGTATACCCTGGTCCCCGTTTTTGGCCTTACCCCCCGGACCTCACGCATAACACTCCATAGTGGATTCACCAGGGTGTTCCACCACTCTTGTCACGCCCAGCTTTCAATCATTCGACCCTCTCTTAAATCCTTCACTATCCCTTACCAGGAATTACACAGTGTTATAGAGGTGGCCCGTTCTGTCCCCCGCACATTCTCCTTGCATTGTTTTCATACCCTCGAAGACGCGCTCTGTGACAAGAGCACGTCCCGACGATTCAACTGCTCGAGGATTCCGAAATATTGAAGGGGAAGGGATAACCAACTTTGTCGCGGATCCGGACACAACGCGGAATTCGTCTGACACAGGCCCTCGCATTCAAACTTACACAACATGTGGTCGCCACTCCCTGTGTACTCGGTCCCTAAGGGGAAGCGGCGGAATCTTCCCAAGGGCACGCCCTCAAAACCACCCGTTTCAGGTGTTCCGGCAACGGCTTCCTCTAGCGGTTCGGCACCAAACAAATTATTCCAGAGCTTTAGTGAGTTGCTGGACCCGGCAATGGATGGACCGCCGTCGCCAGAACGTATCAGAGCCCTCACTTCACAGATGCGGAGGACTTCCTTGGCAGAGACACATCAGAGTCACCAGACAAACTCATCAGGCTCGTCAATGATGTCGACAACATCGGATAGGCCGTCATGGGAGCATGGTCCAGAGAACCTGACGGTTTCAAGGAGGTCGTCACAGCGCTCTATTTCAGGCGGCATGCCTCCGCGAGAGCGGCCAGAAAGTGTTCAGATATTTGGAAAGACTCTCTTCAACCGTAAAGGTAAACTGCGCAGAGAAAGCAGTGACCAAGGCTCGTCAAATAGCTCCTTGCATTCGGCTGAGGTGTCTACAGACCCCAGCTCGTCGACTTCCAAGGATCAGAACTTCTTAAATGCTGTCGCTGGCTTCACCAGACGGAGGACAAATACCCTCGATGACGGCCCACAGCAGAGAAAGCTGCAGATTTCTGGTCCTTATAATTTCCAGCATCTTGCGCACACTGAAAAAGACAATGTTGCAGGGAAAAGTCGAGTCAATCATGCGGAGCCAGCACCGGTCTTCTCAGAGATACGATACGGCCGAAGACCAACTGATCCCTCACTAAGGGGAATCCAGGCGGATGACATGCTTGCTAATGTCCATCCTGGGCATTATACTCTACAACAAGATCCGTGTGCAGGTTTCCACGCCTCACATGATGTTGAGCCTACAGCACGCCCCGACATCGAGCGGATGAGACCACAGCGAGCTTCTCCTCCGCCTGTACCGATGCGCTCGATGAAGCGAACCCAGTCCGAGGACCAGATCCGCGTTGCTCCGCCACGCCCACCGAGATCTCCAACACAGCAAGGGTTTGCCCCCTCGATTGACCCTCCACCGCGAAAGTCCAGTCGAGGATCGGTGCAACACGGTGGCTTCAATGGATTGGGTACTATCAACGTGGACCAGCCAATTACTGGGTTCGGACTTCGGCAGCCAAAACCTATAGTGTGGCCAGCCTTGCCAGAGACATCTGCGCCATTTATTGATGGTGCAGCTGCTCAGCAAAGCTTGCCTGGGCCAAGTAGGAGGTTTTCCCATGCCATCACCACGCCGGATGATGCTGCGTGGCCCCTCGCGGTAGAACCGACTGCAACGGCTCTGCCAGATGTACCTGAGGAGGAAGAAAACCAGGGTATCTCTCGGTCGCGTATCAGTGTCGCCAGCAACTCCTCCTCGCTGCGGGGAAGCATGTCCGTTCCGTTGCTTCGCCAGATAACGCACTCACAGGCGGCACCAACTGTGCGACCACCAAGCAATGCATCTGATACATTGGGCAGGTTTGACTTGTTCGCTGCACAACGGGCCCTGCGCGCCAGCGCAGAGGACAGTGAATGCGAGGAGCTTCCCAACGAAACATGGGAAGACGACATTGATTATTGCTACGAACACGAGGCCGAAGCCGATTGTGACTACGCCTGGGAGCGACCCTCGTGTGACTTTGAACGAGAGGATATTCGGGACAGCCACACTCTTGGCCATGCTGCTTTGAGGTACCCAAGTCACGGCTCTGGCTCGACAGATCTGCTGTCTCCTCCCGGACAAGACGACGTCCCTGCGCTCAGCCCCGTGAGCCAGATCTCAGACGGGACTCAGCAGGAAGCCAAGACACCAACGGTGTCCGTACTCCCCGTTACATCGAACTTTTCCCTCCCCAGAAGAGACAGCTCTGCTTTGCTCACTCGTGGCCACGCCAGCAAAATATCTGGCGCTGAGAACTTGAAGGAATACCAGGAGTTCAATCTCTCACCATCCCTTTTGATTCCGAACGACTATCATCAACAGATGCTTCTCTACGAAAGAGAGGCGTTACGCGAGGAGGACGAGGATCTTTACGTGGCACCACTGTCGCCATCTGGAACACACTTTGCCAAATCAGCAATGTCTCTCCATGCTCGTTCAAGCGCATCGACCACAGACTCTATGATGTCAGACCAATCAGGCTCAAGTCGTCACAAGTCGACAACATCAACATCGACCACATTGACTCGCTGGACAAACAGCACAGCATGCACTATTGACGGATGGCAACCATCTATCTTGGAGAAGGATTACGCCGCTTGCAACCTGGAAAAATTCGCCGTCGACCCTTTGCCCGAGATGGACGAGAGCCGCTTCGCGCGTGACGTCAGTCGTGAAAGACACTCCCGTGCACAATCCCATGCCGACGTGCTTCTCGTGAAGTCCAGCTCCGAAACAACTATGGCTCACCACAACAAGCCCATGAGAGAGACCGTAGGCTCTCGCCGTCGTGCTAAAACTACGAGCAGAAGTCATAACCAAGCCCCCGCGCTTGCCCTTTTTCCACCTGTGATGGAAAATCGCATCTAGTAAGATGCACTGCTACCATACTATATCATTTTGTCTACTCGACAGTGGTTACTATGCCACCCCCGCACATTGTCTTTTATTTGTTTTCATGGAGGAATTCTTGTATATGGAGAAATTGGAAGCGTGGTTCGCAATCCCATCGTTACCGAAGCGCGCTGTATAGACTGGCTGGACAGCTCCTCGATTTCTTAGACTTGACCGGGTGGTCCTCGTCTGTCGCTACAAAGGGTCCGAAAAAATTTCCTTTGTCATGGATAGATGGGACGGACGGTGGGCATTGGACCAGGTTCAGAAAAGGCTTGGAACGGGATCATATGGGAACTGGGATGGCTTCCCCGGGTATGGGGGGCTACTATATTCTGATTCTGCAACGACTGTATGACAACACATCAACAACCCAAGTTGCATACAATCGGCTGGGTTGATTAACTCCGCTGCTGCCGACCTCGTGTCGGCAGCAGCGTGCTTGTACCACTAAGCATGTCTGTTGCTGCTGGTCACTTACAGGTCTGGTGTACCGGATTGAACATTTACATAGATATACGGTATCACCCACATTGGCGGCTTCTAGGCACGCCGAATGATAATAGTATATGGCGATCGGTCTTTGAGCATTGACAGTCAATATCAATACCAAAATTTGTTTAAATTTGTTATCGTGACTTTTTGGAACATCACTTTTGGTAGTTGCTTGGTTACGTGTAGTGCTCGAGTCATAATCTAGAGATACACTCAGTTTGTTGTGGACCAACAGTCTGCGATTATTCACAAGTCCACCATACCTTATAATTATTTGATAGAAGTTGTTCATCCCAGATTCTATATTGGTCTAGGATTACCTGTTATTCATGTTGACTCTCACGCGAGTGCTTCTTGTTGAAGAATCAACAAGGTGCCAAGATTCATACTCCCAGAACGCCTAATCACGGACTGTCTTGGGCATTGGGGGTAAGAAACTGCCGTTCAGGGAATACCATGGCATGACCTCGTGGGTTTGGTTGCGGAATCACGCAACCCAGGCAATAGATATTTCAATCTGGTGAGCCCGCCATATTCGATCTTAAAGATAACCTACTGGATGATCGTACGTGAAGAGATAGTCTAGAAGGTCTATTAGGACTGGACGGCCCCAGAGAGTTTTTAAGTATATTGTACCTGAACCGGGAAACAATCGTGCCCATGTCTGACTCCATTACGCTTCGGTATTGTTGCAACTTCCAAGCAGCCATTGTCAGGATATACGGCGAACCATGTTCAGTACTGGCTCAGGCTGTTGGGGGAGTATCTCCAGTTCGTTACCAGAGCCGATCATTGCCGGATGTCATGTTATCTTTCGGCCTTTTACCATTTGTGCGGCACTGGGTTACGTATTTAATCTTCGTACTCATTGGTCATTCACGAAGAGTTGTACGAAGACTAAGGCAAAGTGTTGGCTGCGACGACTTAAAGTCGTCAACAGGTATATTCACAGCACGAAGCTCTCTAATATATATACAACGAAGTAAGTCCAGCAAACGAAAATGGGCTTTCCAAGTCTAGCTTGACCGTAATGAAACTCCTCAACAATGCGTACAATATGCCCTCCTATCTTCTCACGACACTATCCCGAAGGACTGAAATCTAGCGAAACCATGAGCTTAGTTGCGGACAGAGCGGCGCTTCTTCTTGAGGCAAGGCTTCTTGGTAGGCGAAGCCGGGGCAGAGGTGGCAGCAGCGGCGGTTGTGCTGGCGGAAGCGGCACCGGTGGTGGTAGGCTTGACCGAGGTGGCCAGGGTGGTCGGGGTAGCGGCAGCAGAGCTGGAGGCAACCTTGGTAGCCGACGCAGTGGCGGCAGCGGAGGTAGGAGCGGAGCTGGAGCCGGAACCGGCGCTGGCAGCATCCCAAACCTTAGGGCCGGGAATGGTGTAGGAAGTGAAAGAACCGTAGAGGTTGAAGACAACACCGGGGTCGCTGTCGGTGTAGCCGCCGGGGAGGGCGAAGTTCTCACTGGGGGTGGCAGAGCCAGAGCCAGTGATCTCAACTTGCACGCAAGAAGGGTAGAACTGGGCACCACGGGCCGAGTTTGCGCTGTAGGCCGTGTCGCCCTCGTGGAGGCCGATGATCTCCTGGCGGATCATGTACTTGCCAGCGGCCAGTGCAGATGGGACGGTGAACGCCTTCTTGCCGCCGTTGGTGATCAGCTTGTCAACAGCCCACGAGGAAGAAGCAGAGTCGTAGCCCTCCTCGTCAATCTTAGTCCAGATGGAGCCAGTGCCATCCATGCCGTCGGTGTAAGGGGCGATGTAGGTGATGATCGGGCCCTTGTGGGAGGCGGCAATGATGTCGTCGTTCCTGTTGTCATGGAACCACTCGAATTCGACCTCATCGCCGGCGGCAATGGGCAGGAACTCCTTGACGGCAGTGCTTCCGGCAACGTTGCAAGCAAGGTCGGCCGACTTCAGGTCCTTGACGGGGTTGTTGTTCGGGGGGGTTCGGATGTAGACGCTACGTCCATCACCCTGGTCGACACCGTTGATCCAGGCACCGTACATACGGGTGTGGGCTGCAACACCGCTGGCCAAGGCCAGAGCAGTAACTCCAGAGTAACGCATTTTTGGCAGAGATATAGGGATATTGTTGGAATTGTTTTGCTGTTGTCGGTTGGTCGGGACCTGTAAGTGAGTTGAATTGAATAATGAATGTCAGAAAAGAATGAATGGCACTGCCAAAGAGCGTGAAACAAGAGAGTGAATTGAAATCTGCTGGACAAGCTTGTATCGAAGAGATCGAGAGGACGGCATCTGGGAAGCCATCCCCAACACTACTTATACACATGATCCTCACGCTGCGGCCGTCCACGCTGGGTTGGGCCAGGGGCAATGAGGCTCACCTGCATGCCCACGATTGTCGGGCCCAATATGGACGCTGGTGGAGAGTAGCTAGCGCCAACGGTCGTGAATAGATGAGGTTGATATTAGGGAGGGCGACTCTGGACCAGGGTTGGGCGCCCCCTGGATCCAGCGGCGCGTTTCGTTTTGCGCCCAGAACGGCGAGCAAAGGTGGGCGGAACCAGGTTTGGGGCCATCTCCAGGCCGCACAGGCTCGGTTGGCCCCATTTTTTGCCCCGGCCCCCGGCAATCTCGACCGAAACCGCCAAGAGCCAAATTCCACTACAACCCTTTAAAGCTCGGGGGAGACGCCCTTTCGCAGTATGGCGCCGAGCTGAAAACTTGGGATGCGCTTTGCGAGCGAGATTGTCCACATTATGTCGAATATTTCTTCCGTTGTTGGGTTATCCCTTGGTGCTGACTGCTGCGAATCTCCGGCGGAACAGGGCGGCCAATAGAAGTACATGTGCCTCACAGAGTGTCTAGGTATAAGTCATGTATGAAGTGGGCACAAGTACGTGTAGATGTTGAATCCGCGACCGCTTCCCAGCAGCCAGGTTCGTCATGTTTCCCTTTATGTGGTTGAGAAACAAAAAACAGATGATTGATGAGATGCTAGGATCATGCAAGGGCCCCGACACTGATTATCGTTATGGGTGTAGGCGAGATGGGCGGCTCGCCGCAACCCCCCTGCAGTCGTTGGGCGGTGGAGCCTCACACTTCAGACGACGCTTGCTTCTGGTTGATCGACTCTTCTGCTTGGCATGTCAGGGCGAAACTCATCAGTAAGCTGTCCCATACCATAGTGGACTTCCCCGAGAATATGACGTGGTAGTGATCGGCTGGTACCGAGGCCCTGGTTAAGGACAGTCCAATAGCAGTAGTATTGTCACCGCAGATGGCTGTCTAGATGAGACGGCTGAGCCGCTGGTCAACACCATTGTCATGCAAGGAAATGGGGCCATGGGCAAATTTTGGCCGCCGCTGATGTTCTAGTCGCTACCACAGGACGTTCTACGGTCAGTGGATTTCCCGGTAAATTTCTCCTATCGACTAGTCGCTCGTGGCGATATCGAACCGAGATGACGTGAATTGTCACTGGGGCTTTCCCGACGGTGAACTGATCATGCTCCGAGTGTGTTCTGCCTAGAGACAAAGAACCTTGGCCAAAGTGAAGCGATGCGGTCTACTCACCAGGGCTTAAAGCGCCTTATGACTAGACCACGTACCTTACCTGTGACGATAATTGACTGGCTTGTGATTGAGTAAGCAGTTGGCGATGCGTTCAGCCAGAGCCAGGCCTCCCATGATCTCTTTGGTGTTTCAGAATCCCGCTGGATAGGCGGGGTGGCGACGATATTTGACATGTGCTGAGTGGCATGGATCCAGTGCTTCTGGCCGTCTTTAAACCTCCAAGGGATGCTTCAACTCTCCTATGTATTCTTCACATCGTCCCGTCGAGTCTATTCCCAGACAGTGGGACACTTACAAGACTGAGCCTGCATGAAAGGCATTGTTACGGGTTGATCATCGGTATATGCGGCATTTTGGCCAAACGACGAGGTAGAACAGGGCGGCATCATCTTTCGGCCCCGGGTATGCTTAGTTCCGCTGGCGACTGGTTTGCTTGGAAGCTTCTTCCGTTCGCTATCTAATGTGGATCACCACACTCTGCCTACGACTAAAACAGCAGATTAGGACGGCAAAGGCCTCGGGACGAGTTCAATGGTGAGCTGGTCGTTACTCAACATAACTCACCTTTTAAGTTGTCTCATCAGTTCCCAAGAGCTAGATGATGATGCCTAGCATGTGGCCTCCATGATGCGCAAGGTTATATTCACCCTCCAGCTTCTGGGCACGTACATGTCCAGCATTGATCTTGCTTGATTAGTATACACGTAGTAATAACACGATTTTCGAGTGCCAATGTATCCACTAGAGTTGTGATTATCGCACACAACGCCAAGAGCTGTTGACGGCAATTATGAGCCTTGTGGCGTGTTGAGCGGTGAAAACTTGATTGAATAGGAGTTCGATGACATGTCATGGTCAATCGCTAGATGAGTCCTATGTGGGTCGGGCTGGACTTTTCTTGTGAACAAAGTAATTGGCATGGGCATGGAGGTCGTGGTTCGGCCGAAAATGGTGAACGATGGTAGAGCGAACGGCGAGGTGGAATTTATTCTAGAGAAATCAACAGAGGGGAATTTCGAGTAACATAGTAGTCTCAATGAAGATCGATTCACACACTAGTAGCCACTCATTACGGTGAGCGCTCTTTCATCTGATGAGTCCTTCTATGTGCTTGGGTACGTTTGGGATCTGCGCACTAGATTCCGTTTGAGTTAGACAATCTAACCATTGTGGGATGCAGTTGTATTAATGCCACCTTTATAAACAACTTTTGACCATTGAAGACTGGTACGCAAGTGTAGGAAGTCAATATGCATATATGCAGAAGGATAGGTCTAGTGATCTCCAATCTCAGTGTTGACAAAATCTTATTATCAGACTACCTCAGGCTTACGTATAATAGCAGATCTCCCTGATGATGTGACCGGTGTACATATACTTTCCGCCGAAGTAAGATTGTAATGCACTTTGGGTTTATAAGTCCTCACGGCTGCACCAAAGGGGGGGATTTGCAAGACTCTACCGAGAGGGACCCGGCGAGGTTGAACGGCTTCTCGGTCAAGTCTGGCACCGTGACGTGCTATCTCCTGGCTATATGATGTTAGATCCTTGATTTCATAACGGGGGCGCCGTGGAGCAGCTGTAGTTTCTGAAGGAGGTAAGAGAGTTTTCGGATACTGCTTGACTTTAGATGTGACTCTAATCTGACAGGATATTAGAGATCTAGTGAAGGATGCTGTCGTATCGAGATTCCTAGAATTCCGCGGCCATCTGCAGACGTATCTTTGTAAACCTACTCACTAACGGACCAAGTCTGCCAAGTCATGGAAATCCCAATTTCAGCATGACAGTCACTCTGGAGCTCTTCTGGTGCTGCAAGAAGGCTTTCTGATACCTTACTCTGTTAATTTCTCGAAGCTGGCGCGCTCTTCGGCAATATTCTCGTGTCAATCATAGAATAGCCTTCAGTCTCATACTGCCGAGGAAAGTGGTACGCGCTGTAATTCCTGCCGTAATGATAGCATATATAATATTAAAGAACATTCCTTATGTTGGCGCAGAACAGATCAAAGTGGCGGTGCTTCTATCGCGTACGCTACGACGTCTTCTATCGAGTTGTAGCAGCTCTGTAGATACGAGCCTGTCAATGGCTGAGAAGATCGGTCTGCTTTTCATATTAGTCGCGAACCCATACCTATAACTCACGATTCAGCAATGACGATGCCCTCTTATTGAAAATAGTGTGCCCATGTAGTAAATTGGTGTCAGGGAGCATAGTATCTGTGGTGGAAGATATAGATATTCATTGAATGCATGTCATTGAAGACTGTCATTAAAAGGTTTGTCATCTGCAGAAATTCCACTTAGAGGTGGCTGAAAGAACCTTTGAGGGTATCAAGACCGACAATTTCGGATCCGTCAATCGCGAAATGATTAAGCGGTGCCAATACGAGGAAAATATTCACGAAATTCGATATACAATAGCCAGTATCAAGTTGAATCCATAGTCAGAATAAAGTGAATTAGATGGAATCGTAAATGATAGGTGCTTCAGTCACCTTAGCCAATGCTCAGATCTTTTGGGGTTTCGTCTAGATAGGCGAACATAGGAAACCCTCTATTGGCGCCTTGTCTACACAACTGCAACTCAGCACTGGGAAATCGAATGGGCGAATCTCGGCTTGGGTCACCAGGCATATCACCAATGATGACCATCGAGTTCGAGGACACATTCAAAGAGCTAGTGTACTTCGGGATTTAGCAAGTATGGTGAAGCCATGATGTGACCCTGACCCAACTCCGTACTCTCTTCCGAGTCCGAATCCGAGCCGGGGTCACGAACGTCGTAGCAGGGGGCACGGATGTAGGCTGTGACAGTGCCCTATTCGGCGCTTCACGAGCCTACCACCTGAAACACTGTAGGCTAACCCCTATGAAAGCCTTTAAGAAATCCTCCATTGTTATCAACTGAGATGTAGCTTGATATGCCCCGGAGAGTTACCACAGATGCTAGCAAGCCTAGCAAATCCTTCGTCCTTTCTCTCTACTGCTCCCTGGACTATTGCTCAGCCACTTAAAAATGCAGGGAATTTTCCGGAGAGAAAAGACACTGGCTGACAGCCACTTGGCTTCAAATAATGGAAAGTATAAGGACAGTCGGCACAACATGAATCCCGCCGGAGCTTGACTAGACATTACCAAGACCGATCGACTTTCGCGACACGGACCCCATCATTTTAATGGGAAATATAAGCCTAATCAACATAGTCCCTTCTATTCGGTACTTCGAAAGCCCCGATGAGTGGTGTGATAAGCGCCTGGAAGCCATCATCCAATCCCAGTGCACGACTTTCCCCTAAACGCGCTGGAGAATGGTTCCGAATGCCGTCTTCTCATGCATATCTCAAGGATGCAGAACATGGGAACTGGAAACTAGCTGGGTTAGTGGACCTTAACGCTGGTCCCAGCCACGGACGGAGATGATACCCTGTATCATCACATCATGGGCCAAAGAACGTGCGACAGCATTGGCTTGAACATAAATAGACTTATGACCAAAGGCTTCTAGAAGTCTGGCCATTGGCTCGGGCACTTGACAGAAGGTTTTCGTCTACACCGGGATTGCCAATATTGTGCCGACGCCTTTTTGCAGGGAGACCATGCATAGACATAGAGGGGGGTGTATTGGTCGCTGGGCACATGACAGACGCACATATCACTGCGGACGGGATAACAAGGATCGGCAGGCAAATGAGGCCTGACAATCCAACAATATTGAGGTAGCAAGCAAGGCAGGAGCGCTACGATGGCGAATCGGGGACGGCGCCACTTTGCCGCGGTCCCGAGGAAGGACGGCTATATTTGTATTTGCGCCTATAGCAGTCTGTCTCCATCCTGTACTTTGCTGCACGAGGTCATACTCTCCTGGTTGCATTGGCCTGGAGAGGTTATAGGTGAAATTGAGGGGTAGGCAAGGAGAACCTTCCGCAAGGCCATGATGGGCTGCGCCGCAACATGCTGAAGCGAATCATCGTCTGAGCTCTTGTGAGCCATTCAGAAAGCTCCCCCAGGACTAGAACATATCCTCGGGGTTAGGGGGGCAATTATGAAGCTGAGCACGGCGCGGGCGAACCTGAGAGTGACGACACTGGGCTTGTGACAAGGGGCGTAGCATGACCTGATACCCCTTGAACCTGGGCGGGATCTGTGGAGACGCAACTGAAGACCATCGGTTGAGGAGAATGCATCCATCGACCCATCCATAGGGCTGGCAACTCCTCTGTTGGTTTGGAGCAGCAATACTCATACGCAGTCTTAGATCCCTCAGCATTGTGTAGTTTAGCAGCTAAATAGAGGTCATCGGGCCCTTCAAAACTTAGCTGCCAAATGGACTCATAGCTGATCGGTATGCTGTCCTATTGCTGTCTCGACCTCAATCGGCACTCAATTCCCTTGCAATAACGAGTGCTGAATTCCGATGCGCGAAGTATACCATCGTGTGACTGAGCATAGTACTATACATTGAGTGCAAGGAACCCACAGGGGACCTACAAAATACTTGCAGCAAGACTCCCTCGGCATTTTGCAGTGACCGGTTTCGCAGAATACTGCCTCGTTTGAATGCGCGGTCCCTCACTTGGAGGAAGAGGATTACCAACTGCCGCCGGTGGTTGCACCCCCCAAAATCCTTCAGATATTCGGATGTGATGTTCACTACTACAAGCTTGTCCCCTTAAAAATGGCTGGTCACAGAAGTCGAAACAACACTCGCACACTGGGTGAAATCCATAGATGCCGACCCAAACGGCATAGCCGGCGGAACCGTGGGCTATGCAGAGCCTCCAGCCAGAGTTGAGGGGTCCAACCATCTGCAAGCTCTTAATACCCGTGGTTGCATAAGGAGTTCGGCACCAAAGCGGCCAGCAGCAATATTGTTACTTGCAAGGTATGGTACTTCTTTTCCCTAGTCAGTTTGCAGCAACGCATCTACCTGGGCAGTTCCGACGGCCTGGATCTCTGCAGGATTTCCAGATCCGCATATGCACATCGTCTGTTGGTAGTCACCTGCGTGGCGGCCATGCCCGAAGAAGTGAGTTTTCCCCTCGAGCCCGTGATTTCCCTCTGGTAACGAATGTGTCTCGGAACGCAAGACTGCCATCTAACCGTACATCTGTGCCACCGATTCGACTTGATTGCCTAGTCGATCGTTGACTGCAGTAAATGCAGTAAAGACGGGCCGAGGCGCTCCCTGTGTCACTGCTTCGGGCATCCTGGTCGTGGGCTGCCGAGTCTCTGTACTACAAACTCGGAGGTCGATCCGACCAGAATTAATCCCTGCCTCTGCTCATTTGAATGCCAATTTGTCTTGCCATGCCCAGGAAGTCGACCCTGGTCAGGTCATGTCGGCTAATGAGCTGAAGAAACCTCTGGAGACATAGGGGGGCATTCATGGTGTGCTTCGGGACAGCATTTGATTTGGTTGACAATACTATCTCCCCCACAGACAGGGGCTGAGATGCAATGACCTTTTCGTCCTGATACCTAGATGCCGCCCCTGCCAACTCCACCCAACCACCATGTAGCACCGGCTGTTGGTGCAGCTCTTTGCTCCTGCATGTGGCCTACATGTTCACACCTGTCGATCGCTCCGCCTTTTCAAGGACGTGGCAATAGAGTTCTCACCCTTTTGGAGGCGGGCATTGACTTTGAACTCAGGCCGTTGGCTGGAGAGTAGCAGCAGGATGCCGCCTGCAGAGTAACCCAAATGGCGGCTTCTCCGAGCTCACTGGCTGCATACTTCTGCCTACGGGCCTACCTAACCACCTCACGCCGTACGGAACAGGAGGGAAAATCGGAAAGACCGGGTTCCCATCATCACGCGCTTGGGCGAATCGGGGCGAGTCTTCGACGCGGAACGGTCCCGGTGGATACCTGGGCTCGGCTTTTGCCATTTCAGTCGAAGCGGCTGGATGGGGATGGTCTGTCCAGTGCCAGGTATCCGCCTGCAGTGCAACCCTTGCCATGTGCTGAATGCGTTTGAAACCGCCCCCAAGGAGAACGTTGGCCACGTTCTTCTGCTTCCCCTGCCTCAGATTCCCACTTGCTCTGAACCATGCGCGGCAGGGGGATCGCGTGGAAAATCTTCCCCGTGGAACTCCGTTGGTAACAGTAACAACTCTGTCGATGTACTCAGCGCTCCGAGTCAACCTCGCGCTGCCTACTTCGCACGCCCGTCCGCGGCACAGAGCCAGACACCCAGAAGATTGTCGAGATACCCTTGCTGACTAGCCCGCGTATGGTAGCTCCGCCAGGACTGGCTCCCAGGAAAGAGAGAGTGGATCTGCTACTGCGTGGGACCTTTGAACATGAACCTATCAAAAAGTCGCAGGGGGTTAGTTAACTGCCGGACTAAACCCTTGAGAGACAAGACCGCGGGTCTTCGCACTAGTTAGTCCCTGTCAAGTGTTGCGGCCGAATGAGCGTCATGTAACCCAGCTCGCCCAATGGTAGGTTGTAATATCTACGCAGACAAGGCCCTATAGCGGTGGGTTTATAATCAACTACCACTTGCCGGGCCCTCGCCCCGGCGAGCTCCACCCATTGTGGTGAAGCGCGGGTTTATCGCACCCTAATGACCTGGCATAACAGCCCAGGTCGAATCATCCACGGCTATGACTGGTTACCGCCGCTGTGTCACGTCCTAGCATGCTGGTTCTCTACAGCACGGAATTCTCAACAGGCAGGGGCGTCTTCTTGACCGGACCAGAGCCAACATGCAGGCTGTGGCATGGCGGTTGCCTCGCAGGGTATCATGCCTGCCGCTACCTTACCATCAGTACATAGCTCTAGGGGGCGTATGCGTTTTGCAAGTTCCAATAAAGGAAGACGGGAAGCACACAGTCTGGACCCTTGGCCTTGCGCCTCGTCACTGCTTCAGTTAGATGGGAAGAACAGCCAGTGACCAAGTCACATCTGCTCCTCTGTTACCCAACTATCAATTTCCGAAAATAGTTCTGAGGGTAGAAAGAACCAGAGCGATACCTAGATATAAGGCTGCAGCGCGTCTTACTCATATCGTCGTTACTCAAAGTATTTGGCACTTGCAATACGACGTGTCGGCAGCTTCGTAGTCGCACACTATAACAGTCTCTAGTGTAATTGGCCAGCAGACTTCCGAAAACACAGACTGGGCTACCTGATCTAGAGGCGATGGCGTACGGCAATCAGCTACTCGACGCCTCCGCCCGCGAATCTCCAGAGGTACGTTCCTCATGATATGAGTCACTGTCGCCTTATTCACAGCAGCAAGCCGAATGAGGCTTGCCGCTGATTTGATGGCCGCCGCAATGTCTTAATATGGCCAGACCTGCATCTCTTTTGGAGAAGCGTGCGATACTTTGCAAGCGTCTTCACGACTCTTGCATATCAATCATGCTGCAGTACGCACGTTCGACAAGAAGGCAAAGGTACGGGAGAAGAGACAGCAAAGCTAACTGGCATGACCTCGCCTAGGTCTCATTATCTGGGTCACTCTCGCCTACAACGCTGGTGGCCACAACAACAGACCATTATCCTGCAACCACGGCACCGTGGTCGAGCTACGCAGCCCCTCAGGGTGCGTCGCCCAGCTCATATGGCGATAGCCTTCCGATGCCAGGCTACGGTTCTGGAGGCGAGTACTACCCGAGTGAGGGAGAATGGTCAAGAGTGCGGAACTCTTTCTCACGCTCACCAGCAGAGGCCTTTGATCTCCCACTGCATGGGGCCTCAAGCGGCGTAGGCTCCCACGGCTACAGCACACCGGGTGACGCGTACAGCTATGCATACCCAAGCGAATTGAACCCTTCAGCAGAGGCGCATCTCTTAGACCATGTCGTCAGCAGCAGCACTAGTCGCACCCGGTCATCGAGGCACCGGGATTCGGTATCCTCCTCAAGATCCAGAAGAGTCAAATACCCTCTCTCGCCACCCAGCGTGTCGTCGTCGACAAAATCTACAACTTCCAAGCTTCGATCCGCCTCGCGGGCCTCGAAAAACACACACCTCAACCCGCCACAGACGGAGGAGGAGCGCAAAAACAGGGCCTCACATAACCAAGTCGAGAAGCAGTACCGGAATCGGCTGAACGCCCATTTCGAGGCACTGCTCAACACTCTTCCAGAGTATATGCGCGGTGGCGACATAGAAGACGAAGAGGGCGACAGAAAGATCAGCAAGGCAGAGGTCCTGGAAATGGCTAGGCGGCACATCACGAGCTTGGAACGAGACTACGCGGCGATCGAGAACGAAAGGGACGAACTGAAAGACACTGTTGAAAGGCTGAAATGGATGTTGACGAGTCGGGGCGACGGCGTCAATGTGAAGGGCCCATGACAAGGTACCCTCAGTTTGTCTGATCCGATGGCAAGCCTTGGTGGGCTAGAGACAAACATGTCCACCAGCAGCCACGGGGTCGGGTGGATTCCGCGGTGCTTGTTTGCCAGTAGGCATGCAGTAATGCAGGAGATATACGGAAGACGGAAGATACACCACGCCCGAAGAATTCAGAGAAAGGAACATATTTGTTATATTCATTGTGACAAACCTGCCTTGCTTTCTCCCCAACCGATTAATCTATGACTGCAGCAAGCGCTGTGGGCACGCTAGATACCACCGGGTCCCTTCCAGTGTAAACATGGAATACGACTGAATGGCATGGCATTGAGTAGAAAACGTCGTGCCTGAAGTTCTGTCTCTGAGACAGACACTTTAATATGAGAAATAATAGGATATTTGGAGATTCATTGCCGTCGTGTGTGAGATTGGGAAAATAAACCCCGATTGGGTCGCATACGTGAAGGATGGATAGCTCTTCATGACGTATCGCAGCATCTGTTTGTCTACTGGTGTTACGAAGGCTGTGGGGTCCTCTTGTAAGACGGAACAGGTGTTTAGTATCCATTTTTGCGTCTGTTCACAACATCGTCACTTGCCACGAAATGCCATCGTCAAGTTTGTTGGTTGTTTGTGCGGCCATAATCTGCCTTTCATGATCTTGCGCACACACAGTCTTTGCTACAGTACAGACACCGAGCCGATTCCGCCGTACCTCTACTTAGTTCAGCGAGCATAGACCAGCATATTTCCAGCGCTTCTCTTAAACTCTTATGAATTAGCCTCTCCGTATGTGTTTGCTTCCCAAGATCTGGACTGCAGGGTGCAAGATCTCACCCGAGATTTAAGAGTCCCTGGCCAAAGCGGGGCGACCGTTGAGGTGCGCCCAAACCATATTGTCGGGTCTGAGGCAAACCAAACATTGCTTATTTCAACCTCAGGTAGTACCTTTATTACTGCCAGCCGCTGAGACTGATAACTTTGTTACATGCTACAGACTGCGTATAATTATCAAGACATCGGGATAAGGCTCCCGATCAAGGCGGGGAAGACACCCTGAGTCGAAGACATATATCGAGTCCCGTCACATAGTTTCGGGACCGTAGTATCGCCCATACTGCATGTTGGAAGTTTTTATTGATTCCGCTCGCTCTGCGACTGGAGCCTAGATTCGCGTGTTTGCATCCTACACCGCGTTCGTAGGACTGCCAACATAGCTCTTTTGCAGCCTCGTTGTTCGCTCCCGATGCTGCCCTATAGATCGTGCAAATGCGAATGTCACTTAGTTGACTGTGACGTCAAATCGGAGAGTCTCAAGATCCTATTTCGGCCTAGTATCTGAGTGTTCTGATGAGACGTATCGTACTTTGCAACCGTGCATGATGAAGATACAGACTTGCCGCACACCACGCTGACTACAAGGATCATCCTTCGGCATGGATATTGATAGGACCCCTGATGCCTTCGCCTCGGCACAGAATCATCAAGGATTGCGGCAAGCTGCGTTGACCATGAAATGACGATATATGGTACATTTCGACAGCGTATAGGATAACTACAGGTTTTCGCCTCTCGACCAATGTACTGCAACCGCATCTTTTGTTGCTGCGTACCTGCTCACCGCTTACCACCATTCGCCGAAGACTACTAGATGGATGCCAGGCATGGGTGCAGCCGTCTTGTACGTCGATAAGTCCCGCTTCGCTCGGGAGGTGAACCTATTCAAGGCATTGACCTTTTCTTCTATGCGAACAATCACTTTGGCGCTGTGTGTGGTTCCTACTCAGCACAAGGTACCCTGGACGAGATGTACCTAAATCGCAAGGGATTGTTATACCCATGACTCCGTAGGAATGAGCAGACACACCGCCTGTTGTTCGCAGCCGCGCGGCTAAGTATGAATCCTTACGGCCATACGAGCCACGTGTTGGAGGTGCTTGTTCCAGGAGCGGTAAATGAGGGCCTTGATTGGTAAGCAGTGCTTTGTTTGGACTTCCATCGGTAAGACTTCCATCGGTAATGGAAAATCGAACCAACGACTATAGGATGTAAGGGGGCCTCGATGGTTTCAGGTTCGCGTATTACGCCCCCATGAGGCCTGTGGTTCCAACAAGATACTGTTACCGGCTGTCCAGATATGCAAACACTCCGTGACGGCTCCTCCGTAAATCTGGGTCACACCGATCGGGATATTGTGACCTCGCCGAGATATCAAGTAATTCCCGGTCGGCCATCAGAGTGTACTAATACCTACGGAGAATGCCGAGCTGTTCATCCTCCTAAACCCACGTTGACGCATGTCAGACGACCTACATAGAAGGATTTTGCCACGCAACACCCACCGCCTCAATGAGTAATGAGTACAGGCGGCAAATCGGAACCCGATCCGGACATAAGCCGAATGCATCACTCTGCGCACGCGTACAATGCGAGGCCGCGTCGTAAGAATACTCTCTGCCTGATAACATCCTGCTTCGGTGCGGGGAGTAGAACATGGAATACGGAGTTAGCTACCGATCCAAGAACATAACCTTCTGTTATTACATAACATTGGGGACAAGTCTCCTCGTCCAATGACACTCCTGGTTTCGCACTGATGGACTCGACCCCCGGCGGGGTCCATGTACTTGCCTCGGACTTACCAAGTTACCGTTTGTCCAGGCGATACGCGTATAACGGTAAACGGTATCTCCGCCGGCGTCTAGCATGAAGCAATTCCTCCACATTTCCCATGCGTTGCCATCTTTGCTGTTGTCTATGGGCATAGTGCAACTCAACGGACCTTGATAGCCCATAAAAGCTGAAGGTTAGCTGACAAGCAGTTCCCGCTGCTTCATTGCTCTCAGTAGCCGATGCAGGCACAGTCTTGACGTAGAATTGGACGCACCCGCATTGACAATAATCGCTGTCGGCCTTGGCCGATTCTATTGTGTAAGGGAACTAGAGGAGCTGTAGCTTATATCTGCCCCAAGTCATAGCCACGCCATGACCGGTGGTCGATAGCCTGATTAACCAATCACAATTAGTTCTACATGCCTCTTTGTCCTTATTGGCCATTGCGACATGTATGTAGACTTACCTTTTTGTAGATTACGCCATGTCAGAACACCAGTTTTTTGGGTCTCAAAGTTGAAAAGACAGCATTTCTCATACGCATAACGAATGAAAATAGATAATCTTGACCACAGTACAGGCTTGAAATCGCGTAAATTTTCTGGCCTATGAGAAGACGTTGATAATCCATGATTGAGCTCCCAGTCTTTGAAGTGGAAGCATCAAACCCACAAGGGCGACGGAGTCATTGACCTAGCTGAGACTTATCCAAGGATGTACAAACAACCAAACACGCTGCAGACATCATTCACCGTCCACGAGATGCATGATGAGTACTTCAATGCAGTCCTTAGTAACATGCTCATCAGCACTATCTATTAAAATACACACACACATGGGATCTGTCTTCCGCTCTCTTGCCCTCCTTTGCCTAGCCAGATGAGATTCCATCAACCACTCTCATCGGCGTCCCCTCTCCCCCGTGGCAAGCCACGAAAAGAGGCGACAGGCGGTACATGCGCCTGAGGACTTGCGTTTCCAGGGTATTTTTAATGGTAAGCCTCCTTTTTTCCCTCCCCCCTGGGCGATGGCTTGAGGGGAACATTCTTCTGATACACGTGCCAATCGTTTCCTCTGAACACCTTCTTCCCTTTAAGATGATGGCCTCCCAAAAGCAGAGAAAAATAAAAACACCGAAACGCCAGCAAGAAAAAAAGATGCCAGTAGTGGGTGACCACTCCTGAAGGAAGATGCAAGAGCCGTATTGGCGACGAAGTGAAAGTGGAAGAAGTGTGTTTAGACGAAAACCACAAACTCCCGTGTCTAGACGATCCATCGATGGCAAGCGAGAGTCGCGCGGAGGTAGGGCCACCCCACTGGAATCAAACATGACGAGAGCGGCGTCTTGGATGATAGCTGAGTATATACCCGCTGTGAGGAGCACCCTATTCGCCGTCACTTTGAGCAGCACTCGGGCCACCGTTTGCCTGGCTTGCACCGTTTGTCACCAGCTTTATCCTCGTAGGGTTGGTCACAGGTTGAGGGGTGCCCGCGCTGGTGGTCGGAGCAGCACTGCTCTCCTTCGCCGATGGGTCATCAAGCTCAACTAGCTCTGGGTGTGCGGTCAGCTCTTCCTGCGCCTTGGTGTTGAAAAATTTCTGTCGAACAGTTAGTTATGCGTCAAGACTACATGGGTGCGAGCTTTCTTACCTCCATGACGTTCGCGTCAGCATAGAGCAGACTGCCATCATCGTTGTAAGTTCTGCAGTTGTTGCACATCAAGACAACATCCCTCCGCATGTCGTTGATAGAGTTATATTCCTCCTTCTTCATCTTGGTGAGGATGTTGTTCATGCAGATTGGGTTCTGGATGATGACATAGTAGTCGCCATAGTCCCGCTTAGAAGGCAGCTTGACAAACGGTCCGATGATCAGACGCTTGGGTGGCTCGTCATCCTCGTCATCTTCTTCCTTGTCTTCGGGCTCAGGGTCATCGGCTTCCAGGGACATCAGTCCGTCGTAGATGGTGCGCAGGGTCTTTTGTAATACAGGGCGTACTTCAGCAGGGACTCGCGATTCAGATCCGTTAGTTGCCACAGCCTTTGGACGTCCACCGGGCCCACGGCGCTTCTTGGCAGGAGGCTCGCCGTCTTCCTCGTCAGCCTTGCGCTTCTCGTTCTTACTTCCAGGCTTGCGGCCCCGCTTCTTGGGTGGAGTCTCGACCTCTTCTGTGCTGGCCCTACTAGCAACCGGTGAATTCGCGCCAGAAGCATTGAGAACAGCCGCACGCTTGAGCCTGTTCGTCTCTCGCCTGTCCTTCCTCGCCTGTTTCCGTGCGGCGGCAGCCTCTGGAGAATCCTCCTCGTCGTCAACAGCCATGAGCCACTGCTCTTCAGTCAAGCCATCATCGTACTTAACCCTGGTTCGCTCACGAGCACCACGGCCGAGGATCTCCTCCTGTTGATCTTCCACAGGATTGCCCTCGGACAAGTAGATCTCAGGCAACTCCTTCTCGGTCATTAAACGCGACATATGCTTGGTACCTGGAATGGTACCATAAAGAGGGTCTCGAGAACGTTCTTCGTCAAGCTGGTTGAAGAGGACAAGCTCGTCGTCATTTCGGGCAAGAATCATGTTCAATTCCTCATCGTCCATTTCATCCTGCTCACCTGATTCGGCCATATCAGCAGTCTCCAGAAGGGTTCGGAGCATAGCATCACGATCTGTCTCGGAAGATTTGTTGTCGAACCGACCAGCCTGAATAACCTTGCCGTCCATGTCGAGCTTGTACCGAGCACGCTCCAAGATCTTCTCCTCTACGGAGTTGGAGCTGATAAGTCGCAGGATTCGAACCTCGTTCTTCTGACCGATACGATGAGCACGATCCTGGGCTTGCAAATCTTGGTGAGGATTCCAATCCGAGTCGTAGATGATGACTGTGTCGGCAGTCTGCAAGTTCAGACCAAGACCACCAGCACGGGTGGAAAGCAGGAACATGAAGTACGGCGAGTCGGGTGCGTTGAAGATTCTCAACAAGTCCGAACGTTCGTCAGACTTTGTGGTACCATCGAGACGCAGGTATTGAATGCCACGGAAGCGGAGGAAATCTTCCATGATATCCATGATGGCAGTCATCTGGAAGAACATGAGAACTCTGTGACCGCTAGCCTTATACTTTGGCAAAACTCGGTCCAAGAGCTCAAACTTTCCTGAAGTTCTCCACAGCAAATCGTTGCTGGTGTTTAGAGGGTTCATCTGGTTTTCAACCTCGTCAAACACGAAGGGGTGATTGCAGAGCTTTCGAAGCTGCATGATCATGTTGCTCAGGCCACGAGCGTTTGCCTTACCACCCTTGCCATCGCTAACGGCAATTTTCTGGTGGGTGACCATCTGCTTGTAAAGACGGCTCTGTAGTGCAGAGAACTTGCACTTAATGACCTTCTCGGTCTTGTCAGGCAGGTCCTTCTCGACATCCTTCTTGAGACGGCGAAGCAAGAATGGCCGTAGAACCTTGTGGAGACGTCGAATAACAAGGATCTGTTCTTCTTCGTTGAGCTCCATCTTATCCTGGCCGCCAGTGTTGGCGAAGGGCGTGTTGAACCATTCATCGAAGGTGGTTGCGGACTTGAAGATGTTGGGTAGAACAAAGTTCAGCATGGCCCAAAGCTCACCGAGGTTATTCTGCAGCGGGGTACCAGTCAGGATGAGTCGGAACCGGGTGTGATAGTACTGCGAAATTGTAGCACTGAGCTTGGAGTTGCTGTTCTTCATACGGTGACCTTCGTCAATGATCATATGGAACCACTTGATCTTGCTGAGGATGGGTCTATCCTTGATGATGTACTCATACGTGGTGAGCAGGACTTGGAATCTTCCTTGTCGGATCTTTTCTTGTTGCTGCTTTCGCGCATTTGGAGGACCCTTGTAAACAACCTTGGTCACGGATGGGGCCCACTTCTCAAACTCGAGGTTCCAGTTGGTCAAAGTGCTGAGTGGGACGATGACCAAGTAAGGCCCGTTTTGCAGCTTCTTCTCGATCAGGTAAGTCACCAATGAGATGGTCTGAATAGTCTTGCCGAGACCCATCTCATCAGCAAGAATACCGTTGAGGTTGTTGTTGTAGAGAGACAACATCCACTGGAGACCTTTGATCTGGTACTCCTTGAGGCTGCCACCGACGAGAATGTCAGCCTGCTTGGTAACATCTTCCTTGATACGATGCGCCACGGCGTAGTAATCGATCTTCTTGCCGCCGTCCTCGTCGATGTCCTCAGGTTCGCTCTCGTCGTCGTCGAAATCGGTGTTGCCTTGCAGCTGCGCCGCCTGTCGCTGTTGAGCCTTGACAGACGAGGCAAGTTGGTTGAGAAAGCCGTCGGTCTGCCGGAGAAGGTGGGTGATACGGGTATCCTTGGCCTGGTCAAGCAGCTTAAGATAGGCCTCCTCATCGTTGGCCTTCAAAGCTTGCAGACGCTGCTTGGCCGTACGCTCAATGCGCCTCTGCTCTTCCTTTTCAATGTTGAAGTGCTGAGAGTACATGGCACGGCCCAGCTTGTACATCCTGTTCCTAGCGCTTGATGCCGAGTTGTGGATCTCTGCCTTGTGGTGCTGCACCGACTCGAGGAAGTCGGTGTGCTTCTTCTTCTCGCGATGTTCGCGGGCATCCCGTTGCTGCTTCTCGAGCTTCTCGGTGATACGTGCTTCGCGCACGCTCTGCTTCTTGGTTCGGCGATACTGACTGCGATTCGTTGTCATGGCCAAGTTGTCAAAATGCATCATCTGACGCCCGATCTTCTCACGAAGTGCGCGCTGCTTGGCGTAGAGCCCGAGAGACTTGAGCTCGATGATGGCCTTCCGCTTGATGGTATCATCGGGCTCAATTGTGTCCTTTGTTGAATCCCAGTGGGCGACGTTGCCGGGCAAAGCCTTCAGCTCGGCATATCTCGCCTTCATGCGATTGAAGACAATGATCTCACGTTCGTGACGAAGCTGCTCGAAGTCGACACCAGTGGGCAGAATGCTCGGTATGATCAAACGCTTCCCCCGCTGGGTGTGTTCATGGTAGCTTATGTCTTTCTTGACCAGGCCAGCCTCATAGGGTGACTTGACTGTCTTGTAGACTCGCCCTTTCACGGCGGCAGCAGCCGGGGCCTCGGGCTCGGCGACGCCATCCGGACCAACCGACGCGGCCTTTGCAGATTCTGCTACAGGTGTGGGCGCGGTTGCGGAAGCTGACGAGGGCTGCGCTGATTGTTCGGCGACGGCTTGTCTCCGCAGTCGTTGAGAGTTGAGAGCTTGTTGCATGGGGTACGGGACGCCAGTATTCTTCTGCAGCAGCTTGAAGGCATGGATCTGCTGTCGCAGTAGATTCAGCTGCTGTTGATTGAAGTGGGCAGTGGGTGCGCCGGTCGATGGGGACGAGGCATTCGGCTGAGCCGTCGAAGCGGAGGTAGAAGGCATGGCCGACGTGCCCAGAGGGGCAGACGGCGGCGGCTGGGAAGTGCCATTAACCTGACCGTTGACGTTGGCGGCGCTCTGCTGCTTTTGTTGCATCTGCTGGCGGTAAGCATTCTGCATCTGCTGCTGTTGCTGAACGTTATGCAGGAACTTGTTGAGCTTTTGATACTCGGGGTCCGACTGGGACACGCCCTGCTCCTGCATCTGCTTGAAGCGCTGGGAGTCATTGTCAGCAAACCGTCTAGACTACAGGACGAGGTGGGCGATGATGAATTCACTGCTGAGGGCCGAGGGTTCAGAACGGGCGGGACACGAGTGGCACTAACCATGTACATCTCCTTCACCTGAGAGGCCGTCATCTGCTGGGGCATGCCCGAGGGACCGGCATGCTGGACAGCCGGCGCAGCCTGAACCGACGCCATGATGGGTGCGCCTGGTGGACAATGACACTAGGGAGCCCTGGCTTTGCAATACACGTTTGACTTCTCCTAATGCGCAGTATTACGACCAGCTCATGTCTTATAGGGTTGGCTCGCTGGGGGTGGTGATGCTCCGGCGCGGTTGGCAGCGTGGCTTCGCTCGCGGGGGGGAGACGCGAGGCTCTGGGGCAATGCGCCCGTGGTCGCGTCGCAAAAGGGTCGGGAGGCCGTGGGAAGGACGAAAGCCGGGGGTTGCGGATGGCAGTCGTCGCGTTGCGCGGGCCGGTCGGGCGTGGAGATGGCGAGGCGATGGGGGATGGGGGATGGGGAAGGTGGCCGGTCGACGCGAAGCGGGAGGGCGAAGGAGAAGCGAAAACGAGTGCCAAGGTGAAGGGAAGGGAGCAGCCAAATAAGTGTGGGGTTGGCGAAAGGGCGTGCCTGGGCGGGAAAAAGTCGCAGAGGCGCGGCGAAAGGTCGCGCAAAATGCTGGCTGGGCCTCGCTGCGATGGGATTTCGATGCTTCGCGACAAGGTGGGCTGGCGCGGACACGCAGGTTGATGGCTTGGGGGTGGATGGATTCAATCTTCTGGAGGTGGAAAGAGGTTTGATTGCAGGCCCTCACAAACCAGCGATTGAGCCGCGAAGCCAGAGGCCCGAGCGCCCGCCCTAGCGCGGGATTGGGTGGAGTCCGCATCCCCCCGGACTTACTGTCGCTCCGTCTCTCGTCGCCAATCAGAGGCGCTTCCGGCCGGATCGCCGCCAGTGCGCGTTGATTGGCTCACTATCTACTGTGTATTCTGCTCTTCCAGGTCCTGTCCTGTCTGTCCCGTCCCGTCCTGTCCAGTGAGTTCAAGCCGGAGAGCATTGAACGCGCGCATTGCGTGCCTGTTTGACGGCTTTTCTGTTCGAAATCCCTGAATTATTTGAAAGCTTCCCTCTCGATGGCCCTGCATGATTTTATCCTGGAATCCCGGATCTTTCGCGTCACGTTGCACTACATCGCGCAGCATGGCAAGCCCCGTCATTCGCATCGTCAAACGCTGACCACGGCGCACTACCTACTCTATCAGTGGCCCTCTGTACCATACCGTAGCCACTTGCAGCATTGTAGCCAACCAACTAACTTAGGTAACTAGTTAGACTCGCGCATCCCAGGTTCTGTCGTCCAATGTGAATGTGGCCTTGCGCTTTGGCGGCCTAGTCTAGTTTTTCTCTGGGGGTTGCTGGGAGCTTGGACTAACTGCTGCCGAGTATAGCCCACGTCATTTCTTGGCTCTAGACACGCTTTCCGTCCCAACTAGAGCTACGGGGCCGGAGGAATATCTTCCAAACCTCATTGGATCTCTTGAATCTCATACAGCCAATCTTTCCCCCAACCCACTGCGGTCTTGAACCCTCCGCAGTAGTACATCGACAAGCAGTGGAAGGGGACTTTGGAATTATATACATCTTTTATTCGTCTCCTAGCTGGTTGTATGTGCTACATGCCTCACGTCTATGCTGTCTGGCCCCTCATCCCTGATAACCGGACATGGCGACGCTTGAACCCCCGTTTTACATCTTGCCTTCGCCAACCCTGCGTCGATGAAGATATACAAACAAGATCTACGAATAGTAGTGTTGCAGAATGGCCATGTGGATCCCTTCCACGACAGCCGGGGCCGCAAGACCAGCTCCAATCCGTGGCCAATGGGTGGCACGATCTGGAATGTGTAGTGCTTGACACCTCAACCAACCTACATACTGCATACAAGCAGTTGCTAAATCCCTGTAGCTTTTCCTTCCCTTTTATCTTGAGTTTTTCTATCCTTGCACCATCATTCATTAATGCGCTGGTTTTGGCAAGCCTACTTTTACCGCTTGACCTTCTTCTTATCTGGACCGGCCTCTTCCTCCTCATCACTGACATCCGCATACTGAGTGACTGGCTGCGTGGAATTCCAGGCCTTGGTGAACATGGGGTCCTCCTTGGCCAGTTTCTCGTATTTGAGTAGCGCCTCTCTCGGATCCTCGTGAAGCATCCGGCTGAGCGGGATGTTCTCGCTGATATGCTTCTCGTCAGGTTGGCTGCGCATGAACGGCGTGATTTGCTGCACCTGGGGTCGCCTGGGGTCCAGGGACCGACCAGACGCCGTGACACCTGCTTTCCTAGCCCGGGGCATCGCACCCGGCGTGACAATCGCGTCTCCCGACAGGCCAAGGGTCTGGTCCGTAGTGAACTCGGGATTGTCGTCAATGTGCCGCCGCTTGGGCGCGCGGGACATGACGTCGATAGCTCCACGGTTAGACATGTCGGGGTTGTAGAGAACATGGGTCTCGGCATTGGCCGAAGTGGTAATGATCTGGTTAATCTTGGGGTGCCAGTCCACCGTAATGACAGGTGAGCCTGGGGTGATGGGTGTTGTGTACTCCGATCGTAAGTTCCCGGGGTTGAGAATGTGGAGGTGGCCGGTCGCCGAGCCGGTGATGATGCTTGTTGAGTTGGGGGCATACTTGATGTTCGTCATGGGGTAATGGTCCGAGGTCGACGGGTGGTCGACGGTAACAAGAGGCTCCTTGAACTTGCGGGTATCCCATAACTTGATCAAGTTGTCACCGCCCCTCGTGACAACCATTCGACCGTCTGAGCTAATATCAATACCACCAGTCCACGTGTTGGGCTTATGCGCGTCCCTGATTTCAGCCGCAGGCCGAGTGAAGGGGCCGTTTCCACTCCACATGACCAAGGTACCGTCAAGAGCTGCGGATACAAGCACGTTGCTGCCGCCCTGCGCTGGAGCCCCCCAGGCTACTGCTGTCATTCTGGACCTTCCTGCCACCCCGGGCGCTTTCGACTTGAAGACTATCACCTCCTTTTGGCTTCGCTTGTTGTTGACGTCCCATATCCGTAGGGTGCTGTCGGTTCCTGCCGTGACGCACAGGTTCTTATCGGTGGGGTGCCACGTTCCGGTCGTGATCTCGGAGATGTGGCCCGACGTATTGTTCATATCCCTAAGATACATGTCGCCCTTGACGAACTCGGTGATGATGTCGCCGTCGCGAGACATGATCTTGGCCTGAGGGTGTGCTGAAATGCACAGAAAGACGCTCCCAGCCTGGGGGTTGAACTCGACATGGTGTATCGGATGTGTCTCCTGTCCAGACGTCGAGGGCTTGAGATCGTAGGGGTCCACGGAGCGGAAGGCTCGAATCGTGGTAGGCGTCATGGACGAGAAATCATGTAGCTTGACGGTGCAGTCGATCGATCCCGAAATCAACCTACCGCCGGCCGGATCCAGCGACACCGTGGTGACGGCCCGGTCGTGTGTCTTGATGACCATCTCATGCGACGTCGGGAACTCGTCCTCGTCGTCTTCCTCGTCGTCCGAGTCATCATCGCTGTCGCTGTCGCTGCCCTTGGCATCCTCCGGGCTCGAGTCCTGCGGTTTGTGTAGTGCCTTGCCCTGTTCGACCTGGGGCTTGCCGGCCGCCCTCTTGCTGCGGTCGAACTGAGCGGCGATATCAGCCTCTCTCGATTTCTTGCCAAACGAGGTCGGCAAGAAGGCGCGCATGGGGTCGTCTTCGGCCAAACCAGGCCCCTCGACCTGGATGTCCTCGTCGTCGCTCATGGTTGCGGCTGACTGGGCGGCCGGGCTGAGCAGAGGTGTCGGAGCGCGAATGTTCAACAGTGCTGGCGCGAGGCTGAATTGTTTGTCTTGGACCCTTTGGAAGCCTTATGACATCGAGAGTGGCCGGGTCCACCGCTGGTCCAGTCGCAGCTGAAGCCCAGCCGCTGAGAAGTCCCCTACTGCCCTAGGCTTGCTAGGCTGCTAGCGGGCATGGCTAGGTAAGCCCAGGGGGGGCATGTAGTGGACCCGGGCGCTATGACGGAATCTCGCAGCAGGGGCGCTCGAGCGACCTTCAGCACATGAAAGCTCGCGCCACGGCCTAGCTCCAGCAGCTCCAGCCAGTCACTGGCGGCCCTTGGCGATCGTGACCCAATGCATGGCCCAAGATCCGCTCAGGTCAATCAAAAGTCCAGTCCCTCGAGTCCAGTCCAATATTTCCATTCTATTGATAATCCCCGCCCGCCTAATAGTCTCGTCGCGCTCTATTCTCTTTCCAACCCCCGTGTCTCTGCCAGTCTGGACTCTCCCTCATCCCCATTGCGAGCCTTGTTGCTGCCGAGCGGCCGATCTCAATCGCGAGGCCGATGCCACATGACTCTCCGACACCAACCAGCTACTACGAGGCGTTGTGTGTGGTTGCCTATGCTCTGATGCGAATCCAGAGCCAGCCCACCTGTACATTGCAATCGCAACGCTGTCGACACGAGATATCCGAGCGACATCTCCCTCCCTTGGCCTGCGCACCCGTATAACCGAGCTTATCGGCGCCGGAAATGCCGGTCATCCCGGACTTTGAAACCCTCAGCCCGGGGCAGTGGACGTTCGGCGTTGGCGACGGGAAAGGCAACGATTCCAAGCTCGGGGAATGGAGCTCCCTTATTGGCATTATCACCGCCATCGTGGGAAACATACTCATCGCTCTCGCGCTAAATGTCCAGCGGTATTCGCACTTGCAATTACACAGGCGCAGGGTGGAGGCGAAGGAACGAGCCAAGGAGGCCCTGAGAAGAGCTCGTAACGGCGCTGGTAACGGCTATGGGACGACTGACAACGCCTCGACACCGGCCCAATCCGACGACTATCCCGAGGATGGCGAGCTGCCAGAGACCCATCCGCTTGCGCACTCCTTCCGGTCTGAAGACTCCGGCACATCGGATACTGTTGCGGAGAGCAAGGTGACGTCGACATACCTCAAGTCGCCTTCTTGGTGGCTGGGACAAGTCCTCATGACCATAGGAGAGATGGGAAATTTCCTGGCGTACGGTTTTGCGCCCGCTTCCATCGTCTCGCCTCTTGGCGTCGTGGCCCTGATATCGAACTGCGTCATCGCGCCAATATTCTTCGGCGAGGTTTTCCGAAAACGGGACTTCTGGGGCGTTGTTATCGCCATCGCTGGGGCTGTCGTTGTTGTGCTGAGTGCGAAGCAAGAAGAGACCAAGCTCGACCCTCACGATGTGTGGGATGCTATTTCGACCATGGAATTCGAGATTTACATGGCTGTGTCCCTTACTCTCATTGTGGCTCTGATGTGGGCGAGCCCCAAATATGGCAACCGGACCATCCTCATTGACCTTGGTCTTGTTGGTTTGTTTGGTACGTTCCCAATGGCTTACCAGGTGAGAAAAAGTCGCTAATAGTTCGCAGGTGCTTACACCGTATTGTCCACCAAGGGCGTGTCGTCCATGCTTTCGTCAACTCTCTGGAGGGCTTTTACAACTCCCGTCACCTATGTGCTCATTGCCATTCTTCTGGGCACCGCTGTGATGCAGGTCCGCTACGTGAACAAAGCCCTGCAGCGCTTCGACTCAACTCAGGTTATACCGATTCAATTTGTTATGTTTACATTGTCTGTGATCATTGGGAGTGCGATTCTGTATAGAGACTTTGAAAGGACAAGTGCCGAGCAGGCCTTGAAGTTTGTGGGTGGGTGTTTGTTGACGTTCTTCGGAGTCTTCCTCGTCACTAGCGGCCGGCCGCGGCATGACGACGAAGACGGCCTCTCAGATGATGAAGGTGTGGAGGAAACAATCGGGCTCCGAGATCAAGAGGCTAGTGGCGCCGAAGGAAGGAAGCCCGCCCAGGATCAGCAGCCTGCAGACTCTCCCAGCGCCTCCCGGCGATCCTCCCGGGTCAGCTTCGCTGTGCGGCCCCCGCCTGTTCAACGTCACTCGGGCGTTCCGTCACTGAGACGTGGAGATCCTCCGGCCTCGAGGACTTCAATCGTATCCAGAGGATCGCCAGCTGAGGCTTCGCCGATCCTCAGCAACCCCTGGGAAAATGCACTTTCGCATCCAGGTCTCCCGCCGACGTTCTCTGACGATAGTGTTGTTACGATCCACTCAACAACCACTGCACAAACAGATCCTTTACCTATCGACACCGGCGTCCCGCCACTAATCAATGTGCCGGCATCACCCAATGATCGCCCAAGGACCCCGCGTGCCTCTTTCTCGTCCTCAAGGCCGCATAGCCACCATCTCACGAGTACCATTTTCTCACCATCACCCCTCTCCTCCACGGTTAGCGCAGTTGTAGGCGATGCCCTACTGCGAGGCCAGGAAGGCCCGCTACCTAGGAGGAAATCCATTCGCCGCCTGCGAAGTGGCATCCGCTCCAGCCTCTTTGTCCCGCAAAGCGACGATGAGGATGGACCCGAGTCGGAAGCATTGCTCAGACCCGCGGATACTGAGCCAGCGCCTGAACCAGCAGATGATATCGTGGACGGGAACAGAAGCTTGAGGGGCCGAGCTAGGAGTCTCAGTAATACCCTGGGTGATTTCTTCGGGCGCAAGAGGGGACGGCGGAATACCAACCCTGAGGGCGGGCCTACCCAGGACAGCCAGGACAGCGGCCCAGGAGGCGAACAAAGCGTAGACGCGCCGCCCCAACCATGATAGAACGGCGGTGGTCAGTGTGTACATGACATTCTCGCATCGTATATAGACGGTTCCTTGCACAGCATTGGATAGGAGTTCATGGTTATTCAGCATCAGTCAGCATGCTGCTTTTATGTCTATATCACTCTCATAATAATACCCCATCACTGGTCGCATATAGCAACTTGAAGCAAGAAGATAAACACACATGGAATCCTCCAGATCTTGGTATTCATTGAGCGTGCACGCAAGGACCGATTTCCATTGCGAGAACGAGCGCCTCTGTCATCGATAAGCTCCTGGTGTACCAGCTGACAGTTGCATGTGTATCCCAAGGGGATCCCGGCCGCATCATTTCGTGGTTAGCATTCTCTTCTTACGACCTCACATGATGCGCATCTTCATCTTTCCCACCGCGTAATCCTGACCCATGTCCACATCGTCCTGATCGTCAGCGACGTTCCGGGAGACCGTCTTCTCAACTCTGTGCAAGGCAGGCTTCAATGAATACATGTTGAGCTTGAGAGCGACAAGCTCGTCTAACGACAGCAAGACCGAGGACATGTCAATCTTGCCACTCCTGACCGACTCGAGCATCGCAGCGTGCTTCTTGACGGCTTCGCGAGCAGCGCACAGCTTCTCGGCATCGGGTTCGGCCTGTCACTCGGCCGTGATCGTGGGGACGTGACGGTCGGTCAGCCACTCGATGTCGTTGAGAAAGTAGGACTCCAGGTCCTGGTCGGTGTCGTCGTTCTCGGGGTAAGTGTCGGCATGCTGGCGGAACAGGCGAACGACAAACGCGAGCCACGAGTGCTCGTCGCGGTTGTAGGGCTCGCGCTTGTTGTTGTTCCAGCGCTGCTGCGCTCCGAGGAGACGACAGAAGAGCTGCTTGAAGATCGGAAAGGGGAGCGTCGCTGACCATTTGTTGCAGCCTTGCACCTCCATCAGGAAATCGTCCGCAGTTTGCCAGGCTTCATGCCTTCGGGCATGGGTTTGACTGTCGTCCAAGTTAGGGTCCTGCGAGCTGGATAGTATTGCGTTTTCTTACCAAGCCATTTGCCTTCCCAGAACGGTTGGATGAGACGCTGGGCTATCTCCTTATAGGGAATTTCGTGGTTGAACTTGAAGTTTCGACTGATCCATTGGTCCATCTGGGGAGATGTGACCGCAACCCTCTTCGAAAGGTCATGGGGAATGAGGCCAGCCTTGGGCAACTTATCAACCAGGAAGCGGAACCTGATTGGTCTCGGAGCCATGTTCAATGCAGTCCCCTTACTTTGGTAAGACCGAGTCGAAGGGTGGAATTAAGTTGTGGATGGTGTGGGGTGAGAATGCAAAGTGATAAACAGAGAAAACTCAGAGCGAATGAGATGGATAAGACGCCCAACATTTAACGTGAATTGCCAGGGTAAACACTTGAAGATTCACTTTACACCCCTCGTTTTAAGTAGTAATAATAGGATCACACAACATACAGAAACCTGGAAACGGTAGTACCCAAACAGAAAGGTAGGGACCGGCTGTAGATTGCCCATAGAATGATTTTAGAAGGAAAAGGTTTGGATAGGGTAAAGAGTAAGAAGGGAGGGGGGGGGAGGGAGAAAAAGCGCCCCAGGGTTCCCTGGAAGGGATTTCCTTATAAAAGGTCTCAGAATCATCTTCATGAGCCTTTAGAACTCACCCCTCGAATTCGACCATATCTTAAAGTCCTATGATGAATTGGTTCAGCAGTGCTCCCACGTTGAATTTCTTTTGCCAACTTACATGACCAACCTGGTCGTTGCTGCAATTACCGCAACCACCGAGTCTCGTAAATTCTAACATGCCTGACAGGCCTTTTCATGAATCTGATCTATCCCCTCGACCCGGGCACGGAGCAGTATTCACCACTTGGCCATTGCTGACCAGGCGATGGGCAATGAATCCCCTGCAAATTGGTGAAAAGGGCGATAACACGCCGGCCAGGCGGTTAAGGGGATCTGAGGGAGCAACCAATATCGTTCCACATTCACCAACTCCTCAAGCGAATGTCACCATCATTTTCACATTAGGGCACGTATGTACTGTTATTATATTACTACACCTCGCCCGCCTTAATACTCATTTTCACCCGTATGCAATGGTTTGACCCCTCTCCCCCAATTATTATTGGCATTATTAGTATGATAATTTGAGTTCCAGTATCGATCTACTGTTTTGACTGCAAGGGTTTGCAAATGGATATGATGGAAACTTCCACAGGTGCTGTTCGGATTTTATAGGATAGTGATGTCATTTTCAACCCACAGCAATTACCCTATGGCCAGTGTTTGCGTTTGCCGTGAGGTACACATGGGCCATATGCTAAGTGTCGCATTTCTAATCGCGGATGCACAATTCGTATTCTCGTATATCGCTAGAAACACTTGACTGAGTCAATCATAGTTGAATGCCCATGGGAATCCTATGGCGTGGCGGTAGTCGCATCGCTGTTGAGAGTATAAGACACCCGCGCATTGTCAAGGAAGGAGCCTGCCAATGCCAAGCCTTGAGCAATCACCACTTTTAGCGGCTGATACATACCAGAAACTTTGATTCTACGTGATTGGCCGTTGGCGATCCTTGCAGCTTGGCATTTTCAACCATGTCATCCTTCACCCTTAGTATACGACCAGACGACCAGTATCTCATGCCTACTGGTATTACTCGAGATTTCTAAGATAACAACGTCAGCCTCCACCTTTTAGTAGCGAGGCTGCAGAACTACAGGCGAAAGATACGGATCGGATCTTTCACCGACGTCAATTCGCTCCAATAGGGCGACCGACTCAGTCTACCGGCATTTGGGCCGATCCGGCCCGGAAGACCGGGGTCCATTATTCACACCGTCTGCAGGCGATGGTTCTTTGGTTCCCCCCTCAATTGACTATAGCGCTATTCCCGCAATCAGTAATCCAGCCCATCTTGGGTGCCATCAAAGCGACGATCGGCCAACCCCGGTATTGCTAGTTCGCGATAGTTCTGTCAACCGATTAACTTTTCAGGGTTATGATATGACATGCATGCATGGCACGTGCAAGGTTCTCCTCCCATATAAACATGGGGTTGGGGGCCCTTTACGGCGATGTGCCATGTGCTCCTTCACGATCTAATATAACCTCGTATAATCATAATGCGGTACACGGAACGTATTAACCTCGCCTTGGTGGTGGCCGCCTCGGCAATCGGTGGCACGACCGCCGTCAAGCTGACCGGGCATGCCAAGGGCATGTTTGATGAGTCAATGAACTTTCTAGACCAGATATACGATCCTGTGGCTGGCTACCTCCAGAACTTCTACTACCCCCTTGCCGCCGGAGGCCACGAAACCCGTTCGTCGGCATGGTATGCATCTGGCTTGCTGCAACGTAATAAGGGCAACGACCTTGAGGAGGCTGTCAAGATCATTACCAACATCATTGGGGGCCAGGAGAAGAACGTCAGTGCTCAATGGTTCGGTGACTACACCGTATACCCCGAACAGCCCACTGTCGGCAGCCCTGCGTACGCACCTGTGGTGAGTTACAGACGTTTTCGTAGCTCTGCAGCCAAGCTAAAAGTACCTAGATCTACAACTCCTGGGATCCCAATTGGAGGGGTTTCATCGGCACGACATTCATGGTTATCTACGAAGAATTCCAGGATATACTCCCAGAGGAGGTCAAGGAGTTGATCCTGGAGAGCATGTACAACAACACCATTGGAGACAGTTATCGCGTTGGTGGTGTTGATGACGACAACCTGGTGCCCTCCTACAGCAATCCTTCCTTGATGCGTGCCGTAGCATCTGGGTGGACTGGGCGTAAGCTGAATGAGTCGAACATGACGGCGGCGGGTGAGTTGTACGCCACCGAGATCCTCGACCTGTTCAACCTCAACAACACTCTCTCCGAGTTCAACAGCCCCACATATCTCGGGGTGTCCCTCTACGCGTTAACTCTCTGGGCGAAATACATGCCAGAAGACTCTGTAATGGGTCAGAACGGAAAACGTATGATTCAGCAGATCTGGGAGACAGCCGGAGAAATGTACAACGCCAACATGAAGAACCTGGCGCCACCATGGGATAGAGCGTACGGCTACGACATGAATCAATACATGGCCATCTTCTCGCTTCAAATCTGGTCGCTAGTCGGAAAGAAGCACGCACCAGTTGCCTCGCGTCCGTGGGCGATGACACACGCTGATGATTTTGAGTACGCGCCACTCATCGCCATCCTGTCACCGTTCCACGACTCGCTCGTCCCCAAAGAGGCTGTATCCAAGCTATTGACATTCCCAGGAGAACACACTTTCAAGACATCTGCTTTTTCGCCGCCAGCCGACTACTTCCCGCGAAACATCACCACGTGGCTCTCGGACAACCTCACCATCGGTGCCGAGTCATTCAATGAAGCTGGGGTTGGAGGACCGCGTCTAGATTCGTCGCAGTGGACACCTGCCGCGGTGCAGTGGCTTCGCTGCGATGGCTCAGTTGGATATATGTTTCTCTATCAGAAACAAACCGCTCTGGACGTGGATGTTGCAGCTAACACGTTAAGCTTGAGCTACCCCCGGGGTAACTCATCAAGTGTGTTCTCTTTAATGGTGAAGCCAAATCCCCGTGGTGGCAAGAGAGATATGGCCAGCCTTGATGATATTGAAGGAGTCAAGATTGAAGTTTCTGGATCAGTGGATCCAGTCCCAGAAATCAGCTTCTGTGGACTTTACGGCGGTACTTGCGACATTATACAGTGAGTCACCTTGACGCAATAGCCGAATGTTACTGACATCCCTGGCAGCGGGTTTGAATTCTGGAACTTTACCTACACCATGCCGGCCAACAGCACAGAGATCCCGAGAGTCAATCTCAAAATCGATTTATCAACGTAATATAATGTGTAGTTCTCTCCCTTGATGGAGAAGGCACGAATTTAATGACAATAACGGTTTCAATTTAATGTACCCGATGTGTGATTGACCTTATTGACACTCTGAGTCTCCGGTTTATAACGTATACCTAAACTCCGGGTGCCGATGACCTAAGTGGTGAAGATTCCACTGACCAAGCCTGTCATTGCGTTGGCCTTGGCTTCTCTTTCTGTTTTCCCAGTGGCAATATGCCATTTGGGCACATACAGTGGTGAAGCATAGGACTAGGGAGCCTAGACATACCGAGTGCCCAACAGTGTAGTCAGGGCTAGGAGCAACCTTAGTCTCGAAATACAACGATGGCAGTTGTGATTGGGGTACTTACGCATCTTTTGAGAGGTAAATAAATGTTGCTGGAAATGCTGCGCAATTGGCAAAAGCAATGAGAAAGCCCACTCCTGTGGCCCTGACGTAATGAGGTGCCAGATTGTTTGACATCCAGCCCTTGCAAGTGTTAACATTCTGATGCTTCCATGGGCATGAAGCACATCACTAACCATGATCATAGCTGAGCCAGGGAACACTCCTACTGCTACAAGGAAAGTGCCTCCGTATCGAACAGAGTTTTGTTTCGTTGCGAGTAACATGATGTATCCGGCAATGGCCACGATACAGCCTACTGCCATAACGGGACCCCGAGCCCTGATTTTATCGGACAGGAATGATGTTCCAAGGACGAAAAAGAATGCGGCCATGTTCGGCGGCACTGTGAAAAGCTGTGCGGTTGTCGATTGGTACCCGAGCCCGCTGATAATGGTGGGTAGAAATAGCGAGTAACTCTGCGTCCATTTAGTACGTGGTGTTCTTCAAAGCATGAAGATAATTATCTTACATAGAGTGGAATCAGGAGGAAGAACCATATAAAACAGCAGAACCAAGTTTGTGGCGCTTTGAATGCCATCTTGACCCAATGCCAGTCAAAGTGCTCCTCGTTTACGTCGTCTGAATCAGTTGCGCCGTGACTATCAAGCCTCATCCGCGCTAAAGCTCGCTTGCGTTCTTCTTCGGTCAGAAACTTGGAGTCGCCAGGCGTGTTTGGCATTGTGAAGAAGCACAAGATTCCGAATAGTGTTGTGATGATACCCTCGACTATGTCTCTGGTCAAAGAGAAGCCCACCAAGTCTGCTGTTTCACTTACTGAAGAATATCCATGGCCATCTATTGTAGTTCCCGTATCTGATCTGAGCGAGCCCGGTCGCAAGAAGACCACCGAATGCCCCCGATAATGGTGCAGCACAGTAGAAGTATCCAATGCGACGAAGCATCTGATGACGGCGGTAGAACATAGCGAGGTAGACCACAATGCCTCCCAAGAGCCCTCCTTCGAAAGCGCCAAGAAAGAGTCTTGCGACGATCAGGCCGGCGAGGGACTTGGTGAACCCCAGAAATGTCGACACAATTCCCCATGCGGTGATCAGGGCGGGTAGATATATGCCCGCTTTGATATGCTTGACAATCCAGTTACTCTACACAAGAATTAGCACCGCCCAGTCTTGGAACGAAGGACACTGCCATACTTATACTTACTGGGACATCAACTAGAATGTATGGAATATAGAAGACAAGCAATGCGAGGTTGTACCCCGTGCCCTGGGCAATTCCCAGCTCCTCGGCAAGGCCGTCAATCCTCGCATTGCCAATATTGCTCCGATCGATGAAAGCAAAGAGCCTGTAAGACGTGTTGGCAGAGATCGGCGGTATTGATAAGAGCTGAAGCCACTTACCAGATGCCAAATAACCAAGGGATTATGTGTAGGTCAAACTTTCGGTCAAGTATACTGTCAATGTGTGAGTCCAAGTTGGCATGGGAATGCAAGTTCTCGACGTGACTCCCTTGTGCTTTATTGAGGTCGGTGGCATCTTCTGCGCTGCCTTTTTCCGGATCCATGGCTATGACAACTGAATTATGATATTTCAGTAGAAACAATACCTCCAGAACCGTGATATCGATGGTGAGTATACTTCAACTGTACAAATGTTGCTGAATCGCTTGATCATACATGTCATATCATCATGGGGTAGTTGGGGGGTCGCAGATTTCATGAGGTAGTTTTAGCCCGGCGAAACTTGCCTTGGGCAGTGGTGAATACATCCAGCACTTCCGTCATTACCAAGATACAGGCTCGACAAGTCCAGCCTAGGCTTACACGCAGACATAGGCCCAACAACTTACTCCCCGTGGGGTAGACTGGATAACATTGCGCGGGGTAAAACTGGAGAGTTCTATAATCCCTGCATGGGCGGATGCTGAAGCCGCACTGCTACGGATTGGCACTACTAGGGATTTGATTTAGGACCGCTAGTCTGATATTCGGTGACGGTGGCAACTCACCTTGCAAGCTGGGGATTGGCTCTATTCATCTAGACCTAATTCTTGAAGTATGGATTTGGTATGCTGCCCAATCCTTGGGACCTCAGCCATCCTGACTTGAGAGGCACTAGTCGTGCCAGGGGGGAGGAGCGCTGGTACTGGGCCATTAGGTGTCTGAATTTCGGTCCACCTGTTCCGAGCCTTGAGTTGTGGATGGTCCCATACTCCAGCCATGTCGTTGACTTTGGCATTCGCAATCTTTGCAGAGTCCAACCGAGCGATAACCTCTTCTGCAGACAACCTTGAAAAGACATCAAGCATGATTTTTCTGAGTATATCGCGGTTTTCAACGCGTTTGAGGTTGCTCGCGAACCGTACGTCGGTCGCCAGAGTTGGATCGTCCAAAACCTCCGAACACAAGCGTGCCCATTCCCTTTCATTCTGAATACCAAGCATTACTGACCCTCCTCCTCCTGTCTGGAAAGGTCCATATGGAAAGATAGCCGCATGAGAAGCGCCTACTGGCTTTGGACCGGGCTGACCTTGGTAGGTGTAGTATAATGGAAATGTCATCCACTCCGCCATACTCTCCAGCATGGAAACATCTATACGGGACCCCTTTCCTGTCTTGTTCCGCTTCATCAATGCACTGAGGATATTCGTGTAGGCGTACATTGCAGAGGCGATATCGGCAATAGATATTCCGACCTTGGCGGGCTCGCTTTCAGTCCCTGTAACCGACAGCATTCCAGCCTCGCTCTGAACCAACAGGTCATATGCCTTCTTGTCTCGATACGGACCACTATCTCCATAACCTGAAATATCACACACGACAAGCGAAGGGAATTCATTTCGAAGCTTCTCGTATGAGATGCCCAGGCGATCCGTAGCGCCGGGGGCAAGGTTCTGAACAAGGACATCTGCTTTGCCCAGGAGTTTTCTCAAGGCAGCCAAGTCTCTGGGAGTTTTCAAATCAAGAGCCAGACTCTCTTTCGAGCGATTCGTCCAGACGAAGTGAGACGAAAGTCCGTTGAGTCTTGTATCGTAATCTCGCGCAAAATCGCCCACCCCTGGACGCTCGACTTTGATAACTCGAGCTCCTAGATCTGCTAGTTGCCTTGTGCAGAACGGAGCTGCTATTGCTTGTTCAAGGCTGACGACGGTGATCCCTTTCAATGGAAGCTCATCCTCTTCCGCTTGGGTTGCGCCGGCTGCTGTCGCCAGATGCCTTCTTCCATAGTGGCTCCGACTGATCTGCGGCTCACCATGGGGAATATACGCGTTCGCAAAGCTGAGTGGCCTTGAATGATATGCAGCAGGATTCGTTGAGGAGTACCAACACTGACACTTAACGGCTGCACGAGATCTCAAAAACCGAAACGCCATGCCGAATGTGCCCTTGTGAAGTGATGTTTTCTCGAACGTTTGTTAAGCTCGACTCATACCTGCTTGGCGGAGTAAGTATAGACAGAGCCACTCTGGGCAACGGGAACTTCGCCAGAAACACTCGTCTTACACCCAGAGCAAGAAGCCGAGGTCCTAACCCCACGACGCTTGGAGCTTGGCTAGCGGAGGTCATCCCGCACCCCTTCGTAGTGTGGGGTTGAAGATCCCACAGATCCGACCTGAGGCAAGATCCCAACGTCCGCCTTTTCACGGTACGAGCTTACCCGGCATTCCGGTTTTTAGACTGTAAGGAGATTATCGCGCCTCCGAAATCGGGTTTCTTGCTTTTATTCCACTATGGACTTTCACTAGAATTGGACCCGGCTGGGATTTACCAGGAGAGCTTCCGCTATATTACCTAGCAGGTCATTTACGCTAAAACCCCACAGCTCCACGCGGCTATAGCAGACCCAGCCCCAGCTATCCCCGCTGTATTCCCCAGAAGCCGGGAGGCAAGCCGAGGCCCACAGCCCTCACCAGTATCGCCAGATCGCTCCGGATGGCTTCGTCACTTGGGTAAAAGAGAAATTTCGATCTTTGAAAGCCTTGTGCAACCAATCGAGTGAAGGAGCAGTGACAATGTCTCGCGTACTGGCACGTTGTCTGCCACAGCGCAACCCAGCGACCGCTGGAACATGGCGGAGGTCATGTTTGACGCGCCATAGCAACTTCTCCACCACGGCCGCCCGTCGTATAATGGAGACTACTGGTTTTACCGAGAACCAGTTGACAGTCCGTGAGGCCGTATCGACTGTGTGTGCTCAGTTTCCAAACACATATTGGCAGGAAAAGGATCAACTGGAACAGGACCCCAAAGAGTTCCACGCTGCATTGGCGAAAGACGGATGGCTGGGCATCGCCCTGCCGGAGGAGCTAGGAGGCTCTGGCCTCGGCATCTCCGAGGCCACCATGATGATGCAGACAATTACAGAGTCAGGAGCTGGCATGGCAGGTGCCCAGTCCATTCACGCCAACGTGTATGCCACACAGCCGCTGGCTAGGTTTGGAAACAAGGACCAGCTGGAGAGCACAATACCCAACATCATCTCCGGCAAGTGGCGGACGTGCTTCGGCGTCACAGAGCCCAACACGGGGCTCGACACACTACGTTTGAAAACGATAGCGAAGAAGCAAGATGACGGAAGCTACAGCGTTACCGGCCAAAAGATCTGGATCACCTGTGCCCAAGTGGCGAGAAAGATGATTTTGCTGGCCAGAACGACACCATTGGAGGAGGTCAAGAAGCCTAGTGAAGGGTTGTCAATGTTTTGTATTGACATCGACAAGGAGGCGCCGGGCCTAGATATGCGTAAGATCAAGAAGATGGGCGGCCGTGCCGTGGACGCGAACGAGGTGTTCTTTGACAACTATATAATCCCGCCGGAGTCTCTGATCGGAGCGGAGAACCAGGGGTTCAAGATCATCCTCCACGGTATGAACGCCGAGCGCTGTCTACTGGCTGGCGAAGCCCTCGGCCTGGGCTATGCAGCACTGACGAAGGCGGCCGAGTACGCACGCGAGCGTGTGGTGTTCCAGCGGCCGATCGGGATGAACCAAGGCATCGCCCATCCCCTTGCCGATGCATATATGAAGCTCGAGGCTGCCAAGCTGGCCACATATCATGCCGCCCGACTGTACGACAGTAGCAAGACCGACAAATCCATACGGCAAGATGCCGTTGGGGTTGCCGCCAACAGTGCAAAGTATCTCGCGGCAGAGGCCGCTTTTACGGCCTGCGAGCGAGCCGTTATGACGCATGGTGGGATGGGGTACGCAATGGAGTACGATGTAGAGAGATGGCTGAGAGAATGCTTGGTGCCAAGGATCGCGCCGGTGAGCAGGGAGATGATCATGAATTTCATCAGTGAAAAGGTCCTAAAGCTACCGCGTAGTTATTAATCCGGAAAGAAGGCAGGATTGAAAGTCTCCTGGACCAGATACGCTGTTGCAATGTCTATCTATCTCACAATGCAATTGTATTCAACTCAATGAGGCATACAGAACTCTCCCGGAAAATGTCAATACTTTCTAGTTATTTAATACTTGAAACATTCTGAATACTATTGCATGCGTCGTATTGACTATCCACATTTGTCTACAGCCTTGATCTTTCCACTGCTTTCTCCCCATTCTTGGGGGACTCCACATCCAGCTCGACAACCAGCATCCCTTCAGCAACATCTTCCCCGTCCTCTGCCTCGGTGACCCATATGATCTTCCCATTGCTAGGACTACGAATGTCAAGCTCCATTTTCATCTGTTGGACGACGGCGATTACATCACCCTTACGGACTTCATCTCCCTCATCCACGAGAATCTCGACCAGACGGCCCGGGAATGGGATTACCACGTGCCGAGGATCTGAGGGATTACCCTTGCGGTGACGACTACCGGAAGTGATTGAAGAGGATGAAGCTTGAGTGGCTGTGAGATCGAGCTTATAGGATAGGGGAGATGGCGCAGCTGGGGAGCTGTACGAAATTTCTGCAGAGAGGAGGGATGGAAACTCGTTCCGGAGGACACGATCGAGCTTGAGGTGATTAGTGATAGGTTCAGAGCCGGCTTGCTCTGAATTGATGGGTGTGAGGTCGATTTTCCATCCATCGCCTTTGCGGAAAAGTACTGCAGATGAAGACAGACCCTGAGTTGCTTGCCCCCCTTCTTCCGAAGAAACTACAGTATTGAGAAAGCTCGCGCTTTCGAGTGATCGGGTGATCTCTTTTCCCATCTTCACTAGTGCTGACATCTCCGACTCAAGCCAGCCTGTATCACACTCTCCTTTGGCAAAGGCTGAACTAGCTGTGATAGCGCGAAGGACGTCAAGGTTTGTCTTCACTCCCGAGACGCGAGTATCAGCCAAAGCACGCCGTGCCTTCTTAACGGCTCCATCCCAGCTCGGCGAGTATATGATGATCTTTGCTATGAGAGAGTCGAAATCGCTGGTGATGATCGTTGGATGCCCGCCAACCAGGGACGTGTCAACACGGATTCCATTGCCCGACGGGAAGTGAAACCCAGATATCTTCCCGACGCTGAGAGACCAGCTTGAATCCACATTTTCCGCAGTAAGACGAAGTTGAATAGCATGAATATTTGGCACAGGCGTATCTGCTGATGATGTCTTCTCGTACAACCCAAGCTTTGGGTCGGCGAGAAGAGTTCCTTGGGCAATCCGAAGTTGTGTCTGCACGATATCCGTATTGGAGATGGCTTCAGTGATTGTGTGCTCGACCTGGAGCCGTGGGTTGATTTCCAGGAAGAAATATTCCCCTGTCATTGGGTTCGCAAGGAACTCGAACGTGCCCAACGAGAAGTACCGTACACTCTGTGCCATGCGAAGGGCTGCATCTATAATGCGCGCAACGAGGGCCCGGTCTGTGATGGTACTGGGGGCGATCTCGACAATTTTCTGATAACGCCGTTGAACACTGCATTCGCGCTCCCAGAGATGCCGCACGGCACCTGTACCGTCGCCTAGTATCTGCACCTCTACGTGCCTGAAGCCATCCACCGCCGCTCGCTCCACGAAAACCTGCTTAGAAGGCGATTCAGCCATAGCAAGTCTTGCGAGCCTGGGGAGGTCTTGAAGGTTGTGCACTATGCGTATTCCACGACCGCCGCTGTATTTGTTAACCACCACTCTAGGAACAAACTCGGAAATGCGTTCTCGACTTACCCACCATCGACAGCTTTCAGCATAACAGGCTTGCCTCCCAACTTCTCCATGAATGACCTGGCGCCATCCGCATCTACAGGGCCGTATGTGGCCTCGAGAACTGGTACGCCATTGCCTGTTGCAAGCCGTTTTGCAGCGAGTTTGTCTCCGGTCTTCTCCAGAATGTCCCACCCAGGTCCTACAACTTGCACGCCAGCTTCCTCCCACATTCGTCGCGCAAACTCCGCACTTTCACTCAGGAACCCATACCCAGGATGGACGGCGTCAACTTGTTGTTCCTTGGCAATGCGTACCAGCTCGGATATATCTAAGTATGATGATGGCGAAGAAAGCTGAATACGATGGTTCGAATTCAAAGTATGTCCATCATCTAAGGAGCTGTACAGCGTGAAAGTCTCTATGTCCAGCTCGCGGGCTGCCGAGACAATTCGAACTGCTATTTCACCCCGATTGGTGACCAGGAGTCGATTGATTGGCCGTGGCGTTGGCCGACCTTGAATCGATGACATTGTGATAATCCTCTAAGTCTGAGGCGCGTCTTTGCTGACACGCTTTGAGACTTCGATCGACGTCTTATCAGAATGGTATCTAAACAAATATGGCTGATTGTCAGGGAGCGAATAGCTGCGACCGGCTTGACTCAAGTATAATCGAAGTGGTTGTGGGTTGCACAACAGTATGGGATCTCTACCAGTGATGTAAGTTGACCTCGGCATCTGTCCCGGTCCCACCTGAGTTTGCGGGGCCCCGCAACTCCCGCCTCCAACCTAAAGCATCCCTGGCCATCAGGCTTGGTTGTCCGCTACCCAGCACCTGTGAAATACTTTGGAAATTCTGATTGAGCACTTATTAGTTCCTTCGAATGTCACCCAGTCGAATAAATCACGTAAAAGGGCTTATATTGTTGGCGCGTGATGGCAAACGACGAGGATTCGAACAAGACGTCTGCAACCCGAGCTAGAGAGCGTGTCGGACAGATCTCATCTCACATATCCCACCAGAACTCAGCAAAAGATGAGAAGGCAGTTACATCCAGGCGGCGCCGGAAGAGGTCTGTTACAGATGGCCCGCCTGCGGATTACAGCGACATATTGTCCCAGGTCCGTAACCTGAAGACTATGGCCGCTACCCCTGACCCATCACGATCCGGGTATGCACGCCAGAAGCAGGCTGGCAAGCTGTGGGTGCGGGAGCGTGTGGAGCAGATGTTCGATAAGGGGAGTGTGCAAGAGATTGGCAGTATCAGCGGCACTGTTGACTGGAGGCCTGTCGCTCCGACAAACACGGATAGTAAGAGCAAGGGCAGGATCGAAGAGGAACCAGCGTCGTTCACACCAAGCAATAATGTCCAAGGTCTCGCCCTCGTGGGGCGTCGAAAGGTCTGCTTTACAGCTGATGACTACTCACTGCGCGCTGGTCACGCGGATGGTGCGTTGTGGGAGAAGACCGTAAGCAGATCCATGCTATTCTGCTACTGTTATGCTAATCATTTTACAGATTTACATAGAGAAGCTTTGTTTGCACCTGCGACTACCCATAGTGAAGCTGGTCGACGGGTCATCAGGCGGAGGCTCAGTAACCACAATTCGAAATACGGGCTACTCTTATGTGCCACCACTCAACTCATTCGACGTGGTGGTTGCACAGCTGAATGCTGGAATTCCCAACTTGGGTGCAGTGCTAGGGCCGGCGATCGGACTTGGAGCAGCACGAGTCGTTTCCTGCCATTTCTCTGTAATGGCTGGCGATATCGGTTCTCTATTCAATGCCGGGCCGAAAGTCGTAGCTGGAGCAACATTCGAGGAAGGTCTTAGCTTGCAAGACCTAGGAGGTCCTGATATGCATGTGAGGAATGGAACCATTGACAACTATGCAGCCAACGAGCAGGATGCCTTCAGACAGTTGAAGACCGTTCTTTCATATCTGCCGAACAGCGGCACATCCTTGCCGCCAGTTCTGCCTACTGCAGACCCAGTTTCGCGGAGAGATGAGTCTCTACGCACGGCGATACCGAGGAAACGGGAGCGCATGTATTCCCCGCGGAAGATCATCAACACGATAGTTGACGAGTCTTCCTTCTTCGAGATAGGGGGCCTATGGGGCACTACAGCAATCGTTGGCCTAGCCCGACTGGGAGGCCGGCCTGTGGGCATCGTCGCAAACAACTGCGAGGTCAATGCAGGAGCACTGGATGCAGCGGGTTCGCAGAAGATCACAAAGCATCTCAAGTTCTGCGATGTCTTCAATTTGCCAGTTGTCCAGTTTGTGGATATCCCCGGGTACGCTATCGGGACCGTAGCCGAAAGAACAGCGACTATGCGACATGGAGTATCGCTGGTGACGGCATACTATAGCACGACGATGCCTGTGTTCAACGTCATCCTTCGAAAAGTCTATGGCGTCGCAGGAGCCGCCATGATGGACTGCCGAGATCCACGGGTGCGGGTAGCCTGGCCCAGTGGTGATTGGGGCTCGTTGCCCCTGGATGGAGGCATCGAAGTTGGACACAGCGCCGAGCTGAAGCGCGCATATCAAGAAGGCTTCCAAAGAGGAGGAGAGGAGGCCGCAAAGCTCCAGATGAAAGCGCTTTACGATGATCTGGAGCAGGATTACAGGAGACTGATGAATCCAGTCCGAACAGCCAACGCCTTTGGGATCGAAGAGATTATAGACCCAGCCAACACACGGCCATTGCTGTGCCAGTGGCTAGGCCACGTCTACGAAGAGTTGCTCCCCGTGAGGTTGAGGGATAGGGATACCGGGAAGATATGCCCCAGATTCTCATAGGCTCCCGCCATTGTGATGTGTTGTATCTGTAGGGCTAATGTGGTTGTTTGTGCAATGTATGAAGAGTTTGTCAATAAGTACATGCAGACTCTAAATTATCTATGCCCAATCTCTGGACGGCAGAAACACATGCCGCAGCAAACTTGTGCGTTTTAAAGAAGATTACCAAGGCAGCAAATTGACTAGATTAGGCACAATGTTCTGCTTGGGGCCAGTGACAGGTCTCGCAGTATTCAAGAACAACGGCTTCCATTTCGCCGTTGACTATGGAGCGCCGCCCCGTATGCAAGCGTTTCCTAGCAAGTAGCGTGTTTTTCTCACATTAGTATCATGAAAGCAACTCATGTTTTAGGTTATATGGGACTTATCCTTCACTATCATGCCATACGCAGGCCTTATTACAGTGCTCCATGTAATCAGACTCAGTTTAATGAAGACTATGCGAAACCTTGTTTAGTTTCGTTGCTGAACCCTGCCACGACTCAATAGGAGAATGGTCAAGGACCCTGATGATCCGCATCTCGCCCATCTCCAAGCGCATGCAAAATGTGTAGAGAGCACATGTCAGCATGAAAGCCAAGCTAGGACTAGTAACAAGTGATAGCGTACCTCACTGTATTTCCAGCTAATACCTGAGACGCTAACGGCGGAAAATAAGAAAAGCAAAAAAGTTGCCCGCCGAGATCTCTACTGTCTTTGCTCACTGCCAGCGCCGGCGCCCGCTAGGATGTTCCAGACTGAGCACTAACCTACTACAGAGAAGACTTTAGCAGGCGTTGCACAGACCTTGGCACCCGCCCCGGCCGCCAAGTCGCAGTAGGTCCCACCAAAACGCCTCCCCGTAAACCCAAGCTGGCAACTGCGCCTTTACGTCAGATGCTGTAGAATTCCGGTTGGGACAGCGAACAAGTTTTGCAAGAGAAGGGGGAAAAAAAAGACCACGGCACTTTTCTTCCTGGAGCAGCCGTGCTATTCCAGCCGCCAGCCTCCAACCCTCCGTATGCGCTCCCACATGGACCCTACGCAACAGTCTATACCAACATGTGGCTCCTGAGGGGCGGACAGGAGATTTACCCACTGATCCAGCTGTTGGCTTTAGTGGATATCGTCAGAGGACAGGCCGATGCAAGCCCGTCCACGGCCGGCGGCGATGCGACAAAGACGACGGCCACCACGCCGACGGTCCAGCCGACCTGCGAATCGCGCACCGTCAACTACATAACACACACCTTGCCCCAGCAATGTCTGACCTCGGCACCGTCATCGGTCGCCCCGAGCTCCGAGTCCAGCGTCACCGTCTCCCAGACCGCCTCGAGTCCCGCCGAGTCGACTGCTGCTGCCACCGTCGCAGACGAGGAGGAGCATGAGCTGGACAGCGATGGCAACGACCTCAGTACCGGCGCCTTTATGTCTTTTGAGGAGTGGAAAAAGAAGCAACTGGAGAAGTCCGGCCAGGAGAACCTAGAGAACCGGCCGCGCAAATCGCACGAAGACCGCGGCGAGGCACCGGGCGAAGATTACGGCAGCTTTGGCGATGACGGCGAGATATCTCTCGACTTTGACGCCTACTCGGCCGAGAAGATATCCGAGATAACATCTGCCACCAAGCCGTCGCAGAAGGAGAAGGAGAGGGAAGACGCAATCGAAAAGGTGTCGCGCGAGGAGGGACTGCCGCACGTTCACCGCAGCAAGGATGCCGGGAAGACGTGCAAAGAAAGATTCTCATATTCCTCCTTCGATGCTGGCGCCACCGTTCTCAAGACAAGCCACGGGGCTAAGAACTCCAAGGCCATCCTCGTGGAGAACAAGGACTCCTACATGCTGATGGAATGCGGCACCGAGAACAAGTTCTTCATTGTTGAGCTCAGCGACGATATTCTGGTGGATACGGTCGTGTTGGCGAATTTCGAGTTCTTCTCCAGCATGGTCCGCCAGTTTCGTGTGAGTGTCAGCGATCGATATCCCGTCAAGCTGGACAAGTGGAATATTCTGGGCGAGTATCAAGCCCGAAACTCTAGAGACATACAGCCGTTCCTTATTGAGAACCCCCAGATTTGGGCAAGGTATTTGCGAGTCGAGATTCTGAGTCACTATGGCAAGGAGTACTACTGCCCTCTGTCCCTCATACGGGTTCATGGGACAAGAATGCTCGATTCGTGGAAAGAGGCGGATCCTAGCGATCTTGAGGGAGACTTTGAAGCGGAGGGGGAAACCACAAAGTCCCTCGAGTCGCCTGAAGAGACCTTAGATCCTGAGGTCGAAGTCGTGGTGGAGGAACCCCAGACCCCTGAACAGACTCAACCCGAAAACCACAGTGTCACAATACATCAGAGCGCCGTGATTCCCGTATGGGATAAATCGTACTTTCAGCATCGCTTCCAGCCAGATGCCACGTGCGGGCTCGACGAGACACCGGATCGGCCGTCGCAGACACATTCTGGAGAAGATAAGGAGCGCAATGCGGCTCCAGCCAGACCACAGCCGGTGGCAACGGCTGAACAAACAGGCCAGACTATCGCGTCTCCCACTTCGCACTCCCCAGAGACTTCTACAACAGATTCACCTGCTGTGGCGTCTGCCTCATCTCGAGAGAACTCTTCAGCATCTGCCATAACTACTACGCCAACAGATGTTGGCAGCCCGGCATCCGCATCTCCGACACCCTCCAACACCACGCAAACGCCAGCCAGCAAATCTACTACTGTCTCGGCCGAGCCTTCGAACACGCACGTCGTGAAGAACAAGTCTGGAGCATCCACCTCCCTGAAGCCACCCTCTTCCAAATCATCCCACCCTAAAGTCTCGGGCGCCTCATCGTCACGAAACAAGACATCGACAGTGACGTCCTCGTCCACCGCGGCCTCTCCCACCGTGCAGGACTCTTTCTTCAAACAACTCACTAAGCGTTTGCAAAGTCTCGAATCCAACACGACGCTCTCGATGCAGTATATCGAGTCACAATCGAAGTTCCTCCAGGAGGCTCTGGCCAAACTCGAGCGCCGCCAGGTCTCCAAGGTCGACTCGTTTCTCGATACGCTCAACAAGACGGTGCTGTCGGAGCTCCGCGAGGTGCGCACGCAATACGACCAGATCTGGCAGAGCACGGTCATTGCTCTGGAGTCACAGCGCGAGCAGTCCGAGCGGGAAATCGTCGCCCTGTCGACTCGATTGAGTCTCTTAGCCGACGAGGTCGTTTTCCAGAAGCGCATGGCCATCATCCAGAGCATCCTCACCCTGGGATGCCTTGTACTTGTGGTGTTCTCCCGGGGACTGGCCAGTGCAGGGCTGGAGCTGTACTACCCGAGCCAATTCCTCGGCTCAACCAGCCGCCTTGCCAGCCCAGCATACCCATCCACGCCCAAGGCCGTAAGCAGACGGGCTCAGAGGGACTCGACGCCACTCCGGGAGTCAATTGAGGACAGGAATGGCATCACACCAGAAAGGGGGCTGTCCGTGGATAGAGACGCCAATCCCACGCCTCCTCGCTCACGGACGGGGCACAGCCCAACGCCAGAGCCAAGACCACAGAGACACCTGTCACTCCCAGAGAACCGGCGTCCGTCGCCGTCCCGCGCCGTCTCCGAGACCACCGGCCTGGAGTGCTACCAGCCTCCGACCCCGGCAAGTCTCGACGCCGGTTACGACTCCGAACCACCCGACCTCTCATCTGCGCCCAGGGAAGACGACTACTTCTCACGGCCAAGCGATTCGGCAAACGATTCGGCGAACAGCTATAGAGAAAGCACACCCGCCACCGCCGACGATGAGACCCACCCTCTTACAACATTTAATAACATCCACGCCTCAGAAAGCAGGCAAACACCCTCGACAGAAGCCGACGATGGCGAATCTCTCAGCGCTGCCACCACCACCACCACCACCACCACAGCGGCATACGCTGGCGACCCGGGAGCCTCGCAATCACACCGCGGCGCGGCGAGACCACCCATGTCGCACGTCGGCAGCTCGAGGAAACCGCTGCCTGCCTTACCGGAGGACGAGGACCCGGAATGAGGTCCGTCCGCCTTCACTTTGTACGATTCATCAGATCAACGTCCATTATTGCATGACGTTTCGGGAGGGAGTTAATCAGTTCATGAGGTTCTTTTCAGCCGAAGGAAGCATAGCGAATAGCGTGATGAAGTAATGAATAATGAGAGCATAATTAGCTGCTGCTAGCCATTTCTATTGCACTATACCGGGGATGGGTCTACTATTGCTGCTTCTGAATCTCTGTTGGGGTGGAACACCCGCACCTCGATTTGTAAGCGGTGAAGCACCATCGTCAAACAATGTTATCGTGAGTTCAGAGTGGTCCGTCGGCTTCCGAGAGTTACAACGCACCTCGTGAGATCACATCGTTCGCGAGTAGTTGACAATCTATACCACAATATTGAGGCGGGTACCTTTGGTACATTTTAGACACAACTGGAACTTCATGAAATAGTCTATTCGCTGTTCTCTCTATCTATGCTAGGCGCCAACCCAGGATCAATCAAAGTACTTGCCTTTGCCCTTTCCGAAGTTGGGTTTTCTGCCACCGATGTTTATCAATGCCTGCCGCCGAGACCCAGAAAACTGAAAGATGCCAGTAAGCTGCCAGGGCTTGGAGACGGTACTTCTTTGGTCGTGAAGAGACGCTGGTCAGTACCACCAATCATTGCCAGGTGTGTCTATACTGTTGGGTAGCGTTCGTCGATGACCGCAAAATGAAAAGAGGAACGTCCAAAAATCGTGATCGAAATTTATCGCGTCGCAGAAATGGAAATGGGAAATGGAAGGCAACGAAGACATCATGTCTTTATCTCCTGGCTCTGAAATCGGCAAAAGCTCGAAAAATCTTGTCTGTATTTGACGAGATCCGGTATTGACGGGAGGGTCTCCATGAAGGATGAATGGATCGTACCAGTGATGTTTCTCTCTAAGCCGGAAATCCAGAGAAGAAAATCGTGTTCGTTAGGGTGTGAATGTGTAGTTTGATACACACCCATGATCGGGTCGCGATTCTTCAGAGCCGAAACCCTCAGAGACGCCGCTGCTAGACTCTCTTTGCCAAACCGAGACACAGGTTTGCCTCCAATTCAAGGGAACGGCCAGGTCAAAGACAAGAGATTGTGATCAATGACTGCTGTTTCGCAAACTCTTCGCCTGATATTTAGAACCTCCGCAGAACACTCGCTGATGTGGTTCTAAAGAGCCTTAGTGGCTGAATTTTGTTGGTTTTCGTATCCACTTATATCGAACGGCATCTTCCTCCTAAACCTCATCATCTCTTTGGATGCGTGTCCAGAGATTTTGGGGATGGTTTAGATTGGTTCGCAGTCAGGCGTAACCTAGTAAGTCCGTTGATAGTTTCCACGTCTGGGTGAACAGTTCGTCCCCGTTCCGGTCAACCACCGTCATTCGTTGATAACCGCTCGGCTGGTGAACGGCCCCGTCGCAAAATAAGAGGAAAAGAAAATGGAAAAGAAAAAGACCCGCAGTGCCCGCTCCATTGCTGGCGAATGATGATTTATCGCTGGTAATTTAACATTGTCCCAAAAGAGATTCCGAAACGCCTTTGTCGTAGCAAATGTGGATTATGATGCAAATGGTGATGTGAGGCAGGGTCATGAGACTGCCTTGACTGACCCTCCGCGAGAGATCAACTCCATAGAGAATTTTCGCAACTCGTGAAACGTCGAAGCTAATCGTTGTGGGCCTGAGCTACTGGATAAAGTGATGCGGAGTGAAGGAAGAGTCGAAGTCATACTCCTCCATGGCTGCGAGCCGAGTACCACGGTCATATTGGGATCTTCGGCGCCTCTGCTCATCGCGGAAATGCTGTCCAGCATTAGGCGTAAAGAGACCGACATGCTCTGCATTCTCGCAACTTCGCTTCATTTTCGATTGGTTGTCAGGCTCAAGAAAAGGCTCTTCCTGGCCAGCCATGTCAGGTCTAGGGCCGTTGATCGTGTAGTAGAGCTTGGGGCGGTAGTGAGCAGCCTCGAGCATGACTGAGCTGTTGCGAAATTTCTGCACCAAACAGTCTTTGCCCTGAATTGTGGCATATGAGATCTCGGCCACCTTGTCGCTCTTGAAGCAGTTCCATCTCTGGTTTCCGCGCTTGTTTACGAAGTCGATGATATCCAAGGGGTCGACAAAGTTGATGAATGCATATCCGACGTTGCAATCATTGGCGAAGTCGATCCGCAAGTACATGAAGTCGTACTTGCCCCAGCTGGACTCGTCCACGATGCGCTTCAGCATAGCCTGATCGACTTTGTTCGGGATGTTACGCAGCATAATAGTGGTTCGGACATCAATGCCCTCACGGATGCGGTTAACATCGACGTGGTTGTGCTGGCCACCAATGTTGTGGTGTTGATAAGGCGCTCTATGAACTCGGACTGCATTCTGTCGGCGGCCTTCACCACGGTTGAAAGAAAACTGTCGGGGAACCATGAAATCATGGCCCATCATCGATTGTTGATGATACACAGGTCCGCCCAGGGAGTAGTTACCAGTGGGAAACATGCCATGAGCTCGCGGCGCCATTTGATCGAACATGTACTGAGGACTCATGGGCATTCCTTGATACATGAGTGGCATCATTCCAAACGAAGGCTGCACGGAAAATCCAGGGCCTGTGATAGATCTTGCAGGAGTGTGAACGTATCCAGCCGGAACCGAAGAGATCGAGGATGCTGGCCGTGCGAGTGAGATCCGCTGGAAGTCAGTAGCCAGGTCGGATGGGGTAGATACACTTCGACCAGGGCTGACAATTCGATCGTTTCTCATCGCAGTCGTGTTCGGGATATCAGGTCGATGAAGCGTCATAAGTATCTGGAATCCCTGTATGGACTATCGTCAGTGTTGTCAAGGTTTGGTGGATTGGCAATTTCTTACATCTAGAACCTTGCCGTTCAACTCTGACACAGCCCTCAGTGAGACATCGTTGTCGCAATATTCGACTATTGCAGACAGAACATTGCCTTGCGGTCCACCTGTTTGGACCTTGAAAGCGAACAGATCTCCCTGAGTTGCAAGGATGCTCTGCAACAGGTCGGGCAGTTGACTCAAGTCGAAAGCTTGCAATGTCTGTGGACCGAAGACAGTCAAGGTGAGCTGGGCTTCATGTGCAGTGATCAAACCCGATGTGGGATCCACGACCTTGTCAATTGATCAGTACTTAGTACCAACAACTGCGACAGACAAGGGTGACTTACTTGAGAGAACTCCCGGGGAGGAATGTAGTTGATCAGCCATTCGTGGCCGCCAAACTTTGCGTTTTGGGAGAACAGGCATGCATCCCGGATGTTGGCGAAGCGAACGTACACCTTGTCGCCATAGGAATAGAATTGTTTAGATGACTGGACTTCAAGTCCGCGCTGTCGCAAAACCTAGAGAGAAGCTGGATCAGATCAATGAACAAAGAACTTTGGTGGTGCAGACTTACAGATATGTAGCGATCCACATCGACGATCTGGACGCTGCCTCCACGAGCAGTCGTTGCAACAATGACACATCGTGAGAGACCTAGATCCGTGCTCAGAGAAGAATGAACGAACAAATTGGTACCTCGGTCACTGGCAGAGTTCTGCAAGATGTCGTGGACTTCATCGCCGTCTTCATTCTTGACGCACGACAGATCGGGCTCGCTGCCATGGGTACCTGCAAACCCTGATAGAGGGGCAAAACAATCGGCAGTGGGTGAAAGCTTGCGGGTGATTCGAGAACTGGGACCACCAGAACCAACGAAGGGGTCCCTATCTACGTTGTTGTCTCTGGGGAACAAGGGTTCTCGTCGAGGTAGGTTGAGCGATGCCGGCGTGCTGACATTGAACTTGACAGGCCCAGATTCCCGACCGTTGATGCCAACGGAATGAGGAGCACGGAGAGACTTGGTCGATCCATCCTCGGGGGAGAATGCCGTGAGGCGCGTGTCGGGTGTTCCTTTGAATGAGTCTGCCACCCCGTTGGAGGAGCGTGGCGACGTGAGGTTGAAGGCCCCATCACGAGCGTGAGAATTCGACATTGTCCTTGCTGTGAATGAGAGTTGACGTTTAATGAATGCAGATTGCGCCTGTATAGCAGTGAAACAGTCGGAGGATCAGAGTAAGTCTTGTCTCGAGGAATCTCTGTGACAATTCCAAGGTCTCGCAATTGTCAAAAGTGACAGTTCACTCTGCGATAATCAACAGCACAACCAGAGCTGGGGACTGTAGATATTAGTGACGAGCCCCGACGACTGCCAATGATTGTGCAACGTTCGCTCTTGCCAATAGGGGTGGCGTTGAGAGTTTAGTGGCCGTGAAGAGTGATGCTGATTGCCAACAAGATACAATTCTTCAGTACGAGAAGTGGATCGTACTTGCTATTGTGATCACTGATTGGCACAAGGACTGAAGACCTAGACGTCCAAGATGGTGTTGGCGTATGGCGATCGAAGTGACAATAGCACGAAGTGCCGGGTTGTGTTTCAACGATGATGAGTTGAGATGTCGTTGGTGATGTTGAGTTGAGTCGAGTTGTAACTAAGTGAAATTTGACTGGTTAGTTTCATGAGCATCTTGCCTGTTCAGCGGTTTAAATTAAAATACAGAGATTTCATGCCAATAGTATACTGAGAGTGAGGTGAATACTAGTCTGTGAATGACTATTGAGAAGGCACGCTGCACCACAATCCGTGGTGTTGACCGATAATAGCTTGCAGGCACTTGCACCAGAAGCGAGTGCATCTCCACAAAAGATTTACCACGGGAGATTTTCTCATACTTGGATCAAAAAGCATAGCAAGATGACAAACGGGAGGGGCATGATGGTGAGAAAACAGGAAAAGCAAAGATTTAACTTACAAGCTTTCAATTCAAAGCCCTCAAGACAATCAAGACGCTATTGCCACACGGAGCAAGAGTGTCAGTGAAAGAGAGAGAGACGTTGATTGTCGCAAAAGCCCAATTTGGTAGAGGCTGTGTGAACTGTGAGGTACTTGGTACGGAACTTCGAATGAGAGTTCGAGAGAGGGCAATCCTGGGGTTGAGTAACCAAGCTTCTTAGCTTTGATTGCTGGTAAGCCGGTGTGCCTGAGTAGTAGTTGACTCGCTGAGATGGAAATCGCGTAGCCGAGTAATCAAACCGGTTGTCGACGTTATCATGAAGCTCCAAATCGCGAAGAAATACTCTCCAGGAAGAAGTCGTGGTGTAGAACGACCAGAGGACTCTCAATGAGGTTGCTGATATTCACTTGGCAGTGTACGGGGGCTCTCTTTCAATGCCGTAGCGGCTGCCGCCGATCAAGAACCAAGCTTCTAGTGTGAACCCAGGGGACAACAATGCAGCCCACCGTGGGTTTGGTGCTTGATGCGTAAGACTGATCCTTGACTGTCTTCAGGATGAAGAGAGACGGTTTCACGATGCACCAGTCGTCCTAGAACCAAAGCCCAGTGTTCCACTGTGTCGACTGGAAGAACAAGCGTCGGCCAAGTAGGTCAAAACGTCTTGCTCAGGTTGGCACCCAATGTCAACCGCCAGAGTACTCAAGGCGGAGGTAGATCTGACGATGAAATAAGTTAGCAACGGGCACCTCAAAGAGAAAATGTCAATTAAAACAAGTGAAGTCCTTTGAGACATGATGAAGTACCAGAGCCCACTTTTCTGTTGAAGGCTTCACAGTATACTAGTATCAGCTTGGCATAATTGAATGCTCGCATATGAAATCAAGTTGACTGTTCCATTTGGCAATAGTTCATCATAGGACTCGCTCGCTCTTCAGTGTTGCCATCTTGTGTACAGCCACGTTCAAATATCGAAGAGAGCTCCATCTGCAGAGGATGAAGCTTTCCAGAAACACACGTTGTATAAATCGCATGCGAAGCGTAGTCAAAGGTCTTGTCTCCAAAGTGGTGCCAAGGAATGAAGTTGCAGGGGTCGAAGCAAAGCGTTGTGCTGTCATCAAGGATACCCAGGCGGCAATGGCGTTAACAAAGTTGTCAAAATGTTCACAGGACGAAGTTCGTACGAACAGACAATGAGCGCCCAACAGGCCATGGGGTGGGTTGCTTCAAGACCCGGCCTAGGATCCAATTCGCAGGACGTCGTTTGGAAAGACGCCCTGGTTGGTAGGTCGCCGGCGGAGATATCCTGAGCTTATCCGTTTTAAGCAGGGGGTTGATGATAGATTGTGTCCATGCCACGTCCGGGTGGACATCCAAGTGAGATCTCAAAGGTGCAATGTGCCCTAGTTCCGAACAAATGGTCGGGCTTTCGAAGCGAGGGGGGACAAACGCCATGAAGTGGGGGTGACTTCAGGCATGAGGCGACACAGGAGAGTAAGGAGCACACACGAAGTGTAATCCAGGGGGGGAAAAAACTCGACTTACCAGTCCTTCCGTCTCCAACGGCGATGCCCTTCCAAAGCTGGCTTGCCAACGGCTTCAGGGTGGAGGTGGCGTGAAGATAACTAGGTGATCTGTCGACAACGTTGAGAGGACAAAAAGGTCTGGGAGTCGACCAGGCAAAAGTTGGGGTCGCCTCAGAGAAGCGGTCTGGGAAAAAGTTGTGCTTGAGGGGTTGCTTGGACTGTTCTGATGGCAATGGAAGGAACGTGTGTCAGGCTCAACAGCTGGCAAGTGCTCCTTCCTGTGATCAGGAAAATCGGCGAACACGGATCTGTGCTGCCAGTGCTGATGCCGACCCGGGTGAACCTACCTGAGGTAGTTGTTGAGTGACCTCGATAGTCAAATAACTGTTCTTCTTATTGTGGTTTGTGCTCTGCCCTATGTTGGCACTTTTGGATGATCTGCTTGGTGGGTGGGTAGGTGGGAGCTCGCCTGTGGCCTAGATTTGATGAGAGGGATTCGGGACTCAGTGGGAATAACTGATATCAAATTCCAAGCAAGGTCAGTATGTCGGGCAATGGTCCGATCTCTGGCAATTGCCTAGGTGAACATGCTGTGATTCACTCCCAGAAGAAGTTGATACCTGACCGTGAAGGCCACGCTCACTCGCAACGTTCAGATTATCAAATTTGCCAAGAATATACGGTCTTTTCACATGATTCTACCAAACCGGTTAATTCTATGGCCTTGAGTGTTCATGTTTTCGAATTCACAAAAAGCATTTACTTGGTCTGCCACGCATGATGACTGCTCCAGGCATGGTAGTTGTGTTGCAAACCAAAAAAAGGGCTCGTTCTTGATGTGATGTGACCAGAGCACCAAAGGTGAAGTGAAACTGTATCGAATCATGTCATCATACAGTTGAAGACTTTGATTAGCTGGAGAAACCATATCAACTTGTCATTATCAAGAGACAATGTGAGATACTTAGCAACGCTACTTATAGAATTTCATCGGTCAGGCCTGGCATGCATGGTTTTGGTCGAGCAGCTTATCCTTGGTACGAAGGACTGAGGTTTCGAGCAGCCAGAATATCTGATGCAAGTCGTTCTAGCCGTCATTCACCTAGGTAGAGAGAGAAGTATCACCGAGTGTGTTCTGAGTAACCGTCGCACAGTATGTTTAAGGCCCATTGTCCTGCAGCGGCGTTTGCATGCGGCATTACTGCTCGAAAATTTACTACACCACAGACGACAACTACATCCTCGTAGATACTGAAACTCCATGGCTATGTGCCTGGTCAAGGTAAACTACTCGGACAAGGAAGTAGTCTATTTGAGGGTGTCATAACCTGGAATGGGCTGGGCTGATGGTAGAAAGGGTTTCCGCCAGGCCAGGGGGAATAGCGAGACTGCGACTTTGGTAATGCACGGCGGTTATACAGCCCTTTGATAGCATTTATAGTGAAATGTCACCATCGACATGCTGTCGTCTCAAGGGACCTGTGAACCTAGGTATATACATAGGTAAAGAAGGCGATGTGTGAGAAGGCATTGAATTTATTTCCGAGGTTGCAAGACGACCGCACGTGCCAATGATCGCCGTTGCAGTCCACTGTGGGGGTGAGGCTCTGCTGGCTCCCCGGGTCTGCCAGGGGCTTAGTGGACGCTAGAGCCCATTGTTCGTAACTGCAACCATTGGATGGAGAGCTGTTGCCTCGAGCCCCCAACCCAATCACGGCATTACGAGTCTCAACTCCAACGTCAGCACCCGATCCTCCGAGACATCATGGTATGAGGTATAGTGGATAGCGGATAGGATTTCGATTGTCAAATTCCTGTTGCCTGCCAATCCTCTCGCCCGAGTCCTCGAGAACACAACAAGGCATCATCATTCCCGCGCCGAGCGCCCGCCTTCGTCTTAGCAGAACCCCAGATTCACATTCCACGATGGTTCGCCGGCCACAGAATTATGACGACTACGGCACCGCCGTCCAGCAGATCATCCTCTCTACCTCGGACGCCGACTTCCTCGACCAGCTCATCCCCGTCTTGAAAGATGCCGGGACCACCAATCGCACGATGGTGCTCACCCAGAGCCTAACGCACTACGCTGAGGAGCGCGAGGCCGACATCGAGCGGATCGGGCTGACCAAGCACGAGGAGTTCCTCGCCTCGGTCAACCAACTGCAGAACGTGCGCGAGGGCACCGTCGCCCTGACGGCTGAGATCCTCAAGCTCAACACCTCGATCCAGCTGAGCACGGAGAAGCTGGCCGAACAGAAGCAGGCGCTGGTCAACACGCGGGCGGTGCGGGAGAACATATCAGATGCGTCGGACGCCCTGAAGGAGTCATTGAAGATTCTACACGCCGTCAATCACGCGCTGGACCTCATCCGGAAGAAGCAGTACTATGGCGCTCTGAAGAGCTTGGAGGACACGCAGAACGAGTTCCTGATCCCTATCCTACAGAACAAGTACGCCAACCAGCACAAGCTGGCAGATATCATACAAAAGTCCATCCCGGCGAGCCAGAAAGCCATCTCAGAAGCTGTCATGGGCGATCTTAATACTTGGCTGCTACGGATCAGGGAGACGTCACAATTTCTGGGTGAGGTTGCCCTCTGGCAAACAGACCAGAGGAGGGAAAGGCAGAGGAACCGAGTCGAGAACGATGAGTTCCTGTCTCAATTCAAGCTGAACTCTGCAGTCGAGCTGGTTTTTGATGAGAAGGAAGAGTTTGACGTGCTGGACAACGACGAACTCTCGATGGACTTCACCCCGTTATTTGAAGCACTCCACATTCACCACGCTCTTGGTCAGACCGAGAAGTTTCGCAGTGACTATGCCGCCACGAGGAGGAGACAAAAGGAGCTTCTCATCCCAGCGTCCGTCAGTCTCACCGCTGACGATGAATCGTCGTTAAGCAGTCTGCTAGAGGACATTGCTGGCTTCGCCATCACCGAAAAGGCCACCATGCAACGAATTCCCCAGCTTCGCACAGCCATCGATGTTGAGGAGCTGTGGGATTCCATGTGCTCTTCTGCCATATCTCTGACGACCAAGGCGCTGGGCGAAGTGAACAACGCCGAAGTTCTTCTCAAGATCAAGGGTGTGATCGCACTTTTCATCCAGACCATGGAGACGTGGGGTTACTCTGTGTCGCGCCTGGACGAGTTCCTGGTGAACCTCTTCGACAAGTACGCTGAGCTGCTGAAGCGACGGTTCAGTGAGGATTTCCAGGAGATCGTCTCGACGGACGACTACATGCCGATGGCCATCAACTCGCTGGAGGAGTACGAGAAGGTCGTCAATGTCAGCTGGTTCACTCCAGAGAAAGACGCGAGCGAGCTCACGTTCCCCTGTGTACTCCCGTTCTCGCAAATGTATCCGCTGTGCTGCATCGATATTAGGAATTTCCTTAATCAGTTTTATTTCTTCTCCGATGATCACTTCCAGCACCCGACCAAGATCGACGAGACTCTGCGAAAGGTAAGCAGACACCCAGATTCAAGTTCCCCATATGTCTCGACCGTACTAATTGGCATGCCACCTAGTCTCTGGACGAGCTCCTGACCCAGAAGGTCTGCCAGTCGCTCGTCGAGCGCCTCAGCTCCCAATATCTGGGTCAAATAGTACAGATCCTGATCAACCTGGAGCACTTTGAGACAGCCTGCTCGGAGCTGGAACAGCTCCTGATCCGGGCGCGGTCGACTGCGTCGGCGGGCGGGCCGCTGACGCTGGCGGCGACGGAGCAGTTCCGCGAGAACAAGAAGACGGCCGAGAAGCGCATCTTTGAACTGGTCAACTCCAAGATCGACGACCTGGTCGAGACGGCCGAGTACGAGTGGACGGCGGCGGCGGCGCCCGCCGAGCCCAGCAGCTACATGCAGACTCTGACGCGGTACCTGTCCAACATCATGAACTCGACGCTGCTGGGCCTGCCGCGCGAGATCAAGGAGCTCATCTACTTCGACGCCCTGTCGCACGCCGCCAACAAGGTGCTCGCCCTGCCGCTCAGCCCCGACGTCAAGAAGATCAACCCCAACGGTGTTGCCGCCCTGGCCCTCGACGTCACCCACCTGACCGACTTTGTCGACGGGCTCGAGAACGGCTTCATGCTGCGCAGCAACCTCGACGAGCTCGAGCAGACCATCACGCTCATGCAGAGCGAGAACACGGACGAGTTCTTCGACATCAGCACCCGCAACAAGAAGTACGGCCGCGTCGACGCCATGAACGGGCCCGTACTGCTGGAGAAGTGCGTTCTTCCCGCCCCACAACCTGCCGTTTTCGTGCTGACCTTCTTTGCAGACTCACAACGCAGGTCTCCAGCTCTAACTCGGCCGCAGGCCAGCGCTTTGCAAACTTCTCCTCGCGGCTCCAGTTCAGCACCAAATAGTTCGGGTGCAAAAGGCTGCCGTACGCTACTGGCCCGTCCTGGGTCTCCACGTCGTATTCACAAGACATTTTTACACATATTTTAGCTCAGCATATACCCGGCGGGATAGATTTGAAGAGCGCGGCATCAACTAGAAGACTCGCGCGGTGAGAAGGGCAAAAACGGTTTTGGACTGTCATCAATACCCTCAGAAATGCCTACGAAAAACCTGCAGAGATGGCTACTGTGTGTGCTCCTAAGACTATCATAATAGTTGCCCTCATAACCCCTTGACGCCAAACCCTCCTCGATGGAGGGACAAAAAAACATAAGAACAAGAAAGCGCAATAATGCAGCATCAACAAACAGCCTCTACCGCTCCCACACATGGTATACTGGCCTATCCTTTTCTGGCACCGCCCTGCTGTTGATCGTTCTCGTCCGACTGCGCCTGTGACTCGAGAGATTGTATGAGAGCGTCCATACCGGCATCCCCAGGAGGCGCAGGGGCGGGAAGAGCAGGCGCCCGATCTGGATCGGGATAGGACGAGACGGAGGAACCATGTGCGTCTCTCGCTGTCGTTGTCAACGGATCCGTCGCTGAACCGCGGCTGTCCTACTGCGGCGGTTGCATGCCCGGATATGTGGTGTACATGTTGTCCATCTCTCCATACATGGGTGGCTGGCCGTACGGCTGCTGGCCTGGCTGGACCTGGTTGTACATGGGCTGGGCGTTACGGTAGTCCTGGTCAGGTGCGCCCATGGCATGACCGCCCATGTCGTAGCCAGCAGCAGCCATGGCGTGGTTCGGCGGCGGCATGTTGTGCTGGCCGGCCATCTGGGGTTGCGCCGGGGTCGGCACGCCACCGGGCGCGGGCTGCGACTGGGCGGGATTTGTGCGCTTCGCGTGGCTCGCCTCCTCGCGCGGTACGATGTCAATGAGGAAGTCAAACATGTCACTCTTGGCAAGGGCACTAGCGATGTCGGAGCGTTGCAGAGTGCGGCGCTTGTTCTCCTCGGCGTGGATCCAGGCACGCATGGTGAGCTCGGTGATGAAGATGTCGCACCCCTTGGCGAACAGGATGGGGGCCTCGGCCGAGATCATCTTGACCTCGGGGTCGGCCTTCATGACCTTCTTGATGCGGGCGAGGGGCAGCTGGTGCAGCTTGTAGTCGTGGGAGTCGGATTCAAGGTGGTTGATGGTCTGCTGCCAGTACGTCGTCAGGATGTCCTTGTACTGTCCGTGCAGGCCTTGGTGGACGTTGGCCCAGGGCCCCGTGTAGAGCTCGGCGGGGGCAAAGCCCGAGTTTGCGAGCTGGAGAGCAGAACAGTTAGTTTAGAGACGAGCGGACGGGGATCAATCGAAGCCAAGAATTCTTCTCGGGAGAGGACTCACTGCCGCGCTGGCCCCTAGAAGAGTGAAAGTTAGCGACGTCGCACAGCACAAGAGTCAGGCGCGCGGCCACTTGACCGCATTGGACGCGGGTTGCATGTAGACGTACCGTAGTGACCGCCGTGTGTGGTGTCATAGACGGCATTCTGGCCGCGCGATCCTTGCGGATGGGTCGACGAGGGCTGATTGTGCGGATCCATGGTTGGCTATGCGACAAGATGCTGGCCGGTCGCAAACAGGAACGATTGGCAGAGGGAAGGGGAAGGGAAGTATGTGGTTTGTCTGTGGAGGAAGCCGAACCGGGGGGAGGGGCGGGCGCGCTTTTCGGGGCAGGCAGCTGACAGGCGGCGGGACGAAAATAACAAAGTCGGCGCAATGCAATGCAATGCAGTCGCGACGGCGGGTTTCCGGTGGACGGGCGAGGGTATCACAGCTTGGGGGTGAGATTGCGGACCAAACTTATTGTTTACAGCTGGAAGCTGTGCTGTGTTTGCGCGTGGGCGACGACAACAAATGATGTAAGGTAACGAAGGGAGCTTCTGGCTAGTTGAGAGGCGCTGCCCGCGATTGAGGTGGATGATTGGCCCGAGCTGGGGGGTTTGCAGAAGAGGTGCGAGGGCGAATCAAGCCCCGAGCGGTGTGCGGGTGTGTGTGTGTGTGGTCTCGTCTCGTCTCGTCTCGTCTTTGGTCTGTCTCTCGGCTCTCCTAGACAATCCCGTCTGCCTACTTACTACCTTGAGCGGCACCGGCCGGCTGTGCTAGTGCTATCCTTGGCCTTGGTCCTTGGTGCCTTGGTTGGTGCTCCTGTGGAGACAGAGAGCTGGGCTGCTGGGGGCTGGGACGGGACCTGCTTTGCTGGAGGCTGGAGAAGGCGACGAGTCAGTGGTGCGCTTCCGTGAGCGTCGAGTCAAGATGGCTCGTCTGCCTGTACCACAACGGTCTGCTGTTTCTGACTGGGTGGAATGGACTGTGGGCGAGTGTGGTGAGGGTGCGGATTTGATTCGGTCGTCCACCTCGGGGTGGGAAAAATCCGGGGAAGGGCTGGCTGCTGGGAACGTTGCGTTGCGGATCGTGCCGCCAAGCTTTGATTCGGCTGTGGTCTTGGGGGTGGTAGTTTCGGTCGGTTCGTTCTTCTCGTTCGCTACGGCTGTACGGACACACAAGACTACACTTCAAAGTGGCAAAGAGGAGAGACGGATCGTCGCAAGTCACAACAAGGAAGAACCACGTATATTTGAGGATTGGGACCCAAGAGACGAGGACACCCAGTTGGGCGGCTTGCCAATGACGTGGTTCTCACAGCCCTTGGCCAAGGTATATACATAGTCTGGACGTCCAGCACCGGATCTCGTAAACCGTAGAATCGGTGTAGGGCTGCCCTCTGCATGAGGTAGACAGACACACACCTGCGCCGCGATGCCTGCTCTCTGCTTATCATGCGACGGCCTGGCTTTTTACTGTAAAGGGACTGATGAATGCGCTGGCAATGTGGTTGGGCATCACTTGACGACAGGGGTGGCCTTCTTTCTGCTTGCCCTCCTAGCGTGCATCTGCAGGCGCAGGCGCGGGTGCAGACGACTCTTGGGGTCCGAGGCCATCGGTGAAGGCGACACCAATCAAGTCAGATGCAGGGCCGCTGCCTTGGCCTTGGATGGATGGAATGGATGGATGTGATATTGATGTGATGCCCGCTGTCTGAAAGCTGTGGCGCCTACAGATGGCAGGTGTGTGGCTGTGCGCTGTGCGTCAGGCCCCGAAACTGTCAGACTGTTGTACACTGGGCAACGCTAAGGTGAAAGTGGTCGTCTGCACCACGCTACCGCCTTCCTACTCTGCCCCCGTCCCGCAACCTGCTCCATTTGCAGCCCCATAGAAACATTTTCTGCCACCCTCCAGGTAATTTTTCTTTCTGCAACCAAGCCGGCCCGCCAACTCCCATCTTCACCCTCACGATATCCTGCTCCCCTGACCATGGCGGAAGCGGATGCAGTGGTCGACCTCACCGACGGCGATGTAGAGAGGCTGCTGAAGGAGGCCGAGGCCAGATTGTCGGCCAAGGCAAGCAGCCAGAATGGCAAGAGCTTGACCATTCCCTCCAACATGGAGGTGAAGCAGGCTGGGACCCAACCCACACCCGATGCCACGACCGCACCCGCAGCCGACGACTCCAAGGCCAAGGCTGAAGAGCTGTCGGTCCGTGTCCCGAAGCCCCGTCTTTCCAACAAGGAGTTCGTGCAGGTATGTCTACTTTTCTTCCCCTTTGCCTGCCACGGCACGCTTTCATGATTCAAGTAAATCCCAATTTTTATTGAAGCGGCAAATAACTCCCGTCATGGGTAATGTTGCTGCGCCAGAATGATAGATTTATCATAGTTACTATGACTAGCACCCATCACTGCGTCTTCTGTCTGCAACCTTTCCGTCCGCGCGGTGCTAACCAAGCAATAGCAAACCAAGGCCTCTGCTGGATCCGCTTGGTACAATCTGCCCAAGACAGATCTGACCCCGGGACTGGCGCGGGACTTGAAGCTCCTGAAGATGAGGAACGTGTTGGACCCCAAGCGCTTCTACAAGAAGGACTCGTCCAAGGCTTCGGTCCCCGAGTTCTCCCAGGTCGGCACCATCGTCGAGGGCCCCACCGAGTACTTCAGTGCCAGGATGACCAAGAAGGAGAGGAAGCGCACCCTCCTCGAGGAGGTCATGGAGACCGAGGCCTCGAACCGCAAGTTCAAGAGCAAGTATGGCGAGATCCAGGCTGCCAAGACCAGCGGCAAGAAGGGTTACTACAAGAAGATGACGCAGAAGAGGTACGGCAAGAAGTAAAAGTCACTGCCGAGGCTCGGCAAATTGCCACGTCGAGTATACTTTCGTCAGGACTCGGTCGTCTTGACTTGATTCGTCAAGTAAGCTCTTGCCCAAACAACAGCAGTGCGGACGCTCATAAGCCTGTTGGCTTACTGTCGCAAGCTGTTCGTCGCGGACACAGGCTTGGAAGTCTTGGAAACTTGACTTCGTAGACCATAGCAGCTTTTGTTGCATCCTTCATCGCTCTGGCCTCGGAGAAGACTATTGAGCTTGAAAGAGGTCGCTGCCACCCTCATGTCGCCCTGGAGGGCACATTGCAGTTATGGCACTAATGGTCAGACTGGGGAACAATTATTTGGGGCGAGGAAGCAAGGATATTCATCTGGAAGGTGTGAAGGGCCTGCTATCCTGTAAGGGATCTACTAGGACAAATATATCAACACACTACTGATTGAATCAACTGGTGGCATTTCCCGTACTGAGTAAGCCAAGCTACGATTCCGTCATTCAGCCTCTGTTCTTGGATTTGTAAATCATGATGTGATGATACGCCTCATACTGGCTGGCACCACAGTGCTCTGCCACATTGGACGAGCCTGCAAACCGTACAACCTCAGCCCTACAAACGTGCGAAAGGGTTCTGTACCTTTATACTGACTGACACCCGCCTCAGGCTGTATCAGGTTGGTTCAATCTGACTGTTTCGGGAAACGTTATACGATCAAAGAAGACGCTTGACTCTGAACAGAACGCATTCAAGCTGTTCTAAAGCTATCTAAACATCATCTCCGGTGCAAGTATGCTATCACTGAGAGAATTCCTCAGCTTTACTTTCGGTAGATTAGCAACTTCGTAGATACAGCAGTGTCTCAATCTTGCGAAATCTGGAGCTCCCATCCTGGGGGGCTCCAGTTATTGCCAGGCCAGTATTGACCTATTACCTTTACCGAAATGACCTCTCCCGCTGCACCAGGAATTCGTACGGATTGGTTTAGAGGCTCACATGGGTCGTACTCGCGGCCGATTTGCAAGCCCCAATCGACCTGCTGCTCAACTTGGTCATACGTCACACACATCTGGCTTTCTTCTGAATTCGAGCCTAAGTCGAAGTTCAGGGAGCAGATGATCCTGAACTCTTGCTGCAAGTGGAAGCGCCAGTTCGCGGAATCCCAGGCATCTTTCGGGGAGGCTATCGGAGAGGACCGCAAAAATACTTCCGGTGAGAGGGTGACGTAGACCGTGAACATGCGGCGGATGAGTGGTCGTGGGATGTGCATGGGTATCTGCCCTGTGCCATAAGGGAAATTCGAGTATGTGCCAGGACCCCTGATCACATGAAAGGATTCTGCAGCGTCGTGGACGTATAAAGAGTCCCTGGGTACACTTCTGCTGGCTTCAGGGCTTCCCCTGATGAAAAGCCCGGGGCCGATTTGACGCAGACGGATTGCAATAGCACTATCCCAGAATAGGGTATTGTGTACGGCGAAAATAGAAGGGAGCTTAGGCTTTAACTTGGTGTAAGTTGTGTACGTGTCCTCATGTTCGTGATACAGAGGTAACATATAATGGCGATAACTTGAGATCGCTGGCCCGCCTCGAGCGTTTTTCAAAGCCACCGGGGCTAGTAGAGCTCTTGGGAGTTTGATCCCATTGTTTGTGATGCCAATCTCGCCTAGAAATGTCGACTCCGTAACTACGAGGTTTCGGCACGTATGGAACTCAGAAGGCGAAGAAGCGAGCAGGCCTGTGCAAACCACCACGGCTTGTTCTGACGGGAGCGTGGGGCGGCTGCATATATAAGTAAACTGCCTTTCACGTGGTGGAGGATGGGTCAGGGCGCAAAGGCTTACCTCCAGGCAAATATGCTCAAGTCGTTGGTCATCTTAATGATCTCCTCCTGCAGTCGGACGAAGGATCTTTCTCTTTCCCCGTAAATCAGTGCCATATTGACGCCGAAGATACCAAGGAGGGAATAAGCCATGTCCTCAACCCGGGTTGTTTGCCTAGTCGATGCCCAAGACATTCGGCGGCCAACAGGGACGTCCGCCAGGTCCTGAGTACCTGTCAGAATCCCCTCGTTGACGCCGGTTGCCTCAGATAGAAGAGTGGAGAATTCAGCCTTGGTGCCTCGATACGTCCATTGGGCGTCGTAGAACTCAATCTTGGGAGGTGCAATCAGCTCCTGTAGCGTCCAGCCTCGAGACGACCAGCGGCAGCCGGACAGCTTCTCGGCAAAGGATTCAGTCTCCGTGAGGTCTTTTAGATAGACGTAGCAGATAGCCGACTCGTGATACCAGTTGAACATGGAGTTGATAGCCTCTGTGAGTTCGGCGCTGCTCGACTTGTCAATGCAGCAGGTGTCGATCCAGGCATGCTTATAACCCTGAGCGAGTGCCAATTTGCAAGTGTCCTGAATCTTCGAAAACGCTTTTCGTCTCCTGAGAGCATCTGGGACCCCTTCCTTGATGTCTTGGAATGTGACTTCTTCATCCTCCCACGTGTGTGACAAAATAGCATACGGAGGCACAGCCCCATCGTTGAACTCCTTGAGCTCAAAGGTTGATGTGTTGAGAAGTCTCATAGTATGAAATAAGGTCGGAATGAACTTGAAAGGAGGTTCTATGGATGTTCTTGTTGAGCACCCGCGTATTTGCCAACGCGGAATTCGTGTTCAACGGGAGCTGAAGTTCGCGGGGTGCGACGAGGCTGTACTAACATTTCTTCTAATTGGTGTAGCTGCTTTTGAAGATCACTCACGTGCTTCTGGCGCGGCTGTAGAAAGCAACTCATGCAATAACGAAGTCGGGAACCTTCAGATTCTGCAGCCTTCTTGCATAGCATGTATTCAGTATCTAAGCTAACACTCGTGAGATGAAGCGCCTCTGTGCCGGAATCCTGCAAGGGTGCACTGTTGAAGAGTACCATGGAAAAGATTTAAATACTTTGAAACATTGCCAGTTCTCCTCCGGATACATGAACAAGACATCTGGTATAGCCAGACTTGATAATGTCAGCCGTTCCACTTGCCACGTTCTGTGCAGTACGTGACTGGTTGCCAGATTGGATCTAGGAAAGCTTGGTTTGACCCAACCCTAATTGTACGCGTGACTGTCATTCTAGTATGACAATCTACGGAAAATTACAATAGTTGGTTGGGCCATGTTCTACAGATTAATGGTACTTCGTGTTACACCGTGCGCTTGACTCCACGTCTGGCATCGTACACGCGATGAGGCCCATTTGGGGGCTCGGGAGCATCTCCCCCTACACCCTCTTGCTAGAGCGTCGATGCATAATGGCACCGAGGATGCTGCAATATGTTGAAGGGAAGAAAAAAGACCATAGCCGAAGACGACTTCGAAACTTGGTTTGGTATACCAGCTATGCCCTAGAGCAACGATGTTGAAGACATCACACTTTAAGAGCCTTCTGTCAGAGCCCGCCGTGGTCCATAAAATGACATAGGTATGGGTTCAATTCGTATCTAATCCCGTCAAGTAGCGTTCCGCCTTGCGGTCGGCTCAGGGTGTTCTCAAGATTAATACGTAGATAGTGATAATGCTATATTCCCTAGTTCCACCTCTTGTGGCCTGTCCTGCTGGAAATGTTTGTCCTCCCGTATACACAAGTGACATGTTGATCGAAAGGTGTTCCAAGAAAGTAGTAGGCAGCGCCTCCCGGATGCATTAGTAGAACATTTTGTTTTACATTGGTATTGTGCTGTTGTACAAAGAGCTGCCCTCGGCTCTCTCAAGGGTATCATACCAGTACGGGGTTGATATACCAAGCCCCGCAATACAGAAACGACAGTGTACTGAGATTCTATCGAACTCGAACTCGACGAAGTCGAGCTTTGCAGAACACAAGTATAAATCAACCGGTGAAGACGATTCGCACAGGGCCCTTGGGCGATATGTGTTGCAGTCGTGGAGTTCGGCCCATGTGCTGTTGCAATGGCGTATATCAGCCGACTCGTGTATGGTGCGTTCAGAGTTCGATCAGTCCATTTGAGTTCTGTAGCCACGGAACCCGTTCATAACCTGAAGCCATTTGGTAAGAGTTGCAGACACCTTATTTAACTTTGGGCTTCCCCTGTTGCTCGGCTTTCAGGGCTGCGATGCTGTCATCAATAATGGCGATCTCAGCATCGAGTCGCAGGATCTTCTCCTCCAGAAGTTGCTCGTAATCCTTATCGGAGAGCGGCTTCAGCGGACTCCATTTGGACGCCAACAGGCTGGTCTTTTTCTCTTTGGGCTCTCTGCTCTGGAGCTTCTGCGACAGGAAGGTAGCTCCGCCGCCAAGTGCCGAGAAGAAGAAAATGCCAGGTAAAATATTCCTTGGGCCACCTGTGGAAAGCAAGTATAAGTGTTTCGCGTCTGTTGACTCGAGCGCAGACGTTACTCACGGACCAGACCTCCTATCATGCCCGAGACACCACCGGCAACTGCACTGGCGGAGACTTTGTCCATAGGTACCAGGTTCTCCTCGCCGCCCCAGGCGTGGTGCAGTAGACTTCGAGAAGCTGATGGCGTGTCAGTTCTGGAATCAAGCGGGGTTGATGGAAGACAAAAACAAGCTCACCTATGAAACTCGAGCCTAGGGCAAACCACTGAAGGCCAGAGAAAACTGCGAATAGGGCAGGCGGGGCCGACCTCATGATGCCGGAGCCGAGTCCGACCACGGATCCCATGGCACCTTTGGAGAGAAGAACGAGTTAGCAAGGAAGTGTATGGAGCATTTGTGTGAGACAGCAGCAGAGATTTGAACGACTTACCGGTCAGGGCACCGGTCTGCAAGGACTTGGCTGCAATTTCTTTGAGCTCGGCGGAGCTGGGAGGAGGCCGCTGGGGCGGCGTAGTGGTTGCTGTAGCCATGCTAGGGAATGACTCTAAAACGCCCTCCGATGGCTGTCGAGGTCACCGTAGGCACTTATGTATGGACGTATGTATGTATGTATGTATGTGATATATCAGATAGTGTTGGGGATGGGAGGATTTTTGATAGACGGATTAGGTAAGCGGCCAGCCAAGGTCTCAAGGTCATGTATGCCCCTGGTTGATGTCCTGCTTTCGGCAGCCAATCAGCTTTACTGAGGAAGGAAGTTAGAGGGGCCGACGCGAAATCTAATGCAAGATGATGAGATTGCGTAAATCGTTGGTTCCGCTGCTTGTGTGCTGCATGCCGGCGACGAGTGACGAGGGATGATGACTCCCGAGTGGTTTGACTTGACTTGGCTTGACACAAGACTCACTTAGAGGCGGGTGGCCTGACAAGGTTTAGCCTGCCCCACCTGCAATTGGCCAGTGCCCGTCGACTTTGGGCGTCCTGGTCGAGCCCTTTTCCACTTATTTTCTCCCATCCGCAGCGGTGGGCTGGCCCCCCGACTGGCCGACTGGCCGACTGGCGGCCTAGAGAGCCATCGCCCAGCAGCACCCCACCAGCGTCACCACCAAGCACCGCCGGGGGACACGGGCAGACGGGGCAACGGTGGGCAGAGAGACACCCGTGGACAGAGGGACAGCCAGAGGGAGGCCTGCCATTCGCTACACACCCAAATCTTTTTTTTTTTCTGCCAGGCCACCACCCACCACCACCGCACCACAAGCACCACAAGCACCACCGCCGCCGGCTGCCCCAGCAAAGAAAACTTTCCAGATTCTGCCGGTCTGTCGCCCCTTGTCGCAGGCCACCTGTGATTTTTTCCACAAAACTGCAATTGACTGCACCCCGTCTCTGTCCTCTCGGAGATACCCTGATATCGACTGCCAACTCGCTCCAGACGATTGGCTTCGATTTTTTCTCCCTCTCCTCGCGGCCGGCTCACTCGTCCTTGTCCTTGTCCTACCTTTCTCCTCCCACCCCCCAGGTTTCTCACTGTAGGACCTAAAAGCCTCGCCTCGCCCCTCCCCTCGCCCCTCACATCCCATCCCGTCCCATCCCATCCTATCGAAGGACCACCGCACAGTACCTCACCCCAGGTACTCACCTTCGATCCTCGCCCACTCGACCAACGCGCAGCGATTCTGTACATCGTCGCGCGTCCCCTGCCAATACCGCAATCATGGGTAAGTCCAGTCCTCAACCATCTCAGCCTCGTCGTCTTGATTTGATATACACCCGTACCTCTCGAGGTCGACGTCGTCGGATGATTTCCAAACGCGCATCTGCGCCGAGACATACATGCCTGCTTGCCTGCTTGTGTCCGCAGCCAGAATACCCTGCTAACGCCAGCGTCCCACAGCTCCCAAGAAGAAAGAACAGCAGCAGAAGATGTCCCTCGGGGCCTTCTTGAACGACGACAGTTAGTATCCCACCCCCTCGCTGCTTGCTACCTGCCGACCCATCTTGGCGCGGCATATAACCATGTCCCGAGAGGCTGACCATGTTGCGCAGATTTCGGCGGTTCCTGGGCCGACGAGGTCGAGGATGTCATCGGTGAGTCGCTCCACCCCTTGAGAATGCCCGAATGGACTGCTAACCTTCCCCGTCAGGCTCCCAGCCGCTGCCTCCCGCACCCCATGAGCGTCGCACTGGCACCTTTGGCTTCTCCAGCTACGGCGGAGGAAGTGGCTTTGGCGGCGACCGTGACCGAGGCTACCCTGCTCGCGACTCCTTCCCCACCGAGCTTCCCACCAGACCCCCCTACACCGCTCACCTGGGCAACCTCTCCTACGAGGCCACCACCGAGACCGTGACCGACTTCCTCGCCGACTGCGATGTCACCAGTGTCCGCATCATCGAGGACAAGATCGAGCAGCGCCCGAAGGGATTCGCCTATGCCGAGTTCGCCGACGTCGAAGGCTTGAAGAGAGCTCTGGAGCTCGACGGAGAGACCTTCCAGGGACGTAACATCAGAATTAGAATCGCTGATCCTCGTGAGTGACCTCGCCTCTGCCCAAACCCCTCCTCCCTCGTTTACTGACCAGCTTGCAGCCAAGGGTGGTGACCGTGGCGACCGCGGCGATATTGCCCGCGACCTGTCCAGCTGGGAGCGAAAGGGTCCGTTGACCGGGGACCCACCCCGTAGCGACAGACGAGACTTCGGCGAGCGCCGTGGCCCCCCTCGCGATGGCCCTGTTGACGATGGCAAGGTCCGAGACTTTGGCAACTGGGAGCGCAGGGGTCCTCTGTCCCCCATTCCTCAAGCCGAACGCTCTGGCTCCCGAGACAGCAGCCGGCCCGAGGGCAGACGTAACGACTCCTTCCGTGGTGGTGAGCGCCCCGACCGACGCACCTCCCCTGCTACCTGGGGCGAGGGCCGGCCCGAGGGTTCGCGACCTCCTCGTGAGCATTCTGAGCGTCCCGACCGCCCTGACCGTCCTGAGCGGGCCCCCACTGCCGCTGAGCTCGACAACCAGTGGCGTAGCAACATGAAGCCCGACAGGGCCACTCCTGACCAGTCCCGAAACGGCAGCGAGGCACCGCCGTCGCCGGCTGGATCGGCCGCCGCCCCTGTCGGTCGTCCCAGACTGAACCTGCAGAAGCGTACAGTGTCGGAGGCTCCAGGTGTCACTTCGCCTCCTCCTGCCTCGGCGACTGACTCCAAGGCCAACCCCTTCGGCGCTGCCCGTCCTATTGATACGGCTGCCAAGGAGCGCGAGATTGCTGAGAAGAAAGAGCAACTCGCCAAGGAGAAGAAGGAAGCCGACGAGAAGGCCAAGGAGGAGCGCCGCCTGGCTAAGGAGGCTGCCGCGAAGGAGGCCGCCGAGGCCGCCGCCGCCGCAGAGGCTGAGGCCGAGGCCGAGAAGGAGAAGGCCAAGGAGGAGCCTGCGTCGACACCCGCAGAGTCAGCTGAGAATACCGAGGCACAGACTGGAGCGTCCGATGAACAGAAGATCCCTACGAGACCTCGGGAACAAGTACAGAATCCCAAGGCTAGAGCCACCGAGAGTGGCAACTGGAGGACCGCGTCCGGAGAGGGACGCTCTGCACGCGGAGGTTACCAGAGCGCACCTCGAGGAGGACGCGGCGACTCGCGCGGCGAACGTGGACGTGGTCGAGGTGGTGCTTCCCGCTTCGAGGGTGGCCGACCCCCCCGTGCCAACGGCGGCCCTCCTGCCGCTCCCGGAGCACAGCCGGCATCCCCCGCTGCCACACCTGCCTCTCCCGCTGCTGAGGAGAGTGCCGACCCCGAGGGCTGGACCACCGTGCCTTCCAAGGGCCGACGCAACCCGACGACTCGCGCATAGTTTGTCGTGTCGTCGTAGTTGCGCATGTACAACACAGGTCGGGTTGCTGGCTGCACATGCTCGTTCGTGAGCAATCACGGTGTGGTTGATGGGCCTGGCGAGCCTCGGAGCAGCCGTTCTGGAGCAAGAATACGAAACTTCCCTCTGCTTTTTTCTCTCGTCGTTTTCTCCGCCCTGTGACAACAATCACGCTTCTTCTTAACGGCATCATGTCACATGCAAAGGCGCACCTCTCTTCTTTTTCATCCACATAGACTTTGGAAGACGACTTCTTGGTTTCATGTTCTCTTTCTGCAGCTGAGAAAAAATGAAATTCACGACGGAAACGGAACATTGGACTCGACGGCCTGGATGGGAAAAAAGAACCAAAAGGGGGGAGTGTGTGCATGCGTCCTTTTCCTCTCCTTTCTTCTACAGCGCGACGACCTAGCCCCCAAAAGTTTTCACACATGCAGTTAGGAGTTCTGGGAACCCGGGGGGCCTTTGAGGGAAGATCTTTTCGTTTAGATCTTTTGATACGATTCGTCTTTTTGGCCCTACGAAAGCACGTCAGAACCATGAGAGAGCAAGCAGCATGATGAATGAGGCGGAGAGAAATCCCACTACGGAATAGACTTTTTACGGTACAGGAAAATGAATGCATACGCTTTCTATGAACCTTTCTTCATACACTGACGCGTCTCCTGTTCCCATTGTTGCCGCGTGAGAACTCGTATGTCTGGTGATACCCTGACTGCCTGCTATCCATCCACCCCAGGTGCTTCATTCGCCGTGATATTCCAGCACGGGTGATGAGTTTGCACAAAAGTGAACATGTACCTCCCTCGGTGAATTTAGTGGCCTCATTCCCTGTTTTCATTTCAGGCTGCATGCCTGCCTTTTGCAACCGACCATATCCACACCCTCGAAAGCCTCGAAGTAATGAAATTCAAATATTTACAACATCGATGACGTACATGTAAGCATACATCCAAAGGGAGCCAAGGATCCATTCCACATCCTGTACCATGCTTCCTCCCAACCTCTTCGAAGTGCTGAATTGCATGTGCTCTTGGCCTTGCTCCCCGCGACTCGCTGCGTGACAACGCCAACGCCGATACCGCGGCTCCGCGAACCCGCCGGCCCCCAACGCGCACTTGGCAAGTCTCCTGCCGTTATAATGATGGACGAGGTTGACGGCGCTCGGGTTGTTGCAGCCACGGGAGCCCTGGCTTGAACTACTCGCTCCGCCGGTTCATGGCAGGCAGGATATTCTTGTCGAGCTGGGATGCTTTGAGAATCACGACGTGGCAACCGGGGGTCGCTTTTCTTATACATGTAGTATTTGGTATAGGATCTGGCTCATGCGCTACGGTTCTACGTGGCGCAGTGGATACGGTGCATGCAGTTGGATTGCCTCATAAGTCATCGTAGAACAGCAGCAAAGGTGGTCTCTCAATATCGTTCATCATTCCAGGCATAGCCAGAGTCTATAAGGCCACGCTATCTCAAATCATCCTATTTCATTTTTTCTTTTTTCTCTCAGAGCCGCCCAGTGGCTGGCTACCTTTGTGCAGATCTTCGAAGCTTCCCCATCTAGATCTATACATCTATAAAAAGACCTCCAGGTTGATCTCCAGCGTACTGACGGGACGGTTCAGGTCGAACTTTTCTAGCACGGTAGGGTGCAGGATGCCGACCTCGCCTATCCTGGTAGCCTTGCCGCCTAGTCTCAAGTAGATGGCAGCCGCCCTGCCCTGGAAGAAGGTCTCCTCGTCAATGGGCTCCAGCCAGTAGCCGTCGCGCTGGGTGTGGTCTTGGGCTACTTGGAAGTCGAGGCTCTTGCTGCTCTTGAGGCCCTCCTCATGCGTCAGGAAGCCCTGGCGCAGCATCAGCATGACACGGTCAAGGAGACCGTGGACCTCCTCGAATCCACTCGTCTTGCCGTACCAGGCGGCGCTGAAGTGGCGCTCGTTGCGAGCCTTGCGCTCGGCGGTCTCGTCCTTGAAGACGACATCCGAGGTCTCAAAGACTCTGATTGGCACGCTGTGCTTCTTGTTCTCACGGATGGTCTTCAGCAGACCGGGCAGAAGCGACGTCCGTACGATCTGGTACTCGGACGTCTTGGGGTTCTCCAGCTTGACGGCCGTCTTGCCGTCATCCTTTCGGTTCAGCCAGGCAAAGTTCTCGTCGTGGCTGCACAGGATTAGGGGCATGACCTCGGACCAGCCTGCCATACCGCACTCCAGACGGATGATATCGCCCAACTTGTTGATGGTCAGAGGTGAACCGACGGTCCTGTTGACCGACATGCGAGGAAGTTTGTTGAAACCGTAGGCAATGCCGAGATCCTCCATGATGTCGCAACGTTGGAGAATGTCAGCTCTTGTGGGCGGGATGGAAACTTCTACGGTATCCTTCTTGGACGAAGGCTTGGCGGACAAGGACATCTTGGCAAGAAGCTTGGAGATACTTTCGGGGGTCTCGTTGATGCCGAGGCAGGCGTTCAAATAGTCGATTTCCACCTCGGTGGTCCGGGAGGACAGGTTGGGTGTGGTCCGGGTCTGCGAGTTGTGCTCCGAGATGATCTTGACGGGCTCGATTGTGAAGGGCTCCTCACAGTAGACGGAGAACATGGTCACCATCATGTTCAGGACAATGTCGAGCTTGGTGGCATCGGTGGCGGTGCACTCAATGAAGACGTTCTTGCTGTTGAGGGTGATCTTGGAGTGCTCGCCGTTGATGATGGGCGGCAGGGAGCAGACGGTCCTGTTGGCGTCGTAGATGACGGGGTAGACGGGGCTGTCCTTGATGATGTGCAGATACCTCCCCAGATGCCTGTCCTTCTCGTAGAACTGCATCAGCTCCTCGGCGTTCATCTTCTTGGTCTGGTTGAGAGGGGTGAACTCGATGTCACGGGGTGGCAGGGCCTCGTATGTGAAGGGGCCCTTGACGGTATCGAGGTCGTGGGTTCCAATGGCGACGAGGGTGCGCTGGCGGGCCAGGTTCTGGTGCAGCTTGTCCTGCAGGGCAATGAAGGACTCGTATTTCTTCTGGGTGAAGTTGACGTTGCGCAGGATGGCGCCGGCGACCAGGGGACGGATCTTGGTGGTGTCCGGGGACACGGTGATGGTCTGGAGGCCGGCGGCGGGGGGCTCGACGAGCTTGAAGTTGGGGGTGGCCTGCTTGCCGCGGAAGATGTTGAGCATCAGGGCGATGCCCTCGAAGCACAGCATGTCGTAGCGGTTGGCGGGGATCTCGATCTTGAGCTGGGGCGGCTCCTGGACGCCGTTGACAATGGGGCGGTCATCGTTCTCGGTGTCCTCGTCCAGCTCGATGCCGAACTCGAAGCAGAGCTCCTCGAACTCCTGGGTGGTATACCTGGGGGGGAAAGCGAGGCACGGGTTAGTGGCGGGGTGAACGGTGTGGGATGCGGCGGGGGGGGAGGTGTAGAGACGGGGGCGCACTTTTGACCGAGAGCCTCGAAGAGGTCGTACTTGTCGACGGCAATGGTAGGCATGTTGTCGGCGACGGCCCCAGAGGCTCGGGAGAGGTGTGGTAGGCGTTGGGGAGAGTCGAGGTGCTTGGAGATGGAAATCCGTCCTTGTCCTTGTCGGGGCTGGCCTGAGTCACAGAAATTTGGCTGCGCTCGTCAAATGTTTGGAGGAGGGACCGGCAACCAAAAAAAAACGACCCCACGTTGAATCGAGCCCAATACATGCACTTAACGGGGCGCCTAGAAGCTTGCCTACCGAAGAAGTAATTCCTCGTCGTCTGCTCGTCAGTCAACCACTGAACAATACTCGTCTCAATACTCTGGTATGGGCCAGAAGACCTACCTGCCATGCAGCTGACCTACGTCCATGTTGCAAATTGACTTGGAGGGAGAAAGGCTACATGACTGCCAGGAACACTCGCAGTCGATCGAAATGACGACGGGCCAGCTTCCAGGTTCAGGGTTCAGGTTCAGGTTCAGCATCGTGCTGCGTGGCGTACATCTCGCCATCTATCTGATCTGCTTGACGTTGTAGTTACGGCACTCAATAGTAAGATGGACAGGTAGGTAATTTGACTAATCGCGATCGCGTCTCCAGAGGCTGCCCAGGTGGTGGTTTTGGGGAGCGAGTTAGCGAATTATGTCATTCATCTCTGGGCATCAGGCACCGCTAGACCAGACGTCAGGTTTTGTTCATGTATCGCATTTCCCAGTGCCATAGGCCAGGGGCCGAAGCTGAGAGCATGTGTACATGTATACTTATAGAGGCATTGATTGATAGTATTATGTGTAATATGCTTATCGTATATAGATGTCTAGCCCGAGTATTTTTGGAGAGCGCAAGCCACACCATGTCACCGTTGCTGGTGTCTCCCGAGTCCCCTGTCACCCCCATTGGCAAATGCCAGGCTAGTTAAAGGCCAGGGTCACATCAACAGAGGCCCGGCGATCATGGAGCCACCAAAGCTCCGACCCAGGCTTGCTAAACCAAGGCCCCAAGCTTGGGGGGGAGAGGGGGGGCCTTTGGGGGTTCCTCGCTGGTAGATGTTGATGAAGCGGTGGGCAGTGGGCAGTGGGCAGCCTGCAGCCAGTGCCGCAGCCGCAAACCAGACGCAGAGAGGAGCCTTGACCTCATCAACAGATCCAGTGCAGACTGAACCTGGAAGCCCGAGACCAATTGCAGCCAAGGCAGCGTCCAAGCAACCAAACGCCTCGAGCAAAAAGCCTTTCCCCTCCCCCATCTCCTCAATTCCCATAGCCCAAAACTCAGAGATACCCCTCGATGACTTATTTGAGAGTGCAATAGACTGCAGAACGCGGACCTAGCCATTTGTGATTTCCATCCGGTGCACACACACACACACACACACACACGCACACGCACACATACATAACGATACACCGTGGAAAATCTACCTAGTGTAGGCCGTCTAGGTACCTAGGTAATCTTTCGTCAACGGCACTAGGCGAACAGCAAGACACACTGGTACAGTAACTCCAGTTCCTACCTAGGTAGCAGCCAGCAGCCACACACGCGCACACACACACAACACCCACTGGCTCCTGGCTCCTGGGCTCCTGGACTGTCCCGCCTCCCGCCTAAAGCCTGGCAGAAACTGGTATGCGCGCACACCCCCAAAGACCCAAGACCCAAGACCCAAAGACCCAAGAACTCAAAGGTCCGGCCTTAAATCCTGTTGCATCACTCACCACACCAAACCCACACACGCGATCAGCTCACCACCGCCAGTCCATCTGTTGATATCACCCCTCCCCCGACGCACCACCCTGCCGCCCCACGGCGCCCATCACGAACTCGGTATCTCATCATGGCTGACGCGCCTGCTGCGAGCGATGAGCTCTACCCCATCGCCGTGCTCATAGACGAGCTCAAGGTGCGTTCACCCTCGCCCTCGCCCTCCACCTCAGCCTCGACCCGACGTCAGGCCCTGTTCGCTCTCTCCTCCATGCTGGCCTGCCCTGGCTTGCCCTGGCCCAACATGTGCCCGCCAACGTCATGTCCCTCTCCTTGCCGCGACAGAGAACGCTGACCCTCACGGCCCCTGGCTCTAGCATGACGATGTCCTCCTCCGCCTGAACGCAATCCACCGCCTCTCGACAATTGCCCTGGCCCTCGGCGCTGAGCGCACCCGCGAGGAGCTCATCCCCTTCCTTGACGGTTAGCCACCACCATCACCACCCACCGCCCTCCTACAATATACAAACCCGCTTATCTAACATCCACCCCTCTAGAATCCGTCGAAGACGAAGACGAGGTCCTCGTCGCCCTCAGCGAAGAGCTCGGCAGCTTTATCGAATACGTCGGCGGCCCGCAATGGGGTCACGTCCTGCTGTCGCCCCTCGAGAACCTCGCTGCCATCGAGGAGCCCGTCGTCAGAGACAAGGTCCGTCTCGCGCTGTTTACCGCTGATCCCCCCCTCGACACGCCCACTAACCCGGCTCGCAGGCTGTCGAGTCGCTTAACAAGATCTGCGACCACCTGTCGCCCCAGCAGGTCGAAGAGTACTTCATTCCCCTCACCATCCGCCTCTCCAAAGCCGACTGGTTCACCTCCAAGGTCTCGGGATGCGGTCTATACACCGCCCCCTACTCCAAGGTCTCCCCGCCCGTCCAAGAGTCCCTGCGCCAGCAGTTCGGCCTCCTGGTGCACGATGAGACCCCCATGGTCCGCAGACAGTCGGCCACCAACCTGGCCAAGTTCGTCAAGGAGATGCCCGCCGCCATCGTCGTCGATGAAATGATACCCCTCTTCCAGCACCTCGCCCAGGACGACCAGGACAGCGTGCGTTTACTCACAGTCGAGATCCTCATCTCCATCGCCGAGGTCGTCCCCAAGGAGCAGCAGGCCAGCCACGGAGTTCTACTCACATCTCTACGCAACCTGATAGAGGACAAGAGCTGGAGAGTTCGTTACATGATCGCCGATAGGTTCGAGAAGGTATGTCGCAGCAGCCCGGCCAGCGAGCGGGGACCCGCTCCGTCGCCCCCCTCTCTGCGTGTGTTCATTGGCTGACCTGGAGGGCAGATCGCGAAAGCAGTAGACGAGGAGGTTGTCTCGAGGGATCTGGTGCCTGCGTTTGTCAAGCTGCTGAAGGATAACGAGGCCGAGGTGCGGACCGCCATTGCTGGGCAGATTCCCGGCTTCTGTGCCCTGGTCGACAGGACGACGCTGTTGAACGACATCATGGGCAATGTGGAAGACCTCGTCTCTGACACATCTCAACATGTTCGTGCCGCATTGGGCACCCAGATCAGCGGCCTTGCACCCATTCTTGGCAAGCAGGAGTAAGATGGCCCAAGGCCGGAAATCATTTGCACTTCGCTAACGCTGTCTAGAACCATCGACCACTTGCTCCCCATGTTCTTGCAGATGTTGAAGGATGAGTTCCCTGAAGTTCGCCTTCACATCATCTCCAAGCTCGAGCTCGTCAACCAAGGTAAAATACACTAGTGATCCAATGCTTCTAGCTGCTCAGGCGCATGCTGACCTCCCCCAGTCATCGGAATCGACCTCTTGTCCCAATCCCTTCTGCCTGCCATTGTCCAGCTGGCCGAGGACAAGCAGTGGAGAGTCAGACTTGCTATCATCGAGTACATCCCTCTCTTGGCTAGCCAATTGGGTGTCAAGTTCTTCGATGAGAAGCTCAGTGGCCTGTGCATGGGCTGGCTTGGCGACACCGTCTTCTCCATCAGAGAGGCTGCCACGCATAACCTGAAGAAGTTGACCGAAGTCTTTGGTGTTGAGTGGGCTAGTGAGGCCATCATCCCTAAGGTCATGGCCATGGGCTCCCACCCCAACTATCTGTACAGAATGACGACCTGCTTCGCAATTACGGTGAGTCGGATTGCTCCCTCCGAGATGAGCCATACCCAATACTGACAGAGCGCTCCTAGACACTATCCACCGTTGTGAGCTTGGACGTGATCGGCAAATCCATTCTGCCCATGATGGACAAGCTGGTGGAAGATGACATCCCCAACATCCGCTTCAACGTCGCCAAGACGTATGCTGCTCTTATCGACGTGCTCAAGCGGCTACCCGAGACGGGCACGACCTACGAGCTGGAGAAGGCGGGCGCCAAGGATCACACGGCGTCGCCCAAGTCTCTGGAGCTCATCAACGAGCGGGTCCTGCCCAGTTTGGAGAAGCTACAGAAGGATGACGACGTGGACGTCAGGTACTTCGCGACGACAGCGGCTGCGGCCATTCCTGGCCAAGGTGGAGAACCAATGAACACGTCACCGTAGAGAGGAAGTGAAAAGAGAAATAATGAAGCAATTCTCGTCTTTCCCCGGAAACCCCCCCTTCTTCTTTGCAACATGACCACAGAAAGCATCACGGGCAAGCGGGGGGATGAAACAGCATCAAGAAGCATCTGCACTAGAAGGAAATCAGCCTACTCTGACCCAGTAGCGGGGCGCGCGAAACGAGGATCTGACTTTTGTATGGACGGCGACGAGATCATACCCTGATTGTTCATGAGTTCGGAGAGACCAAATCATAGACCGCCAGACGGACAGAGGACGTGTCGTCCAAGAGCCAACACGGTTCCTGGGGGTTATTATGTACGAGTAAAAAACCTAGCAGTACAGGTCCCGAGGGGGTAAAAGACAAGAAAAAGAGACGCAACAATTTATAGAATGACTTGACGATCGCGTTCCGTGAAGTGAAGGATTGTTCGTGCCGCCATTGATTTGTTCGTCTGCTGTCTCATCATTATGGGTATCTATCTCTTGTTGCCATCCACGCCTGTCTACCCTTTCGTGTCATGTTCGTAATCCCCTCCCATCTTTCCATCGAGGCGCCTACTCTCTCGCAACCTTGCGGAAGCACACGCTGCTGATAGTCTGGCCCTTGACGCCGCCAAAGCTGAAGGTGCGGTACTGGATGCGGTCCACGACGTCGAACCCCCATCCCCTTGCCCCCGCTCCCCCGGCCCCGGCCTCTCCGTCGTCGTGCTGCGGCCCCGCGAACCACCGCTCCAGCTCCTCCTCGGTCCAGTTGCAGCTCGTGATGAGGAACAGGCCGCCCGGCCGCACCAGCGGCAGCACGCGCCCCCGGTAGCCCTCGTTGATGCGGCGCCCGCGCGCGTCCGTCGCCGCCGACAGCGAGATGGCGTCGAACGTGCCCTTGTCCAGCACCACATCCCAGCCGCCGCGCGCACCCGCCGGCGCCTGCGCGCCCGACACAACCGCGGCGTCCGGGCCCGCCGCCGCCAGGATGTCGTGCCGCGCGAACTCGACGGGCTCCCGCGCCTCCTCTACCTCGTCCTCGTCTTCGCCATGCTGGTTCCCCTCCCCTTCTTCTTCTTCCTCCTCTTCTCCGCCGCCGCCCTCCCCCCGAAACCGCTCCTGCCGCGCCTCCTCGCGCCGCCGGGCGAACTCGACGCTGCGCTCGCTGTAGTCGACGCCGAGGGCGCGGCCGCGCCAGCCGTGCTCGCGCAGGCCGAAGAGCAGGTCGCCGTTGCCGGTGCCGAGGTCGAGGAAGCTGGCCGTGTCCTTGCCCATTGCCTTGCCCTCTGCTCCTGCCTCCTCGTCGTTGGCGGCGGTGGCAAAGTGCTCGGCCAGGAACTCGAGCACCTTGTCCTGGGCGCCCGAGTCGTCGAACCAGTTGGTGCCCGTGTCGGACGGGTCGGCGGCGTGGTTGGCGATTTCGGTCTCGTACAGGGCATCCCAGCTGGAGGAAGAGAGAGGGAGGGTAAGCGTCAGGTTCGGACTGGGGCTATGCGGATGACTCAGGTGTAGAGGTATGTGTGTGTGTGTGTGTATGCTAATGTAGATGCGGATATGCTGGTCACAGCCAAGGGGGCCTACGGACTATTCTCTGGTTCCCAGCTCTGAAGGCTCGAGGTGCGTGGGGTTGGCAGTGGCGCCCGCCGGGTCTGCGCCGTTGGATGTCATGGTGTCGGTTTAGGTATTGGGATGGCGAACCTGGTCAGGTTGGGTCTTGTCTGCTCGTGGTGATGTGTAGAAGGGTGGCCCGAGGGTGTTACAAAGAGTGCTCTCGCCAGTGGATAGAGTCAAGAGAGTATACGCAGCACCTTAGGCCCTTCCTTTCATTGGCGTCCGGACCCTGAAACTTATTATTAATTTTCGAGGGGTCGCGAGCTCGGATGGAGGGGCAGGCGGCAGAATTTGAGTTTCACCGACAGGGGTCCCGTGGGCGGTGTAAGTTAGTATAGCAAGCAGTAAGCAGTATAACATTAGTGGTATTGCTACCCAGTGCTCTTTTCAGCATCCTTGTCAGTATAGACAATGACGACTCGCAGGTAATTTCGGCAGCGTGGGTTATCTGAGTAAACCAAAAGTGTCTTCCCACTTGAAAAGGGGTATAGTAGAAAGGAAATCTCTGGTGGTTTTTCTTTTCGTCTCTCATCTCTCCATACACGCCCAGTCCGTGTATGGTTCGGCCCGTATTGCTACCTTGGCGGAATCACAACCCCAGGGACTATGGCTCTACTCCCTTCCCTTTCCTAAGCCCAGCCATACGTGCCGCCATGGATCCCTTCGCTAACATCAGTCCTACGGACGCGAGCCTCATGCATCAAAGCCATCGGCGCTCGCGTCGGCGTCCTATCAACAGGGGTGTCCCTATGAATGGCAATAGATACCATCCAATCGGCTCATCCTAGGGGCCAATCACCAAGGCAACCCTAGCTCAAACTCCAAACCGGAGCCTTGACCAGAACCTGCCGTCCTCGGACCTCGACTGCGACGAAACCTGCGAAACGGATCTTGGTGGGGTCCTTGGGAATTGCTGTTGATGAGTCCGCCATGTCAGTATTCGAGACGACGCTGCCTTTCCGGCTTCCTGGAGGCGGTGCACTGCTCAACATATTCAACATACCGGTCTTGGGTTTCTTGGCTTTGTCGCCATCCGGACCGCTGTCCTCGGCGTCGTCGTTATCGGGCAACGGAGGCAGGCCTGCCTTTTCGAGTTCCATGAAATCGGCCTGGATCGAGTCTCCTGGCAGAGGATACGTGACAGCCACATCGCGGCTCTCCAAAGATATGTTGGCGGCAATTCCTACGGCGAGCTCTACGATCATGGCCACACTTCCCTCGACGCCGGCAGGCGGCGGGTCGGAAAGATGTTGATAGAGGTGTGCGGTCAAGTTCCCGGTGCACAAGTCCGTGTAGGCTCCTCTGTTGTCCTGGTTCTCGCCCGCCTGGAGCTCCTGTTGGAGCCCCTCCAACGTGGCCATCCTCCAGCTGACAACTTTGGATGTCAAGGCATCGAATTCCTCCTGGCTGGTGAGCGTATACGAGAACCTGCGGATGTTGTGCTCGATTTCTTTGAGGTTACGGCTCAGCTCAATATCCAGCCCCGGGTGGAAACACTTGTTGAATATCTCGTTCACAATCCATCGCGCGACGACGGCGCGCCCAACCGCAGTCATCTCCTGCTTCCCAGTCTTGAGCGCATCTGTGCTCACGTACCTGTCGATCCAGGGGGGTAACGTTCGCCAGTCTTTGCGGATGTTGAACGAAAGGTTGTTGATGGCACCATTCAGCCGGTTGAAGCGTGTCGTGTACTCATTGTCATCCAACGCAGTCCGAGATTGGGAAATTCGCTGGTTGGCCACGGCATTCTGCAGCTGCTCGACCTGGCTGGTCAACTGCTCGATCTGGGCTTTCCCGTCAAAATAAAGTCTTTTCACGTTCTTGTATTTTGTTACTAGAAATAGGTGTTAGCGAGCTCAGCCAGCCAATCGTAGACAGAGTCGGCGAGGCAAAAAGCATACATAGGTCCTTGAACTGCTTATCCGAGCTCTCTTCCCGCTCTCCTCCGGTGGAGGGCTGGGGGCTATGACGTCCCGTCTCCGGGCCTGCGCCATCGAACTGCTGTACCTGCCTTTCGGGCACGTTGCTGGCACGGAACTCACGGTTGGCCTGGGCGGGGCCAGGAGTGGGCGGATGCGACCCCATGCTGCTCATCTGAGCCTGGCTGTGTCTATAGTTGGGTGGCGGCCCAGGAGGCGCGTCAACATTGCCAGCGCCACGCATGCCCTTGTCGTCGCCCGATCTGCGGCTGGGGGGACCCCCTGGTGGAGGTGCCATGTTCACAGGCTGGGCTGCTAACGGTGAAGGGGAGACAGGCAGCTGGTTCTGGGGAACGGTGGGGTCCTGATGCGGGTAGTTGACGGCTGGGGAAGCTTGTGTAGACTGCAAGTGGGCTGATAGCTGGTCTGGATCGGTCACGGGCGAATCATGCGACAGCTGGGAGATTGTCTCTGCGTTGGACTGCTGAGATGTCAAGCGGCCGGTATAAATGCGAGGCGGGTTGCCCGATGGATACTGGGCCTGGCCGTGTGCGTATTGTTGATATTGATCCTGGGCCGGGTCGACGATGATCTGGCCGTAGTGTTGTTGTTGTTGTTCGGCCTGGGCCTGGAGTTGGGCCTGGTGCTGGGCCTGCAGCTGCTGGGCGTGGGCCTGGTGCTGCTGGAATGCGAGGTCCTCAGGGCTGTAGGGCGACGTTTCGGCGCTGGCAGCGGGGACCTGGCGTATAGTGCTTTGGTGGGGGTGGGGGCCGCGGGGCGCCTGAGCACGGGGATGGGTCTGCTGCTGCTGCTGCTGCTGCTGTTGCAGTTGTTGCTGTTGCTGTTGCTGTTGCTGCTGCTGCTGCAAGAGGAGATCCTGCTGAGATATGTTGTCTGGGTAGGGCTCGCTGGCCTCTCCTACGCCCTGCAACGGTGACGGCTGTGTAGATTGCTGCTGCTGTTGCTGTTGCGGCTGTTGCCAGTCAGGAACTTGTTGCTGCTCGAGAGACACGCTGGTCCGGATCGAGGGCGGGAAGGGGTTGCTCACTCGCTTAGAGGGCCTGCGAGCAAGACCGGCGGTATTATCGTACGAGTTCTGGTGCTGGTGGTGATGGTGGTCTGGCGACGAAGCCGAAGAGGCAGCGGCTCGGCTGACGGAGGCTCCCTGGAGTATCTTCTTGATCAGCTTGCGGGTGGACGGCTTGGTCTCTGTGGGGGCGGATTGGCCTGGGTGCTGGTGGTGAGGCCCGACGGGGTAGCCCGATTGACCATGCGCGAACTGGTGCGGGTGCTGGACGAGGGGTGACGAGATGGTCTGGGGCAGGTCGTCGGCCGAGCTGGAGGCGGGCGCGAACGGCTGCTGGGTCTGCAACGGGGACACCTGAGGGTATCGTGTGGACTGCGACCGCGACACCGAGTCGGCAAAGTCTGGGTGCGGGCTCTTTTGCTGCTGCTGTTGCTGTTGCTGCGTGCGCAGGTTGCCGTAAGCAGCAGAGGCCGGATTGGGGATGCTGCTGTTGTTGGGAATGGTGGTGCTGCTGCTGCTGGCGGTGGTAGACGAGGTGGGGTGGTTTGACGTAAGAGCAGCACCTCCTGCAGTGCCAGGGTAGACCTGCGGTGGAAGCTGGCCGGCTGCTTGCTGATCCTGCTGCGGGCGCTGCAGCGACTGATGCTGATGCTGATGCTGGAACTGCTGTTGCTGTAACTGTTGTAGCTGCAGCTGCTGCTGTTGTTGTTGTTTGCTTAGAGCAGGCGGCTGCTGTCCTTGCTGTTGTTGTTGGGCCGCTGCTGTCGTTGTCGTCGCCGCCGCCGCCGCCCGCGAGTCAACCTGGAAGGACTCGCTGGAGCTGAGCGCGGTGGACGAGGCTGAGGGGGGCGTGTTAGCAACGATGGAGGAACCACCGCCAGATCCGGGACCAAGGCCAGCGCCGACGCCTGACGAACTCGACGTGATCAGAGAGGGCGGTGCATTCGCCTGCTGGTCGACCAGGTTGTGCTGGGAACGATTGCTGTGCTTGCCAATGCGTCCGAAGGAGGGCATAGTTTTAATCTCGTCTCTGCCCTTGGGGGGGAACCTCCCTCTTTTGGGTCGTGCTGTGTGCTGCGCTTGGGCTGGGCTGGACACAACAAAAGAATGAATGCTGTGCTGTGCAGCGCCGGTGCTGTGCTCGCCGGCTGGACGAGAGGAAAAGATGGGACGAAGTGATCTGGCTTATTCCCCCAAAACGCAAAGGGCTGACGCTCTATGGCGGATTCGGCTGGTTAGAATGGGCCTTTGCAGCACTATTGCAGGGGCCGCCTGCCTCCGCGGGGGGGCTGTGCTGGGACAGCTGCGTTGCTGATGCGATGCCTCCTCCGTGTGTGGGTTGTGGATGATTGTGGATATGTGGTATGCGATGCGTGTGTCCTGTCCTATGTCCTATGTCCTTCGGCCGGCTGGATCGTCTTGTCGCAGCCAGGCAGATCGAGGGGGGAGAGAGAGGGACGGCTATTCCATGTCCGGCGGCTGCCTTTCGCTCGGCGTCAACTCGTCACAAAGGGGCTGGCATAAAGGAGACAAATAGCTGGAGCCAGGGTCAGCTATGTACAGTACAGCACAGGCGTCAACCCAAGCGCCGTCGGCAGACAGGACTCAAAGCGCTTGCTTCATTGACCACTCGATACGACAGGTACTAGGCAGGAGGCGGATCTCAAGGGTAACTCGCGCAGACAGGAACGGTTGTTGCAAGATTGCGACTTGAGGGGTGGAGAGAAGCAGAGAGCGAGCGCATAGCGGCCGGGCTACCAAGAGCTCATCAACAACCCATGGAGCGAATCCCATTTTCCCCTCAATCCCACTCCATAGCACGGCACGCCCAATAGGGCGCTACTCTATCCTGCCCATAGCTGGCGTCTGACCAGCGCGGCTTACCCTTTGTCTGTCTGCACTAAGAAAGAGAGAGAGGGAGAGGGAGAAGCCAGCATGGTTGCAACTTGAGTTCACGTGGGAATAGCCCGCATGGCAAGTAGCTTGTTAGTCCCGTAGAGTTGACGCCGTTTGGCTGAGCCTATTGTCCGGTTTCCATTAATACCACCACCACCGACCAGTTGCGCGTCTTCATTCAGAGACATGTCATTTTACATCAAGTCCAAAAAATCTTCGTATTTTCTTGTTCTGCAGCGTCTTGTCGATATTGGGGCCAGATTGAAGTGGCGAGACCGCTCTTGGGCCGACTATTGGCACATGGGACCTGTTCAGCTCTGCATAACCCGTGCCACAGGTAATCTCCCAAGCTCTTGTCGCGGGCAGTGCCTTGCCACGGACACACACACACACACACACACACACACAGACAGACAGACAGACCCCTATACCAAGGTACAGAAAGACGTACCTGCAAATAGTCGACGGCGACGTAATCGAGCATCCAGTCCTCCGGCGCCGCGGTATCGATGCAAGGCAATTGGCCAATGCCACGGCCACCGCACGCAGCCAAGTTGCAGCAGGCGAAACTGGTTGTCTGCAGTTGAATTTGGCTCAACCTGGGCCCCGCCCCCAAGAAACAAGGGTCCCGCGTCTTACGATGGGTGTTCGCGAGCGAGAGCTTCTTTGGTTTCGACCACGGAAACGAAACGCAATGCTTGTTAGCGAGTGTGGGAGCAGGATGGGAAGCTCGACCCTTGTTCCTCGAACTCTGCCATGCCAGAGACCAGTGTGAGTGGAACCCCTGGGCCCGCTTCTTTTGGCTACCCTGCAAGGTCTATAGGTCTATAAATAGCACATCAGCGGGGCAACCTATACGGCGAGCCTTGGCAGCGCATGCTGCTCTTCGGTAGGGTCTCGTTCGGCCCAGCCCAGCTTCTCGAACAACGTCGCCATGCAGCCGAAGGGCCGAACATGACAGCCGCAGGCAGCAAGCTCTCTGCTTTGACTGGCGGCTGCCCCATGAAACAATCGAGGCAATGCCATGTTTCGTGACCTCGACGATGCCGCCGATGGGACTGTTGCGTTGCCTTGCGTTGAGATGCGTTACGTTCTCTCGACCGACATGCCGGCTTATCTCCATCGCGACCTGCCATGTTGCACCACACAACCGGGCTAGATCAATGCTACTCTGCAGGTGATGATGGCGGAGCAGCCAGACGTAATACCACGGGGTTCCATTGGGCTGCAGCTCTGCATTTGAGCCTCCCCCCAACGGCTTCTGTGACACTTGGAGTGCTCGACTCCTGGACGCCTTCTCGGGCTCTTGCGGAGTGACCCGGCTGTAACCCTGTCGATCACATTGCAGGAGAACCAGAAAACACGCCGGCCCGTCACCGGGGAACATCTGCAACCCAATCGTTTGCACAGCAACTTCACACCACCCGACGAGGCAGTCCGGGTGTCTGGTCGGCTCGATTCGCATTATCACAGCGCTTTCTACCACTTTGTTTGCACTACTTCTTGACACTGCCACGATGCATCCCACCTTTGAGTGATCGGCCTAGTCCCTGACGATGCAGGCGACTCTATTTGAAACCTACGGCAATCTGTGCTTACATAGGTAAGGCATGTGTCTAAATTCGAGGTCAGCTTGACCGCTTTCTGGACCCTGGGCATGTATCCCATGCTACCCAACACACCTGCAGTGCAATCCATATTGCATCTACATTGTGATGCCTTTTTGTTCGCAGAGCTGAAACCAAGTGCTGATGATCATGTCAAGGATAGATATTTTTATCACGGGAGCTATACTGTCCAAGAATGAATCCCAACCATAATCTGGTCAATTTGAGATAAGATCGACACTGCGTAGACTCGAGCTGTGAGCTTCCTTGAATGAGTCTGCATCCTTGGATGTGACTCTTCCCGGCTGTGGAAGCGAAGATGATTAAGGTCGCATTGTGTCGTTCTATTCATGGCAGTTGCCATCTAAGACGACACCGTGCTCACCAGCTTCCCGTTCGCCTCACGGTGATATTGGTCGATTGCTACGCCTCCCAGATCAAGATGTGGAATGAGTACTGCCAGTGCGCGTTCAGGCTTATGCGGCCGACCTGGATTGCGTATGGACGTGGAAGACTTAGCATCTGATCAGTGAGGCCCCCCATTACCAAGAGAGTAATAAGGTTGGTGCCGAGAGTGACACGTCAGACTTCTAACTTGACTTCTGCATTCAGTTCTATGGGTGAAGTCCGAGAGTCGTTCAACCACTCGCTCGACCTCATGCCACGTAGTTAGCCTCCAAAACGTCCATGAGTTTAACCGCCTTCGATGACAGCATCTTGGTCTCCTGTTTCGCCTCTTCTCTTTCACTGGCACTCTGAAAGCCTTGCCTCCAGAACCGCCAACGTTCCAGCGAATAGCCCGAGCCTCCGTCCGTCCAGAGTGATCCAGGCTCCGTGCTCTGCTCATCCTGTGAAGTGACCTCCTGTGGCACCTGAATCCAGCGGAACAACCACTGGCCAGCATGCAAAATCCACTGGGCGGCCGCGGAGATTTCGGAATCCGAGTATTTTTTGCTGTATGGTTCTTCCAAGGCATCGCGTAGAGACCATAGCCCCTTGTGAGCTCCAACCGGGAGTTCAGAGGATGCTAGGAGTGCTACGAACGCGTTCGAATTGATCCACCGGGCGGCATCTATGTCTTCAAATAGCCCCCCTTCTCTGCCACCCGCTGGGATTACTGTCATTAGCAGCGTTTCATCTGCTAATTATGTGCTTTACTTACGGAAGTGATACTCTCCTAACACCAACATAAGGCCTTCTGGGCGGCTAGCAAAATGGAATCCATCCTTGTCATTGTTAATAGCCCGGACGGCGACCGGGGAGATATATGACTAACTTTCAAAGTAACAATGTTCATTGTTTTCGCAGATCTTGTCAGGTGAAGAAGTAGCCTCACCAACTTGATTTGTGCCGGGTGGTCATAAGGCACCTGTGATGCCATTTCCAGGAGTAGAATCCACAGATCAGAGAGGCAGTCTGCATTTTCAGGAACGGGAGGAGCAGGCAGGAGACTCTCGATAGACTGAGCGGCAGACTTGATCGTGGATCCACTATCAGGCTGCAGGTATGCGTCCAGAATTTCAAACACTTGCTTTGTGGGAAGCGCGTATATCTTGGTTGATTTCCTTTGACCAAGCTTCCGCGTAAGCCAGCTGGACTCACGAGATCCAGTGGGAACTGGGACATCTTCCAACATGTCCCCCATATCAAATACAAGTGGTCGATCCATGTGTGGCAAGTCTGCCTTGTAAAGCCTCCTGAATTATGGTAGGACGTACGACCGTTTTGCAATGCGTCTCGAATGTGGCAGCTAAGGAAGCTTATTTGATTAAAATCCTAATCAACGAGTGAACATGAGATATTTTCTTCAAGACCAGTACTACTGTTCGTCCAAGTTTTGCTGTATCAGAGGAGTGGCCGGAGTATATCATAGCAAGCGTGGCCCGTAAGCGCCGGAGCATGAAGGCCTGGGTCGCGGCCACCTACTCAGCCACGATCTTGTCTAAACCAACAATGAAATGTTAAGTCATTCCCATACAGTTCCTGCAAAGTGCAAACAACAGCTTAGAGGCATTTCTGCCTATTTTCAAATGAACTTTGCATGTGCTACGGATTCATGCCCCGATTGGCAGCGAAGAGATAAACAGTATTAGAAGCTATGGTCACTACGATACTTCTTAAACATAAAATACAGCCATAGTTCGGCTTGTAGTAAGGCAACCTCTAACTGGGGCAAGAGACAACCAGCAGCAGAACACTGCTCAGGTTCAATATCCACTACGTTTAGATGGCAACAGCTCGCCACAGGTACAGTGCCTACGATCAACTAGCCTTTCTTCATATGGATGCTCCATGTGACTGTTTCTGAAACGTTGACTGGCGTATTGGTTCTCGTCGAAGGTGACTTTTAGGTGTTCTCAGCTGTGAACACGTCTGGTAGACCTAGTTCTCCTGTCCTTCAGTTCATATCTGGCCTCATGGCTCACGAGAAAGTCCTTCCCTATGCTATCGCCTCAAGATTTGCCGCAAACCATTAGTCAAACCGGAACTAGCCATACACAACCAAACAACAGACTATACGCCTCGGCTGAACTCGTGATCAATAGCGGATGTAACGGAGCCAGAACTGCCACGTGTGAGGAGACTGATGACCTTCCTCAGCACGTTGTGCTGTGACAACTGCCGTTGAGTCTGTGGCTGCGCTTGATGCACGACATCGACCCAAGTAGGTTATCTTCGGTCACAAATGTATATTTAAGACATTTCAACCCAGCCAATGATCTGTGTGTAACAAGATCAACTTGGCCACTGGAATCTGCGGTGTGCACTGTCTCTGCTCTGTCATATGGGTGATGCCTGTGGGACTCCTTCCCAGAATGCCAAGAAAGCACTTGGGTCACTGCCGAAAAAGGAGATGAGAAACTCTTGACGACTGACATCGGTACTTCATGGGAGGGTCATACTCCCTACATTAACCTCTTTCTAGTACATAGGGTCACCAAGGCCAACTCCAATAGGATACCTTATACGACAGGACGGCATCATCTTCAGGATGACTGCATAGATCCTGCTGACCTGGCGTGCATTTCGTATTTCAACAGCAGATTTCCATGAGACTTCGGGTAGCCGGCTGCCGAAAAGGTCCATGGCGTAGAACGAAAACGGCCAGACTGACCGCTTCAGCAAACATCAAATATGCTCTGGCTGCAAGCGCTCTAGCGGCATGTCGTCGTCCGCCGTATCACCGGGTGCGAAAAGTAGCGGTCGCTAACCGTCCCGACGGCCCCAATAGAGGTAGCCGTGCCTGGTGTTCCCTCGGAGATATTCCACGGGAAGACAGTGGACGACAGTCTAGAACTTGGTAGCGCTTGTGTTCATGTATCGTACGAAATACAAGGTACGATAAAGAGCGAGATAAGGACCATCGGTGAGAAGAGGCCTCACCCGTGCCTACTCTTGATCAAGGCAAAGCAGACACCAACCCGATCCCGTTCTTAGCACAGATCTCATGGGAAAACGGTAGCGACAATCTGCAGTCTCTAGTGCATGCAGTCACTCGCGAGGCCGTGTCCTCTCGCTTCGCCTTGAGACATGGGTGAATCAACCGTTGAAAAGATCCCGCAGGCCATCACAATTACATCACATTGTCAACAGTTTGGTCCAATTATGAGTCAAGATATGTATCGTGGTGCTCTGTCGATAGTAGGTAGCGATGGCCAACCCTGGGGATCGAAAAGTTTGGCGACTATGAGGCGAGCTCGGCCAAACTCATTCATTCCAGAAATGTCACTTATTCTCAAAACTTGAGATCAATCCTTCGTCTCTTGCTTCCCTACAACTGCAGCTGATGCAAGAGTGTAATTTAGTGGTGGTCTATACGTCTGGTCTGACTCCGGACGGCCATCGGCGAAGCGGAGTTGGGAGGGGGGGCTTCACTGACGATGGTTGAGTGCAACTTCTACCGATGAATTCGTTAGACTCTTCTCCCCGATAGACCTACTAAACTGTTGCTTCCAGTTTCTGCCGATAGTCGGTATGAATTACTTCGCCACTACCGGGGGCATGATGAGGTCTTGAGAGTCGGTGGGATTCTTTAGGCTCATGTGCGATGTGCAACGAAAGTTCTCCGGACAGGCAGGTACAACGGCAAGCTGCATGGTGAACTCGTGGACTTCTCGGGTCAGGAGCTTTTGTGTTATGTGATCCATGGCAACTCGACCTTCTTGTGAATACATCATGTCATTTCGCAAAAGAAGTATCATTATTCTGCTTTGATGCAACACGAGTCCAAGTTTTGAGGCCGGCCGGAGTTCCACACACCAAGCGGTGAGCTTTGGGCTTTGCTATATATACCGAAGGTCGTGCCTGCCTAGGTTTGAAGGTCGTCAATGATGTCACGTCTGAAAATCGAGGTACCAAAAGGCCACTCTTCAACATTTTCAAGTTGCTGTCATCACACTATCCTGTGCGAGACCCTTCAACCTTCAACAACTCCAGCGCCCATCAACAGGAAAATGCTCGCACTTCTTGTACATTTTCTGTTGCCTCTGGTAACCTGCCGGCCGACGCCTCCCGGCCAAGGCACTCCTTCCTCGTCGTTGACGCCACCCCCCGACGGCCACACTTGGTTAAACCTGGCACAAATTAATCTCAAGAATTGGGAGCTCACCGGAACCAAATTGGACTGCAGAAGGGAAACAACCGACGAACTCTACAGCTGCGAGTACTCTTGTAGGTAGTTTCTGTGATCAGACAATATGGTTAAACAGTGGCTCGACTGACAGTACCGCCAGTCCATTGGAATGACCCTAACTATAACGACTCATCGGATTGCTCCAACTACTTCAGCTGGGATGGTGTCACCGTCGAGCAAGGCTCCAAGAACAACTTTAACACCGAGGCAACCAGATGCGATGGATCGCTACTGCCCTGGGACTTCAAGTTCAATGTGGTACGATCGGTAGAATCCGCCTGGAGCTACAGCATGACTATCTCTAGACAGCGCAAGGATCCGAAGTAAGTTTTGAGACATAGTCAATAGATATATGACCTATTGTAGTGCTAATTGCATACCTAGGCTCTTTGGGCCCTGGCCAACAACGTACTTCGGATACCCTAATATCACAATGGATCGCGACATGGACGACCAGAAGACCAAAGTCTATTCTCATGACGAGATCATATACGTGACCATACAGGGGCTGTCTCAATGATAATAGCAGGAGATTCGTGAGTTGGAGAACCGTGAGAGCAGTCTATGAATTGACCGAAGAGCACTGGACGCTGTTCTCACTTATGAAGATGCTTTCGGGGTGGCATCTCGGGTGGCATCCATTGTTTTTGGTTGGCGCGGTCATGAGGCTCTGACGGGAACTAGAGAGCTGGAAGACTGTAGCTCATGTCTGCAGGGTTCAGACTTGAAGACTCGAGATTGAGGCAAGACGCATCTGTGCGCTGCACAGATTCTTGCGGGAGATGCAACATTTGTGACCTCTGGCCAATCGCCGGACGAATTTCGGCACGGGATCTTATACATTCTCATTTGTTCAGCACGGAGCTTGCTCTAGATATGGATCGATGTTGTTTAGATGGTTCCCTAACAATAAACACTCCTTCATTCAGGCGAGAAAGCCGTTGAAAGACCAAATCCCGGTCCATCGAATACAGCACGCCTGACTACCTGCTTGATGTCGACAATTGCTGAGCTGGGCCATCATCTCGTCCGCTACGAACGCCAAGTCACGCCCAGCAGGCATTAATATGAAGCTTGATCTGAAATAAGCATTCCGGATAATATGATGATCGTCAAATCTGCAGCGCTTTGTTGCTTGTCTCCGCTCCCTTGTCCAAATCGGGCAGGCCCAAGACCTTCCCTGTCAATGCCCCCTGTCCGATAGCACTCAATCCAAGGGACTGCCAGCTTCTCCGATCTCCGAATGCATCCAGGGTGATATTGTGGATGCGGCACTCGCAAATGCCAGCATCATGACCGCCTGTTATGAGGCAATGAAGGAGCCGGGATTAGTTCTGAGTAGCTAATAAAAGGGCGATTTAGCCATTTCATTCTGTGGTCCCGTCTTCCTGTTGTCTACATCCTGATAGACTGTCTTCGTGTCTATCGTTGGCAAGTGAACGTAAGGATGGCGAAGAACATGTTGGGAAGATTGGCTTGCTGTGTCGCGCTGGCGACACCGGCGCTCTCTATTGTCATGAGCCGAGTGAACCCGGGAAGCAGAGTCAGGCTATTGGCAGCGCCTGCTGCCGACCAGATGATCACGCTCTCTATCGGGTTGACATTGAGCAATGTGGACCAATTGGAGGAAAAGTTGAAGGCAGTTTCCACTCCGGGGAGCCCGGACTATGGCAAATATCTCAACAAGGACGAAGTCGCCGCTCTCTTCTCCCCATCCGCTGATGCTTTTAGCACTGTTGTAAGCTGGTTGCAAAGCAACGGGGTCGAACACATATCTGAACAGGGATCGAATGTTAACTTTGCGACGACAGTTGCCAACGCAAACAAGCTGCTCGACACCAAGTTCGCTTACTACGATGTCGAAGGTGTCCAGAAGCTGCGGACGAGGCAATACTCTGTGCCTGATGAGGTGGCAAGCCATGTGCACCTGATCCATCCGACGACGTACTTTGGCAGCACGAAGTCGTTCAGAATGCCGGAGGACCTAATCGAAGTATCGAAGATTGCCATGGCTCCATTTGCCGTCAATACTACAAGCAATTGTTCCGTGCTGATCACACCTGACTGCTTCCGTACAGCTTATGGCGTAGACGACTATACGCCAGACGCAAGCAGCGGCAGTCGGGTCGCTTTCGGCAGTTTCTTAAACGAGTCGGCACGCCTGGAGGACCTCCATTTGTACCAACAGGCCTATGGGATCCCGTTGTCAAACTTCTCCGTGGAAGTGATCAACGGCGGAGAAGATCACCAGGACATCAATGGCTCAGTTGGTGAAGCCAACCTCGACGCACAGTTCCTGAATGCGGTCACTTACCCTCTCCCGGAAATCCAGTACATCACTGGAGGAAGCCCCCCATTTGTCCCGAATCTGGACATTCCTGACGCAGAGAGTAACTCGAACGAGCCTTACCTGGAGTATTACGAGTACCTCCTCAACAAGACCAATGAAGAACTTCCACAGGTTATCTCTAACTCATACGGTGACGATGAGCAGACCGTGCCACCAGACTATGCGAAGCGTGTCTGCGATCTGATCGGCATGATGGGCTTGCGGGGCATCTCAGTGCTCGAGTCATCTGGTGACACTGGTGTCGGAGCTCCGTGCATGTCCAACGACGGGAAGAACCACACCGAGTTCACACCAAGTTTTCCCTCCAGTTGCCCCTACATCACCTCTGTTGGTGGAACTCAGTCATGGGCTCCAGAGGTCGGCTGGGATGGAAGCAGTGGCGGCTTCAGCAACTATTTCGCTCAGGCCTGGTACCAGGCCAAGGCTGTCAACACCTATCTTGAGGAGGGCATCAATGCGGAGGCGAAGAAGTACTATGAGGCTGGCGCATACGCCAACTTCTCGGGGAGAGCATTCCCTGACATCACGGCACACAGTCTCCATCCCAAGTAAGTTTGAAATAATCTACAAAGCTGATGGAAAAAAGCGAGAAGCTGACAACAAGAAGCTATGCCGTCTACAGCCGCAATAGGCAAGGGCAGACTGGAGGGACGTCGGCCGCAACCCCGGTTGTGGCAGGAGTCATCGGTCTGCTGAACGATGCGCGCCTCCGCGCTGGCAAGCCAACCATGGGTTTCCTCAACCCGTTCATCTACAGCTTGAAATACGGTCCCCTTATCGATGTGACCCTCGGTACCGCGACAGGCTGCACAGGGGTAAACTCGCAGACGGGCCAGGAGCTTCCAGGTGCTGGTATTATCCCATTCGCGACTTGGAACAACACCCTCGGCTGGGATCCAGTGACCGGGATGGGCATGCCTTACTTCAAGGAGATGGTAAAGGTGGCGTTGGATATTGTCTAAAAAAGAGAGGCAGGGTTATAGTAACCTTCCGAACACCAATGTTTCAAAGATATATGAGAAAGAAGCAATACACTTAGAACCACTTGATAGCTCTTGGCTGCGTGACAAATCATGTCAAGTTCTACTTATCTCATGCGAGAGACGCCTTGCTCAGTAGTGAGAAATGGAGTAGTTTTCTGACTTGCGTATCAGTAAGGAAGTTCTCAAGGTATGCGTATTACCAAACAGACAAACAAGAGTCCACAATTTCTTAAAGTTGAGAGACACCCCTTCGCGTTAGTGAGTTCGGCGCGATAAACTGGTCCCACCGGGATTCAACGCCGGATGCCGTCACCACTTTTTCCTGCCATCTTCCAATTGCAGGGGGGCCGGTCCGCGGCAATAAGACGGAATGGCGTGCTTGGCTTCTTAGCTGATAGCGATCCAGGAGTACCTTCATTGTCCTCGACAAAGTCGCTTCACAAAGCGATAATAGGCGAATGTTTGCCTGTTCACCCTTCAGTTTCCAACTCTTTTCGCGAGGGGGCCAAGCATGAGGAGGTCGCGTCAGCGTGAAAGGGAACTATGGCGAAGGATTCTCGTGCCAATGGGACCACAGGATGTAGTGAGTCCTCCAACGGCGCAGTACGGATCGTGAAGAGGGTTTTGGGGTTCTGTATAGACAATTGGCTGGTCTTTGGCTTTGGCATTGCAACACTGCTGGCATACTTCTTTCCTAGTAAGAATGAGTCTGCATACTACCTCCGTGAGCGAAGTTGGGTGCTGACAGAACTTTGCCAGATGTGGCCGCTAGGGGAGGCGTCATCCGCTCAGAGTACTCGATTCTGTATGGCGCTATTGCTCTGATCTTCTTCATCAACGGTATGCAGCTTTCGCCGCAGAAGCTGAAGCAGCACGTCACCAATTGGCGCCTGCACATAATTGTTCAGGGCGTTGGGTTCGTTGTCATCCCGGTCCTCATTTTGAGTGAGTTCAATAGACCACCTGCCGACCTGGAGATGGACGATATCTAATTGTTGCAGTTCTGATACGTATCGTGATTGCTTCCGGTGGTCTGCGAGGTGGTATCGACGTCACTGTTCTTGTTGGCATGGTGGTCGTCAGCGCAATCCCGACTACGATTGCATCCAATGTGGTCATGACCCGAAACTCGGGTGGCGACGAAGCAGCAGCCATCATTGAAGTTGTTATTGGAAATGTATTGGGTCCGTTCATCGCTCCGGGGTTGATATATGCCTTTATTCCCACGGATACCGAGTTCGACTCGGTGAGGCCGGCGTCACCCGCAACGCTTGGCCCAATGTACGCCAGTGTGATGAAGCAGCTGGGCCTGAGCGTCCTCATCCCGCTGGCCGTGGGCCAGGGGCTCCGTTGGAGTTGGTCAACGAGAGTTGAGTGGATGCTGAGAACTTTTCGGCTTGCGAAAGTGTGTTCTCTCTGCATGGTCCTGCTTGTCTGGGCCACCTTCTCAGGGGCTTTCAAGACTGGTGCCATCTATGACCTGCCCAAGTCCTCAGTCGTGTTCAACATACTGATGAATCTGGCGTTGTATATGGTTTTCACCGTGGTCTGCTACTACTCAGCATACCCCCCAGAGTTTCTGTCCAGGCCAGTCAATGCAATCGTTGCCGATTCGAAGCTGGGCCGTCACCTGCCGGCGGTCATTCGACGAGCCCTGACGATGAAGAAGATGCCCAAAGACCAGGTCGTAGCCGTCTGTCTTTGCGGTGCAGCGAAGACGCAGGCCTTGGGGATTCCCCTAGCCGATGCCATGTGGGGGCAGCACGACAACGCGACGAAATCGCTGATACAAATCCCAGTGCTCCTATATACCATGGAACAAGTCTTTACAGCACAATTTCTGACCATCCTGTTCCGCTGGTGGATACAGAGAGACAAGAGGACAGATTGTGACGATGACTCGGAGCATGCCGAACAACGCCAGGTAGTTGGGAACTCGTCCGAAACGTCTGACGGCCAAGGATCAAAAGAAAACGAGAGGGAGGTAGTCAACAGCCTTAACGCCCAGCGCGTTCATGAGAAGGTAGCATCATGATATGGCAGATCCGCATCGAGATGCCAGCGGGCCACTAATCAATTCAATTCAAAAGATTGCAGTCAAGACAAATGTGCACATCCGTGCCTCGCTTACATTCCACCATAGACATAGTAGAAGTGGTATGCGGCTTGCATCTCGGGCTGTGGCATTAGCCGTGTAAGTGCTTGTCGCCACAGCCGAAAGAGGAACTACGAGCGATCCAGGTACGGGCCTCTGCATACGTCGAAATGCTGGGTGGGCCAACTGCAAGTGGAGTTTGCACCATATCGTAAAGCTTCAAGCTTTGATTTGGGCCCGAGTATAGGGTTGCGGATTTTGTCCTTGGCCGAATCTACCAGAAACCTTGCTGCTCGTATGATCGCGTTGCTTCAGTGAGCTTCTGCGGAGCCGATCACTCCCAGGGTGGCAGCTGGTTCCGTCATCGCGTCCCACCCTCGAGCCCAGCTCCCCGCCGAAGCTCGCCTGCAGCTGGTCGCCGCCAGAAAGTCACCACTTGTTGATTCTCGCGGACCCCGTGCCTTTAAAGAAAGCTTTCTCCCTCCCTGCCTCTCTCTCCTCCGAGGGACGATTGGGCTCTCGATGAGCCAGCTCGAATGAGTCGCACCATCTGACGGGCACAGCAACGATCCCCAAACCCAACCTTGGAATCCACGTCTGCAAACGGTCACCATGAGCTCCGCCCGGGCCTTGCGGGGCAGCTGCCATTGTGGTCGGAACCAGTACATCATTCGAGTGCCTGCCGATGCAAGTCGTGATGCCCAGGTTCTCTTCAATACAGACGCGACCCAGAGTATGTCTACCCGACGCCGTGGCCATCCAACTCGGGAGCTTCCCGTCGGCAAACACGGCTGAGAAGATACATGTCACAGCTACACACAGCCACACCAGACCAGACCATATCCTATAGACCCTACCTGAGCAGACTTGGTGCTGACAGTGTGTGCTACCCTAGGAGTTTCCTCAGCTTCGCCCCTCTCGGCTTTCCTCCGCGTGCCATTGACCTGGTATCACAGCCAGACTTTCCCGTTCTTCGCAGACGAGACCACCTCGGCCATCCGGCGAGTCTACTCCCATCCAGCCGAGCAACACACGCTGAGACACTTCTGTGGGTTCTGCGGCACACCGATATCGTTCTTCACTGAGCAGCCGAGGAGCGAGGCTGAGTACATCCGCCTGACTCTCGGCAGTTTATTGACGGAGGACTTGCACGACCTGGAGGAGATGGGTCTCCTCCCCAGTGACGACGAGGACGATGCCATGGACATAGTCCCAACCGCTCCGGCCGCCAGTACAAGCACACAGCTTATTGGGCGCAATTTCACACACATTCCATGGTTTGATAGTCTACTCGACGGTAGTCGCCTGGGTACTGCTCACACCACAAGAGGCATTCGAGAAAGTCGAGACGGCAGGGTTCGTGTGGAATGGGAAGTCACCGAATGGACCGGCAATGACAACGACGACGACGTCGACGCGGAAACAGAAGCCTCTGAATCCTCAGCAACCGGCAAGCGGAAGCGCGGAGAGACGGACCAGGGCCATGATGCTACTAAGACCAGTGCACGTTGATTTTTGTTTTTATCTTCGATGGCTGGGAGGTCCGCAAAGCCGCGCGACTTTCACGTGTAACCTCGCTAGTGTGTAAGTTGTAACATAAAGAGCGGCGTTTACGAGATCTTACGACGCATTGCTATTAATGAGAGCCATTGATTTGCTACTTTGAAGGCGGCCCGTCAAAGGCATTAGAAAAGGGAAAAGAAAAAAACCGCAACAGTGGATACAACAGTGATGAATGGGGGAAGGAATGAAAAACACAATGGCCCTGATAATGGAGTCGAAACCCGAGCTTCCGGGCTCGACGTGACTTGCATAGCAAAGGCAGCCCGTAAGTCCGCGAGGCTGGACTGGACAGTTGCCGGAAGACTGGAGGCTTTTGACCTGCATCAACGGCCGGCACTGTCTCCCGTGGCTCGGCATAGGGAAGCGGTTCCGCACCTCCTGTATAATAATACAGCTTGTTATGGAGGCTTTGAGCATCGGCGTGCATTGTCTGTGACATGTGCTTCAGCTTAGGGCCAATACTCCGACGCTTAATCTGCAGGCACGGGAGCGTTAAGCCATGCATTATGTCCGTTGCTGAGATATGCCCGTGGTGCATCACTGACAGGTAGATAGGGTGCGCATGCCACTCGGTAACATGTACAGCTCGCGTCCAGAGCCACGTCTCGTATTGAACACCCATAGTGTACTATGGCCGACGCGAACGGAATAATTGCGAGATACGCAGATCAGTTCATCTAAACGCTATATTGCCGCCGTCTACGTGGAACGGTCGAGGTCGAGAGCCTGGTCAAGCGTTCAGCCGCCAAGCCGCCCATCCCATTGGAGCTCACCCGAACCGAACAGCTCCCGCCGTCCGCGCGTGGGTGGCTTCGAGCTGGCGGCTACGAATCCGCGTCGTGCGCCACCTTCACCAGATGTGCGCCGCATGCACGAGAGCTTCATACCTGCGACTCTGCAGGGCTGGTCCCTGTCGGCTTTCGCTCAAAGCAACACCGTGCCGGATCACGGCGGTCCTCCAATGCGGAAGAAACATGCTGTCCTCTGATGGAGTTCGCGACCCTCTGGCGCCGCCCCAGGGGCCCAGGCCACCTCGGCGCGCAGCCGAAGTTCTAGCGGCTGTCGCTGCGTCGTCCCTCACGCCTTCGGAGACGCGGGCCGCGACATTGGTACATCTGGCCAGCTGTTGCGGAGGAATTTGGGGGTCGTCCCCTCAAGGGACCAATGCTACGAGCCCCAATTACCCCGCGGGCGGGGATCGTCTTGCTGCTGGCCATGAATGGGGCGTTGGAGAATCAGCCTTTGGTCACAGATGGCCAAAAGGCATCTCGGCCGTGACGGTCCGACGTGGGAGAATTGGGAAAGGACTCGTTTCCCAGCGGACGGGTCAGGCAGAGCAGACCTTGTCCAGCGGCCTCGTGCCCGTATATAAGAAGAAACTGTCCTGCATTCTTCCGCCACCGGGAGCTTCTGTTTTCTTGGAATCGATATCTCGCCCTCCCTCGGCCCCCTCTTGAGTTCAAGTTTCCACAGCCTCTTCCTTGGTCTTGGCACCTGTTCGAGTACTATATTTCTGGTTTTCATCCCTAGCCGAGATCGACACATATAGTTCAGAGCTCCAATTAGCCTAGATACCCTCCTGTGCTCGTGTTGCTTTCTGTTGGAAACGCGTCAACATGTCTTTACCCTCAGACTTTCTGTGGGGGTTTGCTACCGCATCGTGAGTGGCATGCACCAGGGCTGCAGTGCTTAGGGCTGCAGTACTTTGAGATATGATAAGTGGGACAGGCAAGCTAATATGGCAACTCTCCTTTCAGCTTCCAAATCGAGGGCGCCACCAAACAGGACGGCCGAGGCCCATCCATCTGGGATACCTTCTGTGCTGTGCCGGGAAAGATTGCACACGGCGCTAATGGTGACATTGCCTGCGATTCATATAACAGAACTGCGGAGGATATTGAGCTTTTGAAGAAGCTTGGGTCCAAGTGCTATCGTTTCTCCCTGTCGTGGTCCCGTATCATCCCGCTTGGTGGTCGAAATGATCCCATCAACCAGAAGGGTCTCGACCACTATGTCAAGTTTGTGGACGATCTCCTCGAGGCCGGCATTACACCGTTCATCACGCTCTACCACTGGGATCTTCCTGATGAGCTGGACAAGCGATATGGTGGTCTGTTGAACAGGACCGAGTTCCCGTTGGACTTTGAGAACTATGCTCGCGTCGTCTTCAAGGCCATTCCAAAGTGCAAGAACTGGATCACATTCAATGAGCCCTGGTGCAGCTCCATCCTGGCCTATAGCACTGGTTTCTTTGCTCCAGGACATACATCGGATCGAAAGAAGTCTCCCATCGGTGACAGCTCTCGAGAGCCGTGGATTGCTGGCCACAACCTGCTAGTCGCCCATGGAAGAGCCGTCAAGGTCTACCGCGAGGAGTTCAAGCCAAATGACAAGGGCCAGATTGGTATCACTCTGAACGGTGACTACACCTACCCCTGGGACCCAGAAGACCCGGCAGACGTGGAGGCATGCAACCGAAAGATTGAGTTTGCCATCTCGTGGTTTGCCGATCCCATCTACTTTGGCAAGTACCCGGACTCGATGCTCAAGCAGCTTGGGGACCGCCTCCCCACATTCACAGATGAGGAGCGCGGGTTGGTCCAGGGCTCGAATGACTTCTACGGCATGAACCACTACACGGCCGACTACGTCAAGCACAAGACTGGCACCGCACCGGAAGACGACTTCCTCGGAAACCTGGAGACGATGTCGTACAACAAGGCGGGAGACTGCATCGGCCCCGAGACACAGTCGTTCTGGCTGCGGCCCAACCCAGAAGGTTTCCGTGCGTTGATCAACTGGCTGAGCAAACGTTACGGATACCCGCCAATCTACGTCACTGAGAATGGCACCAGTATCAAAGGGGAGAACGATCTGCCAAAAGACGACATCCTAAAGGACGGTTTCCGTACCAAATACTTCCACGATTATGCACATGCTTTGGCAGATGCAGTCTCCAAAGATGGTTGCAACGTCAAGGGTTACATGGCATGGTCGCTGATGGACAATTTCGAGTGGGCTGAGGGTTACGAGACACGATTTGGCTGCTGCCACGTTGACTACGAGAATGGCCAGGTCAGAACACCCAAAGAGAGCGCCAAAAAAATGAAGCCGCTATTCGACAGCTTGATCGCGAAGTCATAGAGGAGAATTGGAGATAAAGAGGAGATAGCTGGGGTTATGTACATCTGTGGAGTACCTCTTAGTTTTAACTGGACCAAATACTATCATTTCAACAAGCGCGCGGCAACGTACCGACTTTCGTCGGATCCCCATGTCCAAGGACCTTTTTCCATATTTACATAAGCGCTGATTCGATATCTTGTGAAATCTTGGCTTCTCGCTTGATTGATCATATGTAGGAATAAGGCACGGGTTTCATCACTTGTTTCAGTCAATTACGAACGGGGTTACACGAGATGGCCGACACGACCGGGCCTTGTACTGTCAAATGCAGCGTTATATATATACGATGCATATTTCAAATATTTGCGTGATTGAATGACATGATATTTACGAACGCCTGACAAAAGTTTCACCATAATGCGCCTAGCACTCTTCCGATGGAAGAAAGGGCCAGGCCCGGTACTTCAGTCGCCGAGACCTGTCTCAAGAAGTACACCTCAGTTGGATTCTCTTTGTGCATTATGTCGTTGGAATCACAGTAACCTTCCAAGTACATCTGCGGAGAGTCGCCGATCTGGTTTAGTCACAGTGTCGGTCTCGAAAACGAAACTTGCAGCTGAAGAGGGTTGCTGGTTCTGCCGAACCCTGCTGAAAGCTATCACGCAGCTTTGGGATATAACTCCGGACCAGCTTGCGAAGATGGTTCAATTTCGCGTGCGTTTCGATACAGAGAGATTCACAGTGCATGGGCAAAGTCATCTTCCACCTTTGCAGATATTTACTTTAGAAGGTGCATTCCCTTGTGCCAATTATGCACGATGAGGCTGACTTGGTCAGGTGAACCGCAGATCCCCAGGCTTGTACAGGATGTTGAATTCTCCTCAGAAGGAGGCTGCGAGTTGTCGTTCAACTTTATCAAAAACCAGCTCAGCAACTGTGTGCAAAACCATCGTCCATGCCGCTCATACCAGGATGAAATGAGAAAGGTCCTGGGAGGCGGCTGGCCGAGGCGAATTCTGAAGATAAATAACAGAGGATCAAAGATCAAGCTGGTTGAGTTTCAACCTGCAATGGAACAAAAGTATGTTGCCCTAAGTTACTGCTGGGGTGATCAGAGAAAGCAGTTCAGGGCTATAGCCTCCACGTTGCCAGCACTACGAAAAGGCGTCAAAGTTTCACAGCTCCCGGTGACTATAAAGGATGCCATCAAGGTCTCAATTAGCCTCGGTATCGATCTCATATGGATAGACGCAATGTGCATCATACAAGATGATCGCGCGGACTGGAAGACTGAGGCGTTGAAGATGGCTACTGTATACTCAAATTCCCTGGTCACTGTCATTGCAAGCGAGGCGAAATCCTGCGACCAAGGTTTCTTGAGCAACAAGCGGAATCATTCAGTGGTGCTTGGTGAAGTGCAGGTCGAGTCCAAGCCTGTCGTGATACGAGGTAGAGTGCTGCGGGATTGGGGTCACCATCGAAATGGACCCCAGTCTCCAGAGAACTACCAACATCAGTGCTTGGATCCTGTTGACACTAGGGGATGGATCTTGCAGGAGAGGCTTTTATCCTCTCGATACATCAGCTTCACCAGTGGTGAAATCCAATGGGGCTGTCAGGACTGCAAAGTCTGCGAATGCGACCAACCATTGCAGCAGGATCTCGCATCGACAGGGTCATCAGATGACCAGTGGTTTGCTACCGTCGACGAGTTCTCTATGCGCCACCTCTCTGAGCGAACTGACGTGCTGATCGCTTTGGCCGGTATTGCGAAACGAGCATCGACAATGCTGGACGGGAATTGGACTTGGTATGCTGCAGGTCTTTGGTTAGAACCGCAAATGAGTCCACTCGGGGCTAGAAGCCTGTTATGGTACCGGTGGTCGAATCTTGGTCCTGCATACTTCCCCAGAGTTTACACAGCACCAAGCTTCTCCTGGGCGTCTGTTGCTGGACAAGTTCAAACAGCAGGCCAAATAGATGCTGAAGGAGGAGATTTCCCAACAGCGGTCGTTGAGGTTGATATGATTAGAAGTACCCCAGATATGTTTGGCCATGTTGAAGGTGGCCATATGCGATTATGTGGACCATTGATATCGTCAAAGCTATCTCTTCGGGTCCCGGGGGGCGTACCCGATTCGCAGGCCAAGATCGATGTAATGGAACCGGAGTGCTTATATGTTACAACATGTTTCCTGGATGGGCCGGTCGAGCGAGTCTCGCACCCGGAAGGAGGTTTTACGGTTCAGAGATACAGGTCCGAAAACCTCGAGGACTCAGAGAAGGTGCGCGGCGAGGTGCATTTCGATCATGCCGATGTCTTTATTCTACCTATTACGGCGGACTCGCGAGATCTCATGAAGCCCGGGCAAATGAAAGAAAGTGCCTCGGGCGGAGCTCTCGTACTGGCGCGCGCAGTTTCGGGTCAGGGATATGAGCGGATCGGGATGGCCCAGTACACGTGTAGCAAGTTGGCTGACTTGAAGAGTATGTCGAGCTCAGACATTGATTTGTATTAGCTGTTTGACGGAGTTCAACTTCTGCGGTTGCTTCCGTGCACCGTGAAATATCAGTACGAATTGTACCAGGCGCAGAAAGGTATCCTTCACACCCAATAGTGTGAGCAAGTGCGTGTTGTCATTAGCTCTGCCGTAGATTTACCACAGAAACATTCCTACTGTTGCAAGCATGTATCCTCTTTCCGACCAAAAAGTCAGTTATTCGAATTCTCTTATTATTGGCCAATGGGTTTTGATTTAGATGAAGTTTCCCTGGAGATCTTTCCCTGGTCTATATACACTCTCTACGTCCATGCATAGACAGAGAACAGTATGGAAACGATAGAGGTTCAGAACAACGACATGGTCAACGAGAAAACGATAACACCAAAGCGATGAGAAATGGTCTAAAAAGTCCTAGTTTATAATGCTGTAACATTGTGCCTGGTCAAGCCTTATGTCCGAGCCGTTGTCATCATTATGAAGTGCTTTTGAGTTATGCACCCACGCCAAGCTGTCGCTGAAGCTGCGTTAGAGAGTGGTTCTCCATTGTTGTGCGAACATCTACAGCGACAAGCTTGCCATCGACCGGCTTCAGCTCAATAACGGTAACCTCCTTGACCCTTGTCTCTCTCTGCTCGGGGTCATTCTTCAGCACTCTGCCGTTGATCCCCTCGAAGATGACGGTGCGGCTGCCATCCCCATTGCCAATGTCGTACGCTACTGCGACCTCGTGGTATAGCTTGGCGAGCCTTTCCACCCGCTTGACGAAACCCTGCAGGACCTGGCCAACTGGGGACGCATCCTTGGAGTTGGTAGTGAACCTGGTCTCGTTGGAGAAGAAGTCACGCAGGGGCGTGGGGGGCTTGCCAAGAGCGTCGTACGAGGGAAGGAAGGCCTTGAGGAAGAGCAGGCCTGGGGTAGCGCTGTCCGGGATGCTCTGGTACGGGCCGGCGTGGACGCTCGCAGAGGCCATTGTGCGGAAGAGCGATAAGATATGGATATGTATAGATTTGTGTAGAGCTACTTGTGATGTTTCTAGTGGAGTTTCAGTTGACCAGTAGTCGGTGAGATGGATGATGTGATTTAGATATCTCCTGTGGTCAGAGTGAGTCTGATGCTCTCTTATACGGAGCTCGTCGATCGGCTTTTCCGATCGTGCTCTTTACACAGTTGGGCGTCCTCCATTTCTGAGGTCACCCTAATATTCATGCATCCGTTGGATCGCTCGTCTATCTCTGGAGCCTTTTCCCTTGGCGAATGCTTCACATGTCGTTGGTCGAGTGACGCAGGAACGTATGAGGTAGCTATAGCAAATGAAGGCGCTGCAGCTGGGTTTCACATCAGTAGCTACCTAGTTTTACCTGTTCGAGAAAGACTCCAAGCATGGTGACGGAGGAGATGTCGCGCACGCTGATAGGGCAGCCATATCGGATTGGGGATCTCGTTTGGGAAGCTCGGGCGAAGAAACGACCGACAGATTGCTGGACCTGCCCAAGTTGTGAGTGATGACTGGAGAGACCCCTTTTCGGGACAGGCTGGGGTGTGTTGGGGTTGGCTGTCAAAGGGTCCAAGGTTGTCTACATGTGAACTAGCGGCATCGGCGCTGCTTGGGTTCCGTTACATAAGCAGCCCAGCGGTTCCTGGCTCGTGGTTGGCGCTCTGTGGCCTGAGCTTTTGGGCGAGCTGCAGCCCGGCACCTGGAGCTAGCTAGACGTCACTGCATGCGGCGCCTCAACGTTGACTTGCAGCCTATCTACAGTTGCGGGCAATCGTTTGGGAATTGCTGCCATCTACCAAACTCCCGAACTGGCCGCGCGCACTCAGCGCCTTGCTTGAGCAGATACTCCCCTTCCTAGCTGTATGAACATGAGGTGACCGACCATGGAGGCCCCTCATCCGACGGCTGGATGGGAAAGGGTGGGTGAGCGGTTCTACCGCAAGACCCAGCTCTACACGGCTGTCTTTGACAAGGATCTGGACTTGGACAACTACATTGTTGCTGGGGCCCCGTACGGCGGTGCCATAGGTATGGACTCTTCCCATTTGCCTGCATCACTTCATTGCACCCCGCCTGTGTCTGTTCCCGGCCTCTGCGTTCATGTGCGTTGTCGCGCTTGAAATGGGCGCCCATGTCTGTTGTGGTCCTCTAACTGCAACACACATCATCGCCCGGCGGGCCCCGCGCCCGTCACATGCTCATCAACGTTGCAACGCGCCCCCAATATATGTCGATGGATGCATCCTCACCTCCTGTGATATGACGTCTTCTGGTCTGTTTCTTCATACTGACTGAAAACAGCAATATACCGAGATGAGAGCAAATTACAAACGCTGCGGGCCGCCAAGTCCTCGAAGCCCAGCATCGACATCTATAGCTGCTCAGGGAAGCTCCTGAAAAGCATAGCTTGGGACAAAGGTTCCATCAAAGGCCTAGGATGGTCAGAAGACGAGAAGCTCCTGGTCGTCAGCTACGACGGCACCGTCCGTTGCTATTATGATCTTCAAGGAGACTTTACCCAATTCTCCCTCGGACGGGAGGCAGAAGACTTTGGCGTGCAGGCTTGCAGATTCTATGACCATGGAATGGTTGCATTGCTATCCAATAATGCTCTGATATCTGTTTCCTCGTACGACGAGCCCAGACCCAAGCAGCTTGCTACACCACCAGAGGGAGACGTCCAGGCCTGGACAATTGTCTCCCCGAGCTTCACCCTGTCACGGTCCGTCGAAGTGCTCCTAAGCATTGGCAAGACAATCTACGTCGTGGATGCCACTGACTGCGAAGACCGTTTTCTTGATATCGGGCCGTTCACCGAAATTGCCGTCTCTCCGAATGGCAAGTTTGCCGCACTCTACGCCGCGGATGGGAAGACCCATGTCATCACGTCGGATTTCCAAAGTCGCTTGAGCGAGTATGACTCCAAGTCAAAGATTCCTCCCAAATACCTAGAATGGTGCGGCAACGATGCTGTGATCATTGCCTGGGATGATGAGGTCAATGTTGTCGGGCCTGAGAGTGCTGTGGCGCAATATTTCTACGATGGCAAAGTACACATGTTAGCTGGTGAGACCAACCGCTCTCGTCGCGCACTATATGTTGCTAATTGTAGCAGACCATGATGGCGTCAGACTCATCACGAATGATGTCTGTGATTTTATACAGAGGGTGCCGGACGTCACAGATGAGGTATTCCGCTTCGGCACCGAATCTCCTGCATCAATTCTGCTTGACGCGGTCGAGCAGCTTGAAATACAGTCGCCAAAGGCCGATGACAATATTCAGCTCATCCGGCCGAGTCTCGTTGACGCGGTCGATTCTTGCGTAGCTGCAGCTGGCCATGAGTTCAATGTCCATTGGCAGAAGCAGCTACTGAAGGCTGCTTCGTTTGGCAAATCTGTCCTCGATATTTATAACAGCGATGACTTTGTTGACATGTGCGAGACACTGCGTGTTCTCAACGCGGTGCGCTTCTACGAGATTGGCTTGCCCCTTTCATACGAGCAGTATCAACGATTGACGCCAGAAGGATTAATTCAAAGACTAATCAACCGCCACGAGTATCTACTAGCACTGCGCGTCGCCGGCTACCTACGACTGCCCACTGATCGCATCTATGTCCATTGGGCATCGACCAAAGTACGGGTCGGTGCTGAAGATGACGATGCCATATGCCGTCTGGTGGTGGAGAAGCTCGCTGGAAAGCCAGGTATTTCATTTGAGGCCATTGCCCGTGCAGCATATGACGAGGGCCGTGGCCGTCTTGCGACCGAGCTGTTGAACCATGAACCGAGGGCCGGTCGCCAAGTACCCCTTTTGCTCAGCATGGAGGAAGACGAAATAGCGCTTGATAAGGCTATCGAGAGCGGAGACTCAGATCTAATATTCTTTGTGCTGCTGCAGCTCAAGAAGAAGCTCCCTTTGGCCTCCTTCTTCCGCGTCATCAATGCTCGTCCCGCAGCCACCGCGCTGGTGGAGTCCTCCGCAGCATTGGAGGGTGACAACACTCTCCTGAAAGACATGTATTACCAGGATGATAGACGGGTAGATGGCGCCGGGGTCTTCATTCGCGAGTCGTTGCACCAACCCGATGCCCGTACGGCGGGCGATAAACTGGCGCTTGCGGCCAAATTACTGTCAGATTCACGAGATAACACATTCGAGCTGCAAGCGCTGAAAGAGGCTGCGACACTGCTTAGGATGCAGGAGGCCTTCGACCGAGACTTCTCGGACAGCTTCACGGGCCTAAGCGTCAACGAGACGCTGTTCAAGCTGATCCGCTTAGGATACCACAACAAGGCCAAGAAGATCCAGAGTGAATTCAAGATTCCCGAGAAGGTGGTCTGGTGGATCAGGTCAGTCTTCCTATCTCTAACTTGTCCGGTACGAGACGCAACGCTGACTTGATCATGACTAGGCTCCGTGCCCTTGTTGCCAAGCGGGACTGGAACGAGATCGAAGAGATTTCAAAGACACGTAAAAGTCCAATTGGATGGGAGGTGAGTAGTCTCCCGCATTTCAGACTCGCTGGCACCCCTTGGCCACTCATCCTTTCCCCTCATTCCCCCATTGGCTATGCCCATTCGTTCTCCCATTGCCCAGAAGATGCTTTCAATTTACTCCTCCTGAATGTGCCTCACTACGGAACATCACTAACGGGCTACTGTCTGCAGCCGTTCTTCAACCAGACCCTCCAGGCAGGCAACCCCCGCCTCGCCGCTGTCTTCATCCCGAAGTGCACCAACCTCGAGCAGGGCGCCGCCATCACCATGTACGAGAAGTGTGGCATGCGCGTCAAGGCTGCCGAGGAGGCGGTCAAGGTCCGCGATGCCGAGGCGTGGATGAACCTGCTCGAGAGTGCTGGCCGGGGCACCACCGAGGGGAGAGAAATCGAGAGACTGGGCGCTGCGGTGTTCAAGAAGTGAGGGACAGATATGCGTTACATGCGCCTAGACATGAAGGACCCGCCTCTGTTGATATGGTTCCGAATGTAGATAGATACTGAAGCTCATACGGTCCTAGGTACGGGCGATACAATTGCTGTTACTCGCTGACGCTCTGGGTCAGCGTGTCATCATGCAAGACGTCGATTCATCAATAAAACTGCGATGCTTGTGCATCGCTCTACTCTTTGCTAGTATACAACACGAGGATGCTCCCATGCCCCCTTTCATGCCCCAGTAAAAACGACCGGACGCCTGCTCTCTTTCGATCATGTCACATGCCTCCCGGTTTCTCCTCTTTACCCAGCGCGCCTATTCAAGGGGCTATGTACGAGATTTCGCCCTTCAATAAAAACAAAACCCTTTGTCAGAGACCTGATTTTTTCCCCCCCTTGCACTTCACCACTCGGTATCCGAGGCGTCGACGTCGGAGTGAGTTATGCAACCATCTTTGTACGAGACGAATAACTACTTCATCTCGAGCCCCTTCTCGCCGTTGGCATCCACGGGGGGCGTCGGCATGTCGCTCAGCTCCCGCGGCGCCGTGCTGCTGCTGGTCGTGGCGGCCTTGAGTTCGGTGTCGCTGCTGCCTTTCGCCGGGGATGCGGTGCCTGCGGCAGACCCAAAGAGGCCCTTCCCGAGATCTATGCCCGCGACGCCGTCGCGAAGCTTGGCGAGGTTCGTGGCAAAGGCACCGGGGGTATCCGCGCTGGCGCTCTTCTTCAGGCTCGCATGCGCATCGCCGTGCTCGGGCGTCAGCGCCTCGTGAGCCGTCTCCACGCCTGTCAAGACGCTCCTAGATGCTTGCAGGCTAGGTGGCGGCGTCCCCGTCTGCGATCCCGGGGGTGCTGGACTCCTGCTCCGGTTATGTGGCGCAGGGCTGGTCGATACATTAGACGTGTATGCGCCAACGCGCTCGCCCCTAGCCGCAGCGGCATCGAGGTAATCGTTCATCTCGACATCGGTACGGCCGAAGCAGCTGGCCCACCATCGGACCTCGCTTAGCCTGGGAAGCAGCAGGCGCTCGCGGCCACTCTGGCGGTCGTCGATGGTGCTGTCATATTCGGGGTTAAGAAATTCGGGCTTGCGGCTGAGGAAATAGTCCCACACGCTTCTCGTTCTCTCGGTGGCTCGCGCATCTTTGCGGGCCTTTTCCGAGTTCCAGAGGAAGGTGCCGTATTGGGCAGAGTACAGGTGGTACAGAAGGCGCCTTAGGAAGCGGTCGTTGAACTCGAAGCGGGTTGGGTGCTGGCGGAGTAGTTGGTAGGTGGAATCCAGGAACTGGTGGAAGACGGGCGAAATCTCGTTGGGCCGAGTAGCCTCGCTGGCTTCTGGCTTGGCCTGATCACCGTCAGGGGGCGATGAGAGGTCGTCAGAGTCGGCGACTGGAGTGTCCGCCGGCGTGCGATTCTTGTTGAAGAATCGCTTGGCGCTCGCAAAAGCATTCTCAATGGCGTCACCCGCTCTGCCCTCCGACTCGCCCGGCTGGAGCGTGGTACCAGCCATGGTATCCTTCTCCACGGAGAACCATTTCTCGTGATTCAGGGGCCCGGAACGTTGGTAGAACATGTGGCCAAACGACAGCCAGTCTTTCTCTATGAGTATTATGAAGCCATCAATCGTGCGGTAGAAAGGGTCAAGCATGAGCTGGGACAGGGCTGACAGCTGGCTTGTTCGATCCCAGCCATCAGAGCAGTGGATGAGCACATGAGAGTGGCGTATGCCGACCTGCCGCGCGATCAGAGCGGAGCCGTCTAGGACACCAGTGATGTGCTTGAGCCAGCCGCTCTTCTGAAGCAGCTCGCGGTTGGGAGGCAAACGGCTGATGTCGCCATCCTTGATTGCATCTATCACGGTGTTGAGCGACTCCCGCATCACGTGGATGTTGTCGATGTTCAGGTAGGCCTTGGTGGCAAAGTTGTAATAGTCCATGTTCTCGGAGCCCTTGCCCATGGCCTGCATGACGACGGCGTTGATGGTAGGCCGGGCATCGACGATTAGGTTGCTCTGCTGGGCGCCGTAGACCAGGCGTTTCCCCGTCTTGGCATCGATGTGGGACTCTCCGGCTGCTATCAGCTCGTCCTCCAACTGTGCCGTGGCAAGGGACTCGGCGTCCAAGCTGGCGTCCCGTATGTCGGCCTGGCTCGACGCCGGGCTCGGTTCGGCCGTGTCAATGGTGGGCACCTCGAGCCCGTTAAACTCGACTGTGGCCGAGGCCGAGAAGCTTGCGCTGACGATCCTCTCGTCCTGCACGCTGCGGTTCCCTCTCAGACCGACGCATGGCTGCGAGCTGCGGGTGATGGAGCAGTTGTTGAGCGAGTGCAGGTAGGTCAGGACGGGGATGCGCTGGCGAGAGCGGTAGGGGCCGGCATGCTTGAGGACGTTGTCTGATATCTGGGAGGGGACGACCAACAAGCCCGGATAGGTGGGGGAAAAGGCATAGTCCTTGTTGATAGTGGATATCCTCCAGCCCCTGTCGACGGACTTGTTGCTGATGCCTTGCCTCCTGAACTCGGTCTTGGGGTCGTAGAGGTGCCAGCCATCCAGAGGCTTCTCCTGCTTGAGTGGCTGGTAGCTGAAGGCATACAGCTTGTCCAGCCTGCCCAGGCGACAGGTCCGGTTGCGGATGTGCTCGAAGGCGTCGCGCGCACTAGTGTCGTCGGTGAAGTGGAAGCTGATGAAGGTGAAGTCCCGGCCGCGGATGCGAATGGCCGAGGGCCTTCCGGAAGCCGGAGGAGCGGGGCGGAAGTTGCAGTGGGCGAGGATGGGGTATGCGATGTAGAGCTCTCGGGTCTTGGGAGCATTTGGCGGCAGTTGGACACCGTCCGGGGGCGTGTTGGGCATGACAAAAATGACGTGGTGGTCTGCGAGGTGCAGGTCGCCCTTGTGCATCTCGCCGCCGCGAACGGCCTCGACGTTGGGTATCTGGAGGAGGACAGGGCTGGTCAGCACGCGCGGGTTCCGGAGGACGGTACCAGACAGACACCAAAACACAGTATTCTGCGTAAGGGGCCCATGCTAGGACTGGAAGGCGTACCTTTTTGACCTGCATGTTCAGGTCTTATGTCTGGGTCGAGGGTGCTTGGGCTGGTGGTCGCATTTGCGAAGCGATCGTCGAGCGCCGGACGGAGGGGCAGCTCTGATGGCGGGTCGCGGGCAGGGTAGACGGCGGGCTGAGGTGCGGAGGAGTCAGCGACACGATGTGGACCGTTTTATAACGGCAGCAGGAAAAGCGAAAGAAGTGAAGAGCCGATCCGAGCGTTCCCAGTCACAATCGCGCCGTGAGATGGAGCATGCGGATGTGAGGGTTCACATGGTCGACGGGCGCTGCGCTGGAGGCATGCAAATCACACGCCGCCGTGGACTGACTTGTTCACCAGCTTAGACTACCTTAGTTAGCTAGTTATCCCCCAAGTAACGTATCCCACCCCACTAACGGACCGCTACCCACCGCCTCACTGGCAGGTACGTACCTTTACAGTAATAACATAACTAGGTAGGGTTGTGTAGGAAAATGGCTTATGCTCATCTAGGTCGCAGGCTGCCCACAGGTTGTTTTGTATGTATGAATATAGTGCATTTGGTTTGTTAGTAGAATAGAAAATTATCGTCCTGCCATGTATCTCTTCCTTTTCCCAACCGCCGTGGTGCACTTGTCAGGTACTTCAGTATGGCATATGCACCAAATCCCGTAGTGCACGTGGAAGCTTCAACCTCTACTTACGTAACGCAGCCCGCATCTCATCCACCATCTTCAAAAAGTTCGAGTCTACGATCCGGCCACTTGCACGCGCTATAGGAATGAAGTGGTGCGCCAGAAAGTCGTCCTTCTCGGGGTCCAATGTAATATCGCTGCTTGACCTTGGAATAGTACTTTAAAGCCTTTGTCCAATACTTTGCAGAGAACGTGGGTTTTATATGCATACACGTTAGCTAAATCTAAGTCGCTTGGAGCTGAATGTAGGTCACCAGTATTCCATCCGTGCTCAGTATCTTTTTTTTTTTTTTTTTTTTTTTTTTTTTTTTTTTTTTTTTTTTTTTTTTTTTTTTTTTTTTTTTTTTTT